TGATCTAAGTATATTAGTGTTTGGTTTGGGAACAAGGTAAAATGATTTCTGTGGGATAGCAACCAGGTACTCACCGCTAGAAAATATTTTACCCCCTCTTTTCCTAAATTAAACAAAAGCCTGAGGCATTTTGTTGCACTGTGGTAGATTATGAACAGATTCAGAATTGTGACAGACCAGGAAATTTGAATGGAATAGATTGCAAAGTCAATGATTTATCTTCTTTGCGGTGTCCCACATTTAACAAAACTAAGATCTGAAATTGTCACTTTGAATTTGCTTTCAGTTCTTTCCAATTCTAAGACTGTTTTGACTCTAGCGCTTGGCTCTAGGATTTGGAGACATTAAAGAATATTCTGTATGACAATTATAAAATATTTTCCCATATTTTATCAGTCAATGGGCACATAACATGTAAAAAGCAACTGACCATCTGAAAGTCGTTTGGTTTTGAAGCTCTGGAAGCTGTTTGAAAGCTCTAGAAGCAGTGCTGTTTTCTGAAGTTTTATTTCAGTGTTTAGCTATCTGTCATCCAGAAGTGCAATGTTTACTTAAACGCTACAACTTCAGTGTTGCAAATTAACAGGCACTGTCGTAAATTAGAAGCGTTGGCTTTAAACAGTTGTGTTGAATGTTATAATTAAAAACAGCTCCACAAATGTTTTTCTCTTTGGGACCAAAATTGCAGAAATATCTATATTTTAAAAAGCACCCAAGTCCCCAAAAGAAACAGTCAATATGTACAATGCTAAATGTCCAAAAGGATTATATTATTATTGGCCAGAGAAAAATGCCGAATCAAATTTGAAGTGCTGAAAAGTTTGAGGATTGTTACAACTGTTGTTTTGAGTTTCTTTCTGGATTGCAGAGATGATGATGATGATGATGGTGCTAATAATAATAATAATAATAAGAAGAAGAAGAAGAAGAAGAAGAAGAAGAAGAAGAAGAAGAAGAAGGGATATCTTGGTAGAATTAGTTTTTAACTGATGTTTTAGTGTGTAGTCAGATAACCATGCCAATTATTTATCTTGAGTCCTGACCTAGGGATACTTATATGCATTGGTTGAAGTATTAGAATACTCATTGTCATTGACACTGAAAAATGAATAGCAATGCACACCTTCATCGATACTGGATGTCACACTGAATGGATGTTTGTTCATCCTATCCTACTGATCTGAATGCACACGTGTATATGTCTTATAGAAGATGTTCTCTGTGCAATGGCATTTGCACAGAGTGCTGCCTCAGGCATTCAGAAGGTGGACCAAAAGGCCCAAATTTCCTCCTTGGTAGGATGGGTTCCTCTACTTACGTACGTGGAAAATTTCTTCCACACATGCAATGTTCATTCCATGCAGCTAAGGCAATTGCTGGATAGACTTTTGGATGATTGAACAGCCTTCTACGTGACGCTTAGGTTGCATACACACTAGGACATCTGTAGCAGAAAATTATATATAGTTTTTCTTCGTTTTGGAATTGTTCATCCTTGCCCTCAACATGTTGGTTTCAGTCTAGATTGATTCTAGATCTAGATCCTGTTGGATGGTGGTTTTGGTTACTTGATGCATTTTTGAAAACCCTGCCCTTGATTATATTATTCTTTCTTTCTTTTTCTCCCTGTGCATGTCCCAAGTGGATGAAGATGGAGGCAGGGATTGTGATCTTGGCAAAGGCTCACCCACAACATCATTGAGAAACTGGGCCTGCCTCCATCTGTGTTAATCTGTTTTAAAATGAACACACTGTAGGGTAATGCAGAATCAATCTGCAATGAGATTTTGGTTTCACAATGAAACCAGCTTCTCAAGAAGCTCTTAACCGAGACAAAAAAATCTAGATTATTCATGGACTGAATAGGGGGGGAAAGTACTCAGTCTCCATTGATTCTCTAATAAAATGTCATGTGTATGCAGCTGATGGGGTTTGTTTCTACATAATGATTAAGATATCATATCTAACTAAATACAATAAAGCCATCAAGTGTGGCTTACTATGTGGCCACATGAAGTGATTTTAAATCAGCCTCCATGTGGTAAGCATCACATGTAAGCCAGCCCTACATCACCACAAGCTAACTTTAACATGTCAGTTTTAAACCATGGCACATATGTCATCCGAATGTACCTCCACAGGTGATATACCTTATGTAGTAGGGCAGTTCAAAGCCATGTTTTCAGTGTTTCATCCTGGTGTGTTAAATGACAGATCTTATATTCAAATGAAGCATTTGTTTAGCATATGTGTCTCACATGATAAACTATCCTATAGTGACTACATTTAAAGGGTACAATTGATTGTAATCATCAGCAGGGAGGAAAATGAGCTTTAGCAGTGAGCGCAGAAGAAATACATTTGATTTAATTTCTATTGATTTGATTTGATTTCTGTACTGCGCAGCATTACAAGTCCTTGAAACAGTTTACAACATTAAGAAAGACATGAAAATGCTATGCAAAGAACAAATACCATAGACAGTGTATGTCAAAGAGCCAGTTGTACATGTCAACCATCTTCCCACTGTACTGTACTTCCTCTAACGAACTGGGAAGGACCCATTGGTGCTGCAATCTGTGAGCAGCTGCCCCTTGTGGTGAGTCACTGAACTGCAGGTGTCAGCTTCTCATCAAAGGACCATATGACTTTTGACTGGCTGGTCAACTGGATCCTCCTGGACAGAAAGTATTGTAGCTCTGTGAGGGGGGGAACTACCATTCCCAGGATTCTATGTGGAAGATGTGCTTTAAATGTGCATTGGGTGTGCTTTAAATTTATGGCATGGATCTACCCATTATGACTCTGAATACCGATTGTGGGCTATTGCCTTCATGTCCTGCTTTCCAAAGGTATGTGCTTGGCTACTTTGAAAGAAGGGATGCTAAGCTAGATAGCCATTTTTTGTTGAATCCTGTTGGGAAACCAACTCATCCACCCACCAGTTTTGACTTTTGTTCATGCCAGTGATTTGTTCTACCCCCTTTCTGGTTAAAGGTAAGCTGATTAGAAGGGGCCTGGCATTCTTGGATCCCTTCACCACAATAGGGCAATTCAGACAAACCTTCTTGTGTGATCAAAGAACACAGGGGAGACATTCTATCCTTGATGTACTACAGATGTGCAAGTTGAGTGTGCATCGGCTTGCTCTGCAGTGCAGCGTCTACACAGTCAGGAAACATTGCAGCAGGTGGAGTTACTGAATGTGTGTTCAGTACTAATATACATATATAACTGAATGTGTTATAGGCTCTGCTCAGACATGAAGCATGGTGCCAAGGGGCCAGGGGTTTGCCTTTGATCACCCTGCAGATTCAATAGTGTGTGTCAAGTACAGTGGTACCTCAGGTTAAGTACTTAATTCGTTCCAGAGGTCCGTTCTTAACCTGAAACTGTTCTTAACCTGAAGCACCACTTTAGCTAATGGGGCCTCCTGCTGCTGCTGTGCCGCCGGAGCACGATTTCTGTTCTCATCCTGAAGCAAAGTTTTTAACCCAAGGTACTATTTTTGGGTTAGCGGAGTCTGTAACCTGAAGTGTATGTAAGCTGAAGCATATGTAACCCAAGGTACAACTGTAATGTCTTTATCAATACAGACAGCCAAGCAAATTCATGGCGGAAAACCTTATCACTTGATGAGCTGTTTTTTTGTTTGGGGCTGATGTCAAAGAAGAATCTATGGTTTTGTCTTAGCATTTTACCCACAGTTATCACCATGGTGTCTCAGGAGCTTCAAAGATATTGTGTAAAATACACAAAGACATACTTTTTCTTCTTCACTTGCAAATTATGTGTTAGAGGTTTGGGATTGTGGATATTTTTAACTTTTTATTTGGAGTAGTTAAATTTGATGGATGGTAAAATCCATGGTCATTCTCAGCTCCTGAAGAAATGAGTTCCATACTCAGTTTCTCCAATTACTGCACTTCAAGTTAGCTATAAATTCTTATGGTGAGATTCCTGTTTTGGGTGGAGGAAAGTTGCTTCAATTAAATGATCAAACTGAGCTGATGGGGTGAGTGTCTTACATTAAATGTGCAATCAGAGAAGTCACCTCCATGTGTTTGCTGTACTTTTTGGGGGGTGGGTAGGTCTTTTCTGTTTTACCGCCCACCTTGTCATTATGCAGAAGATTGGATCAAAGTCTGGAGGGTTTTGACAGGAGGCAGCTCAAGCTTTTGGAACTCTGAGAAACACAAGAGGCATGGAATGTGGAATGTACAGGCAGGTTAAATCTTTCCCATAAAATGATAATGATTAGCAGCAGGGGAGGTGGGGTCAATATCTGCATTCCTGCTATTGTTAAAATTGTCACCTTTAACAGTCAGATTACAGTTTGTCTTTCTGCAGGTTCAGGAAGGCATTGTTGTTTTGGCTATATCCTTTGCACAGGTAATACACGGGTTAAAAAAGAAACAAGTACACAGAGCATCTGCACTTTAAAATTCTGAAGTCACATCATAGTGCCATTATGGCCATAGGAATAAAATGGGAAATGTTTTTTCCTTGAGAATATTGTCAATATTACAATATTACAGATATTACAATATTACAGATATTAAGGTAAAGGTAAATGACCCTTGGATGGTTAAGTCCAATCAAAGGCGACGATGGGTGCGGCGCTCAGCTTGCTTTCAGACCAAGGAAGCCGGCGTTCATCCACAGACAGCTTGCCATCTCATGTGTGACTAAACAACTTTTGGCGCAACAGAACACTGTGACAGAAACCAGAGCACACAGAAACACTGTTTACCTTCCCGCTGCAGCAGTACCTATTTATCTACTTGCACTGGTATGCTTTTGAACTGCTAGGTTGGCAGAAGCTGGGACAGAGCAATGGGAGCTCACCCTGTGATGCTGATTCGAAATGCTGACCTTCCAATCAGCAAGGTTCAGTGGTTTAGACCACAGTGCCACCTGCGTCCCCATCAACCTCAGTATGGTCTACACGGCCTGGCAATGGCTTTCTGGGCTTGAGACATGAGATGCTCCCAGCTTTACCTGGAGATGACAGGGATTGAACCTGAAACCTTTCACATGCAAAACATGTGCTCTATCACTGAGCCATCTCCAAAAGGATGTTTGCGTGACCTGCTGGGCACTTTCATGCCTGTTTTTGACCGTATGATGTTGCTAGGCCTGTCTGCCACTGCCCCAGTTACCTGCTGCTCTCCAGGTGACCATTGGGGGGCGGGTGTCCCATGCCCTGTGGGACCCTGGACTTCTCACCTGAGGTCCAACCCTAGTTGCACCATTCCAACCCTTCCTTGAGGTGCCAGACATTGAACCTGGTACCTTTTACATGCAAAGCGAATGTTCTACCATTGAGCTATGGTCCTGTTCCATTCATTAATCTGGAGGTATAAATTGGGTTGGTTCACTTAAAAATGTGGACAGAACAAAATTACCCTGGTAACAGCTTTCAACTCTCTTAAAGGCTCTTGACTGTCTCCAGCTTGTCTAACTCTTTCCCAATCAAACTGAGGAAGTTTTGGTTCAGAAATTTCTGCTTCCTGTCTGAGGGGTGGGTGGGAAACCTACCACAAAATTTCTCACCTAATCATTTCATAATGACCCATCATGAAGTCTTCATCTTTTTCAGAGAGCGGAACTGACCTGAGGACCATTGTTTGAATAAAATCGACAGACTAAAACTACAACGCAGCTTCTTTTACAACTTGTCCCTTATGCTTCAGTTATCAATAGGAGCTGATTTAAGACAGCAGGCAAATGAGAAACATGCGTGCTACATTGTGGTGAGTGTGGTGCCAATTAAAATGCCATCCTTTGTGAGACTTCAAAGATAACAATCCGTTCCCAGCCCACAAAAGCATTATTAGAAAATAGAACTGAAGTCTCACTGAGGGCCTCATTGAGATAGAGGCTGGGACAGACAAAATGGCCGCTTCACGACAGCGGCTTTCAATATCTTGGCTGATCCTTCTGTCACAATTTATGTTTGTTTGGTGTTGATGCTGTTGGTTTAGATTTTGTTATTTCTTTTTTAAAATGCTAAGATAAATTAATTTAAAAACATTATATGATTTGCTGTGCCCAGGGCCATATTTTAGACCTCAAAAACATGTAAATTTTGAGAGGTTGCATTCTAAAATAAACACAACACAAATTATGCACCAAGTTAATTGAACAATTAGCATTTTCAATTAGGAGTGCAAAGAGAAGGCACCTGCCAGATTTATCTAGGATGGAAATTGCATAATGAACTGTTTTAGTCCTGTTTGTGTTGTCCAGTGCAACTAGACACTCTGAAGTCTGAATCTTATTTACCACACATTTTTGAAGTGCTTTTTTGAGGTCTAGGACAGTCCAAAGAAGTAGACCGAATGTCTCCAACTTCAGAGTGGCTACTTCACATCCCATATGTGGAAGAATGGAGAACAGTTTCACTACCAAACTCATGACAAACAAGTAATATGAATAGGATTATTTTTTTTTAAAAAAAGAACATTACCCCAAAATCTAGTTGTCCATGGCCCACGCCTTGAGCTGAAATTATGTTTGACAAATGGGTAAGGAGAGACAAAGGACAAGTGCTTTTGAAAACAACTCCAGAAAATTTAGATGCATAGAGATCAAAGCCGAAGAAATATATCCATTGCCCAAGCATCGGGAGTTTGTGTTCTGTTTTCAGAACTTGAACATGTGTGGCAGAGTGTGGTTAAAGCTTTTAAGAAAAGCAGAGGACTCCTTCCAAACAGTCCTTTTATGGAGGAAGGCAGTCGCATGAAGCTCGCTCTGAAGAAACCCAGACGCACCAGGGTCAAACCACATAGGATGCTCAGTTGCATGTAATCTCTCCTCAACCACCACCCTAATATTTTCTCTTTCTTGTTTTATCTCCTACAAAAACCCTTTTTGCAAAGGCTGCAATCTGCAGTGGAAGATTGGTGTGGGGCGTGAAGTTTCCTTTAACCCTTTCCCTTCAGCCCCAGCTTTTGATGTGAAGCTGTTTTCCACAAAGCAACAAAAACACCAGGGGACCCATTATTTTACATGAAGGGAGGCAAGTAGCTTGTGCGGGGCGGGCAGTGATTTTTAGCTGCTTTTCCATTGCAGGTCACAGTCTCAACATCTGTGTCTTGTGAAAAAGAAAAGAGCACAGCAAGACAAAACCAAGTGACTCATTTAGCTAGATCATCATAGAATCATAGAATAGAATCATAGAATCATAGAATCATAGAATCATAGAATCATAGAGTTGGAAGAGACCACAAGGGCCATCGAGTCCAACCCCCTGCCAAGCAGGAAACACCATCAGAGCGCTCCTGACATATGGTTGTCAATCAGTATTGCTACTTTGGTCCAGTACAAAAAGTACAGGGTCCAGAGGCTTTACCTTGTGCCCGCCCCCTGCCAATTTTTGCCAGTCATGCAGTGTAATAAATGTAGGGGTTGCTCGTGCGCAAGTTGGTGCCACTCCTGGCTAGGTTGCCTTGTTAAACCTTTTCTGTCTGGACAGCCCTGCACTTCGTGGCTGTTCAGTCGCTAGCAGAATCCGTCAGTGGGCGTTTCTTAAACCTTTTCCAGCATAAAAGTTGTTTGACTCCAAGTCTCCTCCTACTCTCCCTGCGCGGAAGCCTTCTGCGCAGGGAGGGCGTGGGTAGCGGAGGACCCGTGCTCTCCTCGCTGATCTCCGGCGAGGAGTCCTGGAGCCCCTCGCCGATTCCCCATCTGCCCCCCTTTATCCCTGGTGTTACGCTGATTTCTTTCCCCAGCTGGTGAGCCGCCTCTCCCCCTGCTGGGCCCTTCTCCAGCATCGCTTGAGAGCCTAGCCTCCGCCTCTGGCTCCGATGTCAGTTCCCTGACATGCAGCTTTCTAAAAACAGGAGTTTATGAAGCAAGCCTCAAAGAAATGGGGATATCTCTCCCCACTCCCACCCCTATAATTCAAGTACTGTTCCAGTGCTTGGCAGTCTATAAGTAACATGGATATTGTGCTTGGCAGCACATAGGAAGCTAACATATACTGAGTCTGACTACTGGTCCATCTAGCTCAGAATTGGGTCCACTAACTGGCAGCCAGATTTCAGTCAGGATCTCTCCCTGCCCTACTTGAAGATTCTGGAGATTGAACCTGGAACCTTCTGCATGCAAAGGCAAATGCTCTCTCGCTGAGCTATGTCCCTTCCCACAAGTGGAGGGAGATGCTATGTGCCTCAGTCTTTGCCCATCTTCCATGCAGATATGTTTTCAGGAATCAGCTTTACATTGAGGATCAAGCTAGAAGTGAAGTTAATTCATATGCATTTTGGTGATGTGAAAAAGCAGCGATGGGGCAGCCTGAGCAACCTCAAGACAGCAAGGGTAGAGTGAGCAGGGCTGAGAACTTCCCATGAAATGGCCATAGCTATTTTAGAGATGAGACTTTTATGGGGAGAGAAAGAAGAAGAGTTTGGATTTGATATCCCGCTTTATCACTACCCGAAGGAGTCTCAAAGTGGCTAACATTCTCCTTTCCCTTTCTCCCCACAACAAACACTCTATGAGGTAAGTGGGGCTGAGAGACTTCAGAGAAGTGTGACTGGCCCAAGGTCACCCAGCAGCTGCATGTGGAGGAGCGGAGACGCGAACCCGGTTCACTAGATTAGGAGTCTACCGCTCTTAACCACTACACCACACTGGTTCTCTAGAATTAAACTTACCCACTCCACCATGGTATACTGGAGGAAGGCGAGAAGCATCAGGGGGATGGGACAAAAACCTGAAGTCTTAATTCTCCTGGTGCTGTGAGTATCATTATCCCACTGCTAACACCAAGAGAAGGAAGCCTGTATGGAAGCTGAATGAGCGAAGCACTTTCTCCCTTTTGTGTCCACCCCAACCAACCCATCACTGTCAAGAGAATGAAGCCTGTGCAGAACTTCAGCCAGGAGAGAGCCTGGCAGTCAGGTGGATGACTGAGTGACTCCACCTTGGGACCAGGTAGCTTTCAACCCTCCTGAAACTGCAGAACCACCTGGGAGGGGAGGGAGATCTTTCACTTTGTAAGACCCTCATGGATTGGCTGAGACTTTGCTTGTGAATGGAGGAGGCACAGTCCCCTAGGCACAACAGCATACACCGCAAGTGTCTGATTTTAAGTGGGACATCACAGATCACATAAGCTTCTGTTTGGATCCCAGATTGTCCTGGTGTTTTGGTCCAGTGCTCTGGCATGGGTCCTTCCAGTCCAGCACTCTGGTGATCATCAGCAGGGTTGCGCCAGAGCACTTTCCTTCAGTGCTCTGAGATGACCCTGCAGACAATCGCCAGAGCACCAGATTGGAAGGCAAATATAGGGGGGGGGGAATATGCATCTGAGGGGCTTATTCTTGAGGAAACAGGTGAGGCAGTGCAGAATGTTGCTTCTTACTGCAAAACGTTTAGCACTGGGTCCATTGAGCTGGACAAAGCAACATTGACTCAGCAATGCTGCTATCTGCTGAATTGGATACTAGTTTTGGGGTATTTTAAAGTATTAGTCTCCTTATGCAAGGCAGGAGCTCTTTCACCCCATCCCATGCACGACTATTTCAGTGATCACAGGAGCAGACTGTCAGCCTGTTCTACTGTCAGCTGAGTGAATAGCTGCTGCTTCTCTTTTGTGCGATTCGTGGGTCCAATTTCCAAGGAGTCGGTAGTAGGGCCAAAGGAGGAAGGTGGGAATTCTTAGAGTCTAAGACTAAGACCCTGCCAATGTCACTCAGTCCAAATCTTCAGGCAACCGAAAGCACGGAAATTACAAAAAGATGTTCTTACAAGCATAAAGAGATAGTGCCAAAATTACACAGTCAGCATAGCAAATGACTGTAATGGATTTTGACACGAAGGCTACTCAATCACTGCTTCACCAATCAGGAAGGAAGAAGAATGGGAAACTTCTGCATGTTTTGGGAGATGTTCACTACCTTCTGTGAAAAAGAGGGGCTGGGAGCCCCAAACCGCTGACATATTTATGGCTCTTTGTTTCACACATGTGTGGATATTGGCCCATAAAGCGAGGCTGCATGTGCATGTGTGCAATTTATCTGGCTTCTGGTAAACAAACAAATAGGAGATTCCTGTGGCTTTATCCCTTGGCTGTGATCCACAGAGGCAGTGGTCAATGGGGAGTGGGGACTTAATCTACGTAATGGATCATTCCTCTCCCCCCACGATAAATATCTCTCTGATTGCATTCACTATGGAGACAAGCAGGAGTTGGAGCAGAAATTAGTTATGCTGAAAACATGCGAGAAATGGAGAGCATCGAACCATTAAGGCAACCCTTTCCATTTAAAATGGCCTGCTTAGGGCCCATGTATAAATGAATTATATGACTTAAGGGAGTTAGTACATTTAGATATCGGTTCCCATATACATATTGCAGAGAAGCAAAGAACTCTCTCTGTCTCTGTCTCTCTGAACTGGCCCTTGCAGAAGCCCTTTTTTTTAGGGAAAACAGACATCAGCCTCATGGATATGCAGTGGGAAAGGAAGAACTGTCAAACCATTTTTAATTCTTAAAGGCTTCCCTTGAAAAAGTAGCCATTTGACCTCAACTGTAGCAGGAACATTCTGAAGTGTGAGGTAATGGAGTTACTGTCATTGAGACTGGAACTGTTTTAGCTGTTGTTGAACAGCAGATATCTGAAGCACCTTCATTTCCAAAAGAGAATAGCCCTGACCAGATTGATAGCAGGACCTCCCATATGAAATGAATATGCAGAACTGCCATGTACTGACTCAGAATATTGATCTTCTGAGTACAGAGTTGGGGAAGCTATGCCACTCCAGATATTGTTAAACTACAGCTCCCATCATCCCTGACCATTGGCCATGCTGGCTGGAGCTGATGGGAGTTGGAGAGTCACATATCTGGAGGACCAAAGGCTTCCCAACCCTTGATCTAACCCAATACTGGTTCAAGCCAATGGCCCATCTAGTCCAGCATCGTGTTCTCACATGACTTGTTTCTTTACACCTGAATTGACCACCCTGAACTTCTATTCAATGAAGCCATCATCTGCACATGTGCAACAGCTGTCTGAAATGTATAAACCCCAGCTTAATCATAGCTTGCATTTTCAAACTGGATGGATGCTGCTTTGAAAGAAAACACATCAAACTTCAACATTTCTCAGAAAATTGCAAGATAGATATGGATTGTGGCTAACAGCATGTGCACTTGGCCTCAGACACCAGCAGTGGGAATGCACTGGAGCTGGAGTAAACAGTAATGTGTACACAACTAAATGCTCAGTCCCAACACGTGACCCATCACTGAGCATTAAAAGCAACTTAGCTGCTTGCTGAACCTATACCTATTTGTGTCTTCCGGGATGAGGAATTAGGCAACAATACCATGGGAATCCCAAGGCTGGGAAATAGCATTCTTTTTTTTTACAAGAAATGTGATATTTGACATTTAAAGGAAATGCACATGGAAAACAAATGCTCAAAGCCCAGACACACGCCATACTGATTATTATCATATTGGACTAGTCATCTACAGTTTGTTTATTTTAGGGGGAAGGTACAGAGATTCAGTCACATGTTATTGTCGCACATTGAAGCCAGAGCGGAATAAATTCAATGTGTCTAAAATTGAGTGAAAACCACACTGGCCAACAATAACAGCAGAAAAGAATTAGGACTGATCTGGGGCAGCAGAATGGTGGAACTGACTGCCTTGTGGAGGTGCCCTAGCGGTGATTTTGTACAGCTCTATAACTGCTGGGTGCTGAGGAGCACTGTGAATGGGCCTTTGCGAAATGCAATGACCAACTGGTCCTTGGCACTTGCAGAGTGCTGTTCATGGGACTATGCAAGATTTGATGATCGGCTGATGGCTGGAGTCTGCAAAGTCCCATGCACAGCACTTATCTTCACGGGCTGTAGCTTTGCCTGCACAGTTCGATCGCAAATTGTGTGGACAAAAATGAGTTGCCTGACATGACAATGATCTTTGGTGATTTACAGGTGGGTGACTCTGCCCACCTGTCAAGCATGGCCCACAGTGGGTAGGGGAGTTACAGGTAGGTAGCTGTGTTGGTCTGCCATAGTCGAAACAAAGTAAAAAAAAATCCTTCCAGTAGCATCTTAGAGACCAACTAAGTTTGTTATTGGTATGAGCTTTTGTGTGCATTCACACGTATCTGAAGAAGTGTGCATGCACACGAAAGCTCATACCAATAACAAACTTAGTTGGTCTCTAAGGGGCTACTGGAAGGAATTTTTTTTAGTGGGTAGGGGAGACAAGGATTCAGTCTGCTGACCAGATTCGGTTCTCCACAATAGAGATTTTAGGCTAGGGGTGGTGAACTTATGACCTAGAGGCCCAGGGGTGGCACATCCCGTTTCACTGCTTGAGGTGAATTGGAGCCTTGCCTTGACCTACTGCTGCCACCACCTTTTCCATACTTGCCCCCATACTTGCTGCTACCGCCACCTTTTCTGCCCACCCTGCCACCTCTGCTACTGGTGGAGAAATGGTGCTGGCTTTGGCACCAATTTCAGGTGAAAGGTGGCAAGACAGGCAGAGCTGCCACATGAGGGCTTCTGCCAACTGAGGCAAACTCCTCAGTCTGCCCAATAGCGGAGCTGGTTCTGCATGGGTCCTATCCAGCTAATTCCATTTGGCTTTTGGTGTTCAGCAGAACCCAATGTCACACCACGTGCTTCGTCTGCTCATCCAGCCTCAACCCATAGGAAGGCTGGGTGGGGGGAGGGTGTGTTGGTTCCTGTTGTCTAAACATGCTCTGTGTGTTCTTTGAGAGCCAGTGTGGTGTAGGGCTTAAGAGCAGTAGTCTTGTTATCTGGTGAACTGGGTTCACGTCTCCGCTCCTCCACATGCAGCTGCTGGGTGACCTTGGTCTAGTCACACTTCTTGAAGTCTCTCAGCCTCACTCACCTCACAGAGTGTTTGTTGTAGGGGAGGAAGGGAAAGGAGATTGTTAGCCACTTCAGGTAGTGATAAAGCGGGATATCAAATCTTCTTGGAGAAGCCAATGTTTGCTCCCTCCCCCACCAACCTTTCAACCTGGAAAGGCTTGGCTAGAGGAGGGCATATTGGTCACCACTGCTTAAAGGCACTCACCTCTCCAATGGGTAACAACACCCAACCATGTATACTCCCCCTCCATGACTGAAATCCAAATAAAAGGCTGGGTGGGAGGATGGAAATGCCTTTGAAAATGTGGGTTGGTCCAATGTCAGCCAGCCCAATTTGCTCGTTCAAATGCCTGGATTGCCCCGAGTCCTGCTTGAGGTGGGAAGGAGAGAGAGGGGACAAGGTGGATGTGATGATAGGGAGGGAGGGCGGTGAAAGCCTGAGGAGAGCTTTGAAGATGCAAAATGAACCAGCTGACCCTGTCAATGGTGTACATCAAAGCCAGCCAGGCCCTGACTGACTGTGTGGCCCCCAATTGATTTTAATGTGGCTTAATGGCCCTTTTTAGGAAAAAGACCCCCTAAGCCTGCTTTAAATTACAATCCTGTAAAATGTCATTTCATTTCTTTCTTTTAGTCTTTAGTCTTCATGGCTGTAGAGCAAAGCTGAATCACATTATTTTGATGTGTTTTCAAAAGCTGTCGCATAATTCTCAGGCACTGTCTTATGATTTTCAACTTTAGAGTAGATCTACTATCCTTGCAGCTGCACACCTCCTTATAAAAGGCACTTCTGTTGGTGTCACAATGGGCTACAACCAATTCATCAGAAAATAAATACTCTATATTAATGATACTGAAAGTCAAACTAGATATGAGGGTGGCAATTCCCTCTGTTTACACACAATGAGTAGCAGCAGAAAGGGTGATGGGTAAGAATCCTCCATACATCCATTGTTGCAGCTTATTTTGCTTCGTCTGTGCTAATGGAGTAATTAGGTCACTTTAGAAGCAGTTCTAACTTCCATCTGGGAGAAGTGGAGTGAAGTGGCAGAGCTACCACCACATTCAAAACTCTGTTGCTAGTGCCAACCAGAATGTTTTCCCCTTCATTCTTTGCTGTGCCATCTCCAGGCTTGTGCAGCCGATGAACCTAGATCAGGCCCATTGCCAGTACCTGGACAGGCTTAGGAGCCAGCAGATCCTTGGCTGGACCAGGTCCGCCCCCTCTCCACTTCCATGATTTTGGAGGTTTACACTGGTGACCTGATGGCAGCGCTCTACCTTCACACCTCTTCCTCTGTGGAAATTGGACCCCAATTTCTTTTCTTGTCTATACAATCAGGGCAGTTGCACATTTAACTTTGAGGAATGACCGGGCAGCTGCTCTGCTCAGATGCTCAAGATCATTCCACAGTGCCTCCATATGATGAGATGCTTTGAAAATGGGAGATAATGGGCTTCGGATGGAAATGGATGGGTACTTCCAACCAGGTAGACTTTGACTCATTTGTCTGAAAGTCCGTGTTAATTATGCATGCATGGGATGTGTCTTCCTGGGCTGAGATGCATTTGTAAGGCAGCCAGCAGTGATGGATGAAATGCAAGAACAAGATCTAAACAACCCCATTAGATTGCTTCTATCAGATCGTTTCTGCTCTGGGGTGTTTGGAATGTGGGCTCTGGCTCAAAACTTCTGCTAGCAGTCCAAGCATATGCAGCTCATAGATAACTTTTAGGAAATATTGTTATATACCAACAGGTAATAAAGAAGGGAGAAAGGAACATCTTGAGTCAATCAGACATAGCTGCCCCCCCATATCCAACATGTGCCAGCATCTTCATGTGTGTGCAGTCTAAAAATATGCAACTGTATGTTCATAGTTTTTCCTCTCTGCTAGTGGGGAGAAAGCACTAATTGTTTACAGTCATAGACTCATAGAATTGTAGATTTGGAAGGGGCTACAAGGGTTATCGAGTCCAACCCCCTGCAATGCAGGAATGTTTTTGCCCAATGTGGGGCTCAAACCCATCACCCTGAGATTAAGAGTCTCATGCTCTACCGACTGAGCTATATAGGCTCTATCTCAGGACAGGGGAACCTTTGGGCCTCCAAATGCTATTGGACTTCAGCTCCATTCATCCCTGACCATTGGCCATACTGGCTGAGGCTACTGCTGTGCTGAAATCTATCCTATCATTTTCTCAAAAGGTTCCCTCTACTCCAGGAAAAGGGCTTCCATTATCCTGCCTCATTCTCAGGACAATTGAGGATTTCTTTAAATTTCCAATGGATTCAGGCTTTCACTTACTTTATCATTCACAAGGAAAAAGCTGGTGGTGTTTTTTTTCCTTTCCAGCAAACATTTCCCCAGTCTCACTGAAGCTCCACAGATTGTTGGAAGTGCCACAGCAGAGATCATTCAGTCTGCAACTTAAGGGTTATTTTTGTTAATGTTAAAAACTAGCCCATAGGGGCAGAAGTGCTGCTGAGCAACCAAGCAGAGTGGAATGACTTTCACTGAGGCACCATATTATAAATACACAACCAACCAGCCAACCAACCAATAAAATAATAAGCAAATTTGAAGAACCCTCTTACAGTATGTAGAGAGATTTAGTAATTTGTTTAATGACAGAATTTTAGATGATTTTAGTCACTTTTAAATAAGGAGCGTGGGGTGTTTTTTTAAAATGCTACATTGTAGTGTTCTGTTGCTTCCTTGTAAAACAAAATGAATAAAGTTAAGAAATCTGACAAGTATAACCCAATCCAAATAAAGCATGGCTAGCTAATGGGTCATATTTGTCCACAAAATGATTTGTCCTGCTCCCTGGGAGGTGTTTCATAGCACCATTTTCATTCCATGATTATAAGCTGTTTCCTCCTCCATCAACAAGGGTGGCCAATATGGTGCCCTTCGTTGTTGAACTCTTACTGCCATCAGCCCCAGCCAGCATGGCAAATGCTCAGGGATTATGGGAGTTGCACCCCAACAACATATGGATGGTCACATGTTGGCAACCATTGTTCTGCAGCAATAACCTCTTTCGTGAGTCCTTAATGGAATGATTCCAACCTTCTAGGGTACCACTCCTGCCATCTCTTTCTGGGAGCATGAATGAAGAAGCCATAAGAAGCTGGATACTAAATTACGTTTTCTTCCAGGCTTGGGAAGTCAGCTCTCTCAGAGCCAAGCCATTCATAAAAACAGTCAACATCAATGGACCTGCCAGAAGATAGTTAAGAGGGGATGCTATGAAAAATGGTTGTTCAACTGGACAGGTCTGATGGACGATTAGGGCAAAAAAGAGGAAATACATGATATAAAAGAGGGCAAAAATGGACACAGTTTTGCATGCCTTCTACATGTGCCAATTTATATAGATGGGTGCAATTTCTGAAATAATTCCTGTAATTTAAATAGGAATAAAATGGCGTAGACCGGAAGACTGACCTGGTGATCTGAGTGCCTCCTCATTCTGCTGTTCATGGGCATCTTCTGGTCTCCCTTAACCTATCTTTAAACTGAACCTGGGCTAGGAAGCCTTTTACGCAGGACACCATCCTCAAACAGTCCTCAAAATAGATGATGGCCTCTGTAAAGTAGAACACATGACGGCCCTCCTACTGGGAATGTCAGGGTACACCATGTCATTCAGATCATTCCTTTAGAAAAACCATTAGCCTCTGCTAAGCAAATCCCTTTTGAACCCCATTTTACTTTAAAGTTGCCAGTCTGATTAACCATGGTCTTTGACAGTTGCTTGGATGTTATACCTTGGAATCCGTTTCCCCCGCACTTGTCACAAACATTTCAGTTAACATTTCTCAAGGAAGTGGTCTGGATTTATCATAGTAGGCAGACATTCCTAATTTGTTTTTCAGTGGGATGTCGGCAGCTAATTCCTGTCTGATGTATTACCTGGCTATCTGAACAAGGAAAAGGAAATGGGTAAGATTTGCACATTTTCTGTTCCTCTTAATTGCACTGTGAAAGCAATCTATCCATATATATTTACCACCAATTATTCAAGAACATTAATGTGATTTACAGCCAACTAAAATACAAGTTTATTAAAATCAGTATGTTAAAAAACTATAATAAATGCATATTAATAAAAACAACCATGACTCTTAGCATCCTGAAAAAACTACAGTTCCCAGGATTCTTTGGGAGAAGCCATGACCTTTTAAAGTGTTATGATGCTCCTTTAAATGTATAGTGAAAATGGGTACTTATTATTTTATGCCGGAGGACCTTTGGCTGTCCAGATATCACTGAAGTATAATTCTCATCAGCCCTAGCAACTATAGCCAACGACTGAGGCAAAATAGTAGTTTGATTTCTGGTCCAAGAGCACCTGGAGGGCCAAAGCTTCCCCACTCTTGCTTTAACACAAAAGAGATGGCAACGTGTTATCAGACAGCAAAGCTTCTATTGGCAAGGAGTTCCACAGGGCAGAGCATGCCACACTGAAAGCTTGGCCCTAGTAAAGGCCAGCTGAACTACAGAGTCAAGTGAGACTACCAAAAGTGCCCCACCAGAAGACCTTAGCAATCAAGGCAGGACATAAGGAATCAAGCAGTCCTTAAGGAACCAAGTTGTTTAACACAAGAGTAAATTAGTAGCCAGTGCTAAGTGCTTCTAGATGCCCCTTCTGCATGCCACCTCCAAACATTTCAGTATCAATGTGTGTGGTATTCAACTGTAGTCCTACTCAGAGGAGACTAAGTGAAGCTAATGCACATTACAGTCATACCTCGGGTTACAGACACTTCGGGTTGCGTTTTTTCGGGTTACAAACCTGCCGAAACCCGGAAGTACCGGAACGGGTTACTTCCAGGTTTCGGCAGTTGCGCATGTGCAGAAGCGCTAAATCATGCTTTGTGCATGCGCAGAAGTACCGAATCGCAACCCGTGTGTGTGCAGATGCGCCGCTGCGGGTTGCGAACATGCATCCCGCACGGATGACGTTCGCAACCCGAGTGTCCACTGTATTAGATTAGGTTCACTGATTGCAGTGGGTCTCCTCTGAGTAGAACTTGAATAAAACCTACTTGGCTTATACTGGGGGAAAACTGTATGTGTTTCAATGAAGACAACAACCTTCTACGGCAAAGTGCTGCAGCAATGAGGGGCTTGTCCCCAGGCCTTGCACAATGTCCTTTTGTGCTCTTTCCCAGAATAAATCTAACTACTTTTTGTGTTAAACTCAGTGCTTTTCTTCTAGAAAAAAAAGGTGCTGGTACTGCATACCCGTGAGTACCCCCGGGGGGGAAAGCACTAGTTAAACTGTATGTTCTAAGTGTGTGTGTGTGTGTGTTTTATAAAAGAAAGAGAATTGTTTCCTTTAACAGCAACAGAAAGCCTCCTCTCCGTCTGATATTAACGTTTGATGGCGGCTTAAGATCACACAATAAAAGTCAGGGTGGGCTCCATCAGAAAAAGTTGCGTTTCTCAGAACATTTGCTATTGATATGTTGGGAAAGTGGCAGACTTGGTGGGGTGGGGCGGGGTGGGGGCTGCTGGGGAGAGCTTGCATGATCCATTAATAAGAAACAGTTTGGCACACTAGATTACTAAAGCATGGCTAATCTCTCAGCCAAAACCCACGCATTCTTCATTTGTGTTTCCCAGCCTTTTTTGAGCTTGTGTGTGTGTGTGTGTGTGTGTGTGTGTGTGTGTACACACACACATACAATACAGAGGAACTGGCTAATTAAATCTTGGAAAGTAAATTCAGGTTTCTTTAGGCATTTCTGAAAGGGAATTAAAAACACAGTGGATTGGATTCATAGAGGATGTGCTTTCAAACAGCAGCGCAGAAAGAGGAAGACAATTGCTGTCTTTGTTACAAGAGTGCATGTTTGTAGAAAAGTGAGGAGGTGTTCTGAAATATGATGAATATATGGATATATACTCTGGAAACAATCGAGGACATTTTTGTGTTTCAACAAGCTTTTCCAGCTGGATGAAAAGGTCTCTGCCTTAGATGTTCATTTTGTATTGTTTTAAAACCTGTCTTCAGATATATATATATAGAGAGAGAGAGAGAGAGAGAGAGAGAGAGAGAGGGAGAGAGGGGAGAGAGAGAGAGTTATAGATGGGGGAACCTCCATAAATCCTAGAAATTAGTAAATGGTAGGATTTTGATTATTTGGAGTATTGAAGGGAAGATTGGAGGCCAGTGGAAAAATACAAGCTGAGCTTCTTTCCAAGCAAGTGCCCCACCTGGGATAAAGGCAGTGCTATTTTTATAGAAAAAGTGGTGCTGGAACTTACCACCCTCATTCTCTTAGAATTGCAATAGCACCCACCTGAGAGGTGCCAGAACTGAGTTCTGGCAAGTTCTGGCTTTTTAAAAGTCCTGGATAGAGACATTAACATGACAAAAGGTGTTGACGCCCCATCTAAGAGGAATCTTGGGCCTGGGCAGACAGAAGTTGCCATGGTGATGGGGCATGTGGGAAAAGAGAGTCTTTAGAGCAAGGTGTGTTCGGAAGGAAAGGAAAGGGGGAGAACAGAAGGAAGGGATCCATCTTGGGCAGACCGGCTGAAGGCTGGCTGGGAGAGATGCCTTGCATTCCAGTGCAGAACGGCTGTGGAGAACAAGTCCCTCTCGAAATGACCATGCTGTAAGATCTGGACTCCCTCCATGCAGACTGAAGGTACAAATATGTGAATAAATCCTATTTCTTAAAGTTATGACAGCCTTCACACCACACCTTCAATTCTCCAAAGGTGCACAAACTCTAGGTATTCACCTGGAACCCCGTGAAACCTTGCTATCGCTTGGCAGAGAGTGGCGTGGCACCCAACTTCTATATTTGTAAATCGTTTTGATGCATGTATACAAGGTGATCCATAAATGTATAGTTATTGCTTATAATATTGATGATAATAATTTGCTGAGTTGCTGCTCACACTCCTTTCTTTGTTCACTGACCTCAGTTTCTTTCATATCAGAAGAGGTGTTTGTTGGCAGTTGGAACTGAAGCTATCAGAACCAACCATCATAATGAATCAGCATTTTCCAGGGATGACAGGCAAAAACTGACCAAATCTCTGGGTTTGGGCTGGAGACCATTTTTTTATGACAGTTCTCCTGCCTAGAATTTGTGTTTTCAACATACTGTGGTGTTGGGTGGAAACAGAGAGCTAATAAGCATTTGCTTTGCTTGGTTTAGGGGCAATTGCCATAGTGTAGAGGGAAATTGGTGGGTTGGCGGAGCAGAAAGCATATTTCCTCATTTGTATTTCATAATGTTGGCATATATCAAGGTATGATACCTTACTTACAGGCTTCCCTTCCCCCGGTCTTCCACTGAAATGAATTACTGGATGTCTTTATTTGCCATAAGAAGTTAGACTTCCATGAAACAACTTTAACATGATTTACAGAAGCATAGCTATGTTAGTCTATTATAGCAAAAACAATAGAGTCCTTTGGCATCTTAAAGACTAACATATTCATTGAGGCATAAGAGTTTGTGGACTAAAGCCCACTTGGTTGAATCGGAGGCCATGGGACTCTTGGTTGTTGTTTTCTCTTTTAAAAGTTGACATTGAAAACTTCTCTTGTTCTTTTTGGGGCTTCTGGGTTTTAGAGATGTAAGTGTTCAACTTAAGCCTTCCATCCTGGGGCCTTGCAAAGGTTTTGGACTCCAGATCCCATCACCACCAGCCATCACGGTCAATGGTCAGGGATCATGGGAGTTGTAGTTCAAAACATCTGGACAGTATCTACCAGGTTGGGGAACGTTGGTTTAACTGGTTGGGAAGCATTGTGAAAATCACATCAGGTGTATATTGCAAGGGTATTGCTTTGCAGTTTCTTTGCTGTTAGCCTTTGCATTTCCCAAAATCCATAATGGTTTGTTTGGTGCCTGCGGCAGAAGTCAAGCTTACCGATATGAAGTTGCAGAGTATCAAGTGAATATTCTCTGCCAAGTGCAAGCTCAGTTATCCAAGGTAGCAGGGTTTTATTATTTATTTATCTATTGCATTCACATTCCACCCCACCCCCAAGTTGCTCAAGGTAGCATATGTAGTTGTCTCCCACCATTTTTATCCTCACAACAACCTACACAGGGATCCTAAAGAAAGAAGATGGATGTGTGGGAGGAATAGTACCATCGGAGCAAAGAATGTGGGAAAATAAAGGGAAGGCAGCTTGTGCAAGCCTCGGATACCACTCATAATATTTAATATTTCATTTTGGTGACGAGTTTAGTTAACTCCTCTTAAATTATCATGGTGATTAGCACAGACATGGAAATGATCAGGCATAAGTTCTGTAAATATAACAGAAAAATAGGATATAAACATACTGGTATCCTATGCAGAAACAACTTGTCTTCCTTTTCTTCAGTGTTTGAGTGGTCTACTAGTCTCGTTGACTCTCTGGCAAGTTTCCTGCATTCAGCTTTCTTTTATTTAAGAAGAAAAAACCGTATTGTTCATTTTTATGTCTTTTTTTAGCTGGTTACACCAAAAAAATCCCTCTTGACCAGCTTTTTTATAGGTTTTCCTCCACCCCTTCATTTAACTTGCCAGAGTTTATGTTCCCTTCTGTTTTCTTCATTTGGACTTGACTTCCAGGATATATATATATATATATATATATATAATTTGCTCTAAAACTTCTAGTAACACTTCAATTTGCTCCTAAACCACATCTTTCTAGACTGATGTAAATTGGTCTCTTTCTCCCAGCTCATATGGGTCATTTCCCCAAACAGGCAATTCAGACAGCCTTCCCCAATGTCTCGTTCATTTTATTCTTTCAGAGGACTGTGAAGAGCAATGAGCAAGAAAACATGGAAAGATGTACTAGAAGAAAGCATGCAGAAATGCGGAAAAGGCAAAGAAAGTGTAAAGGGAGAACACAAGAGAGATATTGCAATAATATTGTCCTCTCAGGACCCAAATCACTGCTTGCCTCTTTAGGCCTCATGCCTAGATCTTTAATGTTCATTACTCTCAGGTTGTTGGCTGAATGATGTTAGGAGACCTGACCCATCTTCTTGCTTGGCCGGGTTATGCCATGATACAGGTCTCATTCACACACAGCCCCAACATGTTTCCCAACATGTGGTAGGCACTGAAGAAAACCTTCAGCTCATCTATATTTCTGCTGTCACCCTGCACCTTTAATATGAATTTGAGTCCATATTTAATATGTGTGAAGGTTCTGCTAATGCAATCCACCTACTCTGTAGGTTGGGTGGTATCTGAAGAAGAGCTACTCTGGTAGACACTTTACTTGCACTACAGCCTTCTAGTTGCATTGAAGTCAGAAGTGGCTAATGGCCTGATGCTATGCATGTTTATTAAGTCAAGTAAGTGTGTAGGAATTGAAATCCATAAGCAACTCAATTCAGAAAACTCCATGGTTCGGTCCGGTCCATTCCCTTCAATACAATAAAGACTCAGGGTGGGCAACAGCACACCATGTGCCACATTCAGCCATTGACTTACTCTGTGTGCCCCCAATGCTCCCCCCTTCCAGCATCTTCCAAATCTCCCTTTGATCAAGTACCATCCGACATGGCAACTGAGCTGCCTATGGAGAAATAGAATGCCTTGTTCTTGCTCCAGCAGATCGCTTTTCTTCCCTGCTAAGCTCAGAGAAAGAGAAGCCTCTTTTTCTGCTCCTAGGATGCCAGTTGAGAAACAGATCATTCTGTTCTTGCCCTAGCATCTCACTTTATTTCCTTGCTAGGCTGGGGGGAAATGAAGCATTGATTTCCTCACCCATCATGGAAGGAAAAGAGAATGGGAATTATGTATTATGTGAATGGGAAGGAAAGAAAGAAAGCGTTGGATGGAAATGGATGATGCTCAGTGAATAGAGCATGAGACTCTTAATCTCAGGGGTGTGCATTCAAGCCCCAGGTTCCTGCATTGCAGGGGATTGAGCTAGATAACTCTCATGGTCCCTTCCAACTCTACAATTCTATGATTCTATGAATGTGTGTATGAATTAGTATGAAAACGAGAAATGGAAGCGGGTGGTGAAGAGAGAGACTGAGGGAGAGAAAGAGAGAAGATGCTCCCTTCCTTTCTTTCTTTTACTGTGCTTTGTGTGATGATGATGAACTGGGGAGTTTGTATATATGGCTCTGTATTTGTGTGAGTGTAGATGGATGGATAGATGGATGGATGGATGGATGGATGGATGGATGGTAAAAAGGTAAAGGACCCCTGGCCAGTTACGTCCAGTCAAAGGCAACTATGGGGTGTGGCTCTCAACTTGCTTTCAGCCCAAGGGAGCTGGCATTTGTCCACAGACAGCTTTCCGGGTCATGTGGCCAGCATGACTAAACCGCTTCTGGCACAATGGAACACCATGACAGAAACCAGAGTACATGGAAATGCCATTTACCTTCCAGCCACAGTGGTACCTATTTATTGACTTGCACTGGTGTGCTTTCAAACTGCTAGGTTGGCAGGACCTGGGACAGAGCAACAGGAGCTCACCCCGTCATGGGGATTTGAACCACTGACTTTCTGATCGGCAAGCCCAAGAGGCTCAGTGCCACCCGCATCACCCATGGATGGATGGATGGATGGGACTGTGAATATGAGTGCACGTAATGGCTAGATGAAGGAGACATGGGGTGCTTGCCAACTTTTGACACACCCACCACTACTTTGCGTCTCCTGGCCACTTTCCCTTGAGGGTACACTACCCTAAAAGTGAAAAAAGGATTACCCACTCTTGACAACACTGTGATCCTAAACGAGTCCCAACAGCAGCAACAACAAAGCTTCCATTTCCAAGTTAGCATTTAAAACTAATGTTCAGTGCACTCATGCTTAGCTGGCTTATAGAATGGACAAACTTCAGCATAAGTATGGCAGCCTAAATTGCTTATGGATTGCACTATGGTTATGATGCATAGTCAGTCAATGCATTACTCCTGCTAGTAGAATGACATCATGAAGCCTTGCCTTTAAATGTTTGAAGTAATGTTACTGTTTTTGTTAGACACAACATCTTTGATTCAAATAATTGCTTTTGTGTGGGGGACAAGTGTCATTGATTGTATTTGTCAGAAATTCCTGGTTTGTGAGCAGGAATGATGGCAAGAGAACAATGCTGCCTCAACTGTCCTAATCATCCCATTTTTTGTGGGAGTTGTGGAAGTTCCTAATGACAAATCAATATCCATGCCCATAACCGTGTGACACACATCAGGGAGAATCAGGAAATTGACAATCTTTTTCATAGACTGCAGAGTGAGTAATGTGGCCTGATTCAGAAGGCTGTTGGTTAAGGAAGCCATTTCGTATGAGCCATAAATGGAAACGCATCTGACATGGGTGCAGTAGGAAAAATGGGGAGGCAAGCACAACAGATCCAAAAGGAGATGTTTCTTGGGCTGCTGTTAAATACTCTGCATCTCAGAATGCGAATAAAGAAGTGGGAGTCCTAATGGTAGTTTGGTCTGGCTGCAGAGGCAATGAGGCTCAGCAAGGAGGCACAGGTGATGGAACTGGGCATCGCCCTTCCCCAAACTTCATTCCAGCTTTGCTAGTCACATAGAAATTTCCTTCCTCTTCCCTATAAGTAACCAGGACTTCATACTCTCTTCACACACTTTGCTTGGTCCACTGTTATTATGGACAACCGGGGAATGTCTTTATGACCTACAATATATTTTTCAATTGGTAATTAAATAAAACTGCGAAGGGAGCACTTTGGGGAGAATACGTCAAGGGATGAGCTCTTACTATATATGGCTTATAAGAGTTGCTGAATGGGATGTCAGAAATTCATTGCAGCTGGGAAGGAAAATTGTAAAAAAAAGCTTCAGAATCACTGAACAATACACCTTTATTTTTTTATACAACGTCTTTCATTCAGTCATTGTCTCTGAAACTTCACAGAGAATGAAAAACAGATTTCATTTTTTAAGAGCAGGTAATGTTGTTTATTTAAAGGGGGAAATATGCAGGATCTGAAGGAAAAAAATGACCTCATGCTTGTGTAAGTCAGGTATGGTTGCATTTAAATGATTTGACTTCCTAATGGTAATGCAGCCTAAACCAGAGTGAATCAACAGAGTGATCACCAACATTAGTCATACTCTGAGTTGGCCCACTTAAATGACTGGACCACTGATTTCAATAAGTCTGTTATGACTATGATGTTTGGATACACCCTCCCATGAAGATGAGTGAGATGCTGAAGTCCTATGGTGGTATGCTGGGCAGGGGCAGGGAACTTCAGACCTGGGGTAGGGGACTGTCCACTGTATCTGGCCCTCAGAACTTTCCAGGACAACACCCTCTCTCTCCAAGGCCACACTCCTAACCAGTCCTGCTTTTCATCCTCCCCTAGTATTTGCCTGCCTGTAATTAGGGGAAGGATTTGATTCAGTTCACTGATCTAATTCACAATTTTTTTTGAGACCATCCATGAACCAAAACACAGCCATCCTTTGAGATTCACAGTTCTCAGGCCCGCTAACGTGAGCAAAAACACATATACATATACATGCGTAACTTGTGCATAAGGTAAAGGTAAAGGGACCCCTGACCATTAGGTCCAGTCGTGGCCGACTCCGGGGTTGCGGCGCTCATCTCGCTTTATTGGCTGAGGGAGCCGGCATACAGCTTCCGGGTCATGTGGCCAGCATGACTAAGCTGCTTCTGGTGAACCAGAGCAGCGCATGGAAACGCCGTTTACCTTCCCACCAGAGCGGTACCTATTTATCTACTTGCACTTTGACGTGCTTTCCAGTGGCGTAGCGTGGGGGGTGCAGGGGGGCCCGGCCGCACCGGGCGCAACATCTGGGGGTTAGGGTTAGGGAGCGCAAATCCACGGGTTAGGGGGCACAAATTACTTGCCTTGCCCCGGGTGCTCACAACCCACGCTACGCCACTGGTGCTTTCGAACTCCTAGGTTGGCAGGAGCTGGGACTGAGCAACAGGAGCTCACCCCGTCGCGGGGATTCAAACCGCCAACCTTCTAATCGGCAAGTCCTAGGCTCTGTGGTTTAACCCACAGCACCACCCGCGTCCCTAACGTGTGCATATAAAGCATATATTAGTGAAAATAACATATAAAAACACACACTTTACGTTGGGGAGTGGAAAAATGAGACATTGAGATAAGTTGAAATTGGCAGATTTGCCCATCCCCATCTGAAATGTGTCCTTGAACTGAGATGTTGCATCTTACTTGCCTAGATAGAAGATAAAGAGATGTATGTTGTTGTACATGTACAGAAGCATCTGTGTTGCTAAAGCAAAGCCTATTATAATAAAAGACATGTCCCATCTGACCACAGACATGTGGCCCTTGCAAAGTTCCCTTGGGCTGAAGAAGTTTCCTCACCCCTGCAACAGAGTGCTCCACTTCAGGCTGCGTAGGAGGCATTCAATTTTTGAACGCTCCCCCGGGGAGGAAAAATACCCCAATGCAACTCTTTATAAGTAAAAATATAACATATCAAGGGGAAGACTATACTGAATTCTTCTCCCTGACATGCTCATTTCCTACATGCAGGAAGTTGTTTAATGTATCTATAATTCAGAAATGGTATTTCCCATCTGCAGCCTGAAGTGCAACCTATAGTTCAGAGACTATCTCTGTCTCACCTGAGCCTGGCCTGCACATGCAGGAGGAGAATGCGATGATTGCACAGGGATTAGAACCTAGATCCTTTCAGGCCTGAGTCCAACTCTTTCTACACTATATGTGTGTGTAAAGGTGAAGGTACCCCTGACCATTAGGTCCAGTCGCGGACGACTCTGAGGTTGCGGCGCTCATCTCGCTCTATAGGCCGAGGGAACCGGCATTTGTCCACAGACAGCTTCCGGGTCATGTGGCCAACATGACTAAGCCGCTTCTGGCGAACTAGAGCAGCTCAAAGAAACACTGTTTACCTTCCTGCTGGAGTGGTACCTATTTATCTACTTGCACTTTGATGTGCTTTCAAACTGCAAGGTGGGCAGGAGCTGGGACTGAACAATGGGAGCTCACCCCGTCGTGGGGATTCAAACCGCCGACTTTCTGATCAGCAAGCCCTAGGCTCTGTGGTTTAGATCACAGCACCACCTGTGTCCCTTATGTGTGTGACAAATGTCAATTTACCAGTACTCAGCTTGGAGGCCTTTTCTGACCCCATTCCACCTCCTTCTCAGCACAGCCTGCATCTGGCTAGGATTTGCTGCTAAAGTTTTCAACTGTTTCCATGTAGCATGCAATAATGTTGGTCTTCTTTCTGATCCAATCCCTCACAGTGTCTTAGAAATTTAGAATGCCACCCCACATTCAGAAATACTTAGAAAGCATTACTTTGTAAGATGTTTCTTACAGATGGTCAGATGCTCTTCAGAGGAATTCACCCTCCAGAGCAGGAAATCCTTTCTGGAGGAAAAGGAATTTTAAGGCTCAAGGACTCTTGGGAAGCTACTTAATCTGCCGCATCGTTTAGATCTGAGTGCAGAAGAACGCAGGTGCCTATGGAGGGCACTAGGGCAAGTAATTAAAATTCACTATTGGGGTTCCACTTCCACAGCTTCTCGGAGCTGAAGTCTTTGTCTGAAGAGAGTAGACAGAGTCAATGAGATAAAAGGAATTCACAGTCTTTAAGTCCAGAAACAGTGGAAATAAAACGGGATAGCGTGTTTTGGACACTTGCTTTATGGACAACCTCTTCCGGCAGATATTTAATAGAATCACAGAATTGTAGAGTTGGAAGGGACCCCAAGAGGCATCTAGTCCAATTCCCTGCAATGCAGAAGTCTCAGCTAAAGCATCCATGACAGGTGGCCATCCAACCTTTGCTTAAAAACCTCCAAGGAAGGACCTCCCAAAGGAGACCGTTCCACTGTCAATCAGTGTCTCTTATTGTCAGGAAATTATTCCTGATGTTTAGTCGGAATCTCCTTTCTTGTAGATTGAATCCATTGGTTTGAGTTCTACCCACCAGAGCAGGAGAAAACAAACTTTTCCCCTGTTCCATGTGACAGCCTTTGAGATATTTGAGGATGGCTATCATATCTCTTCTCTGTCTTCTCTTTTCAAGGCTAAACATATCCAGATCCTTCAACCGTTCTTCACAAGGCTTGGTTTCTCAGACCCTTGATCATCTTGGTTACCCTCCTCTGCACACGTTTCAGCTTGTCAGCATCCTTGTGCCCAGAAATTGTGGTGCTGAGAATTGGACACAGTGTTTCAGGTGTGGTCTGACCAAAGCAGAATAGAATGGTACTCTTATTTCCTATTTGCAAGGCATCTTTTGAGTGGCTTTGCTCAGTTTTGATGAGAAGGCTCCTTTGGTGGTGGAAAGTGGGTCAGCCTTCCTTCCTTTCAGGAGCTCCACTCCAGTTTCACTCACTTCCACTCAACATATATGAGACACTAGGTGATATTATGGATAGCTATGGAGCGTTTGCCACTGCTGACAGCCAACTTTCATCTTTTCTTAACACCCAACCCACTACCCTCAGTTCTTAGACAGTGTCCATGGCCGTCACTATTTCTCCATATCTGGGAACTTGCTGTATCCCAGAGGTCTGTGATCCTGTGGACTTTTTCCTGTGACCCTCTGAGGCCCTCCTCAAATCTGTCCATTAAAAAAAGAAGTATTTAATTAAATTGAATTGCTGCTGTCATAGCAATAAGTTAAAACAATGATGCCCAAAGGGGTTTCTCCCCCAATTTTTCAATTTCTTTTTAAATTTTAAATATTTTATTGATCACTTCCATGTGCCCCCTGCTGTGATTCCGTGATGCCAAAAAGGTATTTGCGACCTGTCATAATCTCCCCATCTTGAAATTTAACATCTCCATGCAGAATATAAGAATGATGAGAACAGCAACAGCAACCATGTAGAATATTGAAACCATCACTCACATTTTGGTGTGGTTTAGATTTCACAAAAGCCTAAAACTAGTGAATAGATTTGCATATATCTAAGCCAAGTTGTTATGAAAATGTTTCTCGATCTTCCCAGGCCAAGTACACTGTTTACTACTAACTAAGCAAACTTTAGCTGATACTCCCTTTTCTGTAAATAAATACATCTGTCAAATATGAATCAAACAGCCTTGTCCTTCACTATGAAGCCAAGGAACTTTGAATAATTAGAGGAAGTTGCCTTACGCCACTCAGTCTGCTACACTGATTGGCTGCAGCTCTGCAGGGCTTCAGAGGCCATCTTGGCTGTGTGTCCTGGAAGACTTGCTCCCTTGCGTTGCAGGACTTTCTGCAGCTGGTCTGGAAGGGCAGGGCCCTGACTCCAGTTGCAAAAGCTGAGGACGCTAAACAGACTGTTGGGCTGTAGTGTTGTTTCGTTTGCAGCTGTCATTGATACTACTATGCTGTTATTGATACCCATAGCATAGGGTTTTTTTTTAAGCAACAGTATCAAAGAACCGTTGTGTGTGTGGAGCGGGAGATGAAATATATGCAAAGGTGTAGGGAACATTTGATCTTCCAGATGTTGCTGGAATGATGACTGGCCATTAGTACACTTTCTGGGGCAAGGAATTGGCTATCTTTCGCCTGGTAAAGAGGAGACTGAGAAGAGATCTGATAGCCTGAAGGGCTGTCTCATGGAGGATGGAGCAAACTTACAAAAAAGGAAAGTCAAGAGAAACATCAGGAATAATTTTCTAAAAGTAAGAGCTGTTCAACAGTGGAACAGACTCCCTCTGGATGTTGTGGATTCTCCTTCCTTGGAGGTTTTCAAGCAGAGGTTGGATGGCCATCTGTCATGTATGATCGAGTTGAGATTCTTTCTTTCTTTCTTTCTTTCTTTCTTTCTTTCTTTCTTTCTTTGGCGATCACTGGTAGCCAAGTAAGATTGTCTTCCATAAACACGGTTTTAACAGTGAGTCCGTAAGTGACTGTGGAGTCCAATTCTGGATCCACATATCCTTCCACAGTGGTTTCCAGGCAGGAGTTGATCCCTCAGGGTCCCTTCCTACTGGACAAATCTATTATTCTTCTGGTTTACACAGGGAGCAGAATAATGGCAGTATGGGGGCATCAGATTTCTTGGTTTCAAGGAGAGTGTATGGATTTGTACTACTTCAGAATGCAGGAGGGAGTGGGGATGCATGTTCTCAGTACCTCCCAGCTGTGCTAGCTGGGACTGATGAAAGCTGCAGTGCCAAACATCTGGAGGGCACCAGGTTGGCAAAGGCTGCTGGGAAATCTCCCACCCCCGCCTTGAGGAAGATTACATTTCCCCAGGCCCTCCATGTGAACGTTTTCTGCCAGTCGAAATCTTTTCCACTCGATCACAGCAGGAAGACTTGGAAGTAAATCCCAGCGACTTCAGCGGAATTTATTCCGAAACCCCATCAAAGAAAAACGTCGAGATGTCCCTTGTTTGTACACCAGCGCTCGATTCTCTGCCTGGCTATCTTCCTTCCTGCCGGTGTCAGCTGGAAAGAGCCCGTCAAGTTATCAGTCCTCCTCTAGGCAGATGAAACACTTCCTTTTCGTCTTCACAAGGTGCTGGTTGTGTGAGAGGCGCCTACACACAGAGAAGCATAAACTCCCAGATAAGTAGAAATTTTTGATTGTGTTTCGGGGCAGGAACTCCGGAGCGCCACGTTTCTGCAGAAATCTCTGCAGAAGGATCGCGCCCCTCAGTCCTCTTTCCAGGGAGTAAGACTATGACCATATATGCACTTAAACCTAGTCTGTCTGACACGTGTAAACCACCAGTCCATGGGACTACCTCAAAGGGTGTCTAAATGCCACCCTCCCAAAAGGGGGATTGGCACCTAGGTCCTTTTCATAGAATCAAAGAATGATAGAGTTGGAAGGGATCTCAGGGTTCCTCTAGTCCAACCCCCTGCGTATCTCCTGCGAAATTTAATAGAACTTACTTCTCGCTGCTTTTATGCTGCAAACCAATACCAATTTTCTTGGGAGTAAGCCCCGTTGAACTCCGTGCACCATCTTTCTGAGTAGGTACGCTCTCATCCTTCTCTGGACAAGGGCTTGTAGCCCGATCCCATGCGTGTTTACTCAGAAGCAGATCCATCCCGGGCAGATCCCATGGGGAGAAGAAACTTGATTCAGATTCGCTGCTTCTGGTTGATAACAAATGAGAATTTCTTGCGCCCAGGAATGGGGGAAAACCGTAGAAAGCTAATGTTCAGGACCATGGAGCCACCTCAAAAGCACCGTCCTGCGAGGTTTTGTGTGTGTGTCCTCATATCCTCCTTAGATCGACATTTCCTGGATCAAGAGGATTCCTATGCTGTCACTTTTCTGAACCAGGCGAATCCAGAGGAGACCTCCAATGCCCGTGGTTTACAGCCCAGTTCTGGCTGTGCCTACTCAGAAGCAAGTCCTGTTGAAAATGAGGCCTACTCTCAGGTAAGTGGGGTTAGGAGGATACCCACTCACTTCTGAGCAAGACATCTATAAGGTTGCACCCTTGGCGCCTCTTTACGCAGGGAGGAAAGAAATTGACCAGAAAATGCAGCCTCTCCGCTCCTTGTCTGGGTGATCTGAAGTAGACCGGGAAGGATTTATGAGCCTTGTTGTTTAACAAAGGGCCACGACAAAATGACACACACACACACACACACACACACCCCGTTAAAAGAAAGGACTGAAATGAAGAGAGCTGGAGCAGATCTTTGCGTGGAAGAAGGACTTGAACTCAGCTCAGTTCTGCAGCTCATATTCCTCGGCTCAGAATACGTTCGTCCCAATGGATGTGTCTTGCACCTGGCTCGATTTGGGGGATCTAGTAAAAAAGAAAGCAGGTGAAGGCTGAAGTCTGTCCCCCCTCCGGATCCCATCCCACTCCTTATCGCAGGGATAGTACCCTAATCTCTTAGAACATATATTCTTATTGATTTATTGCGTTTTTATCTCATCTTTTCCTCTAAGGAGCTCAAGGTGGTGTACATGGTTCTCCTCCTCCGCATTTTATCCCCACAACAGCCCTTTGAGGTAGGTCGACCTGACAGGCAGTGACTAACCCAAGGACACACAGGGAGCTCCATGGCCCAGCGGGATTTGAACCCTCGTCTCCCAGATCCTCCTCCGACAGTCTTAACCACTCCACCATCGCTGCCTATAAAGATATTTTGAGAGAGAGGAAGAGGAAAGAACTTATGGCAACAGCACGCAGACACGTCAGTCCAATGGTGCTTCTGACCTCAACCGCCTTGGAATGCGGAGTCTATTATATTTGTTGGGACTACTACTCTACTCTACAGTTGCTTACCGGGTGGAAGAGGAGCGCAGCGTTATAGCCCTGGGTAAAGGTGTCCTCGACTTTCAGAGATCCAGTATCTCTTGCTGCCTTGGACCCAACCGTGGTACACTTGAAACAAGCGGAAACTCCAAAACCCGAAGTTCACCAGCCAAAGATGCCTCAGAAAGCGAGACAAGCTTTCTAGAACTTTATCAGACAAGAAGTTTCGCGAAGCAAGAGATGGAGGGGACCGGGGTTTATTTTATTTTTTTAAGTACCAAAATTAGAAGGGTGCTGTAGCATGAGATGGTCAGAGAGGTGTGATTCTCTGAGCACATGCTGAGAGCCCTCCCCGCCTGGACTGGAGAGCTCCCCTTGAATAAGAGCTCAAAGAATCATAGAATTGTAGCGGTGAAAGGGATCCGAGGGTAATCTAGTCCAACCCCCTGCAATGCAGGTTGGGGATATATTAAATATATGCCCATGGGGCAGTGAGATAACTTTCTAACAAGGGCTCCTCAACCTGATCCATACAAGCCCGCCGAAGCAAAGAATGGAAGCGTTTTGAATTTCAGCTCAGCCAAGAACAGGGGAAATATTTGGATGGATTCGAAATCATGGGTGGTGGGCTCTGTTCAGGCACCGGGTGGGGGTGAGGAGAGAGGCTCAGCTTGGCTCCACCCAGCAATAAAAGCCAAGGGTCTCCTCTGGCGTCAGGGACAAGACCCAGTCCCGTCGGTTCTGTTGCAGCAGGAAACAGCTACAAGGAGTTTGGTGGCCAGCAGATTTGATCGCAGCTGCAGCTTCGCAGGGCCAGAGAGCACTTTGCCCGGCATGTATGACTGGCGAGCCTCGGTTGGTGGTTGATATCGAAATATGCCCTTTGAAATATCAGGTGTAATGCGAGCAATACTGCCAAGTCCTGCTGATGTGAACTGCCCCGTTGCCTAAACTTGGATATATTTTAAAGGTTGCAGAATAATAGCATATACTTATATCATTTGTATTTCATGGAGGTCTGGTCTGACTTAGACAGAACTCTCTCTCTCTCTCTCTCTCTCTCTCTCTCTCTCTCTCTCTCTCTCTCTCTCATCTTCCTCCATATCTATATATGGCGAGTGATCGCCAAAGAAGAAGGTATATATACTATGAAATGCGCCAGGCACACTTATGAGTTTCTCAGGTGCCGCCAGACGCCTAACAGTTTAAGCGCAACTAGAAAAATCCTCACCCCCACCCCATGCGTTTCGGATTCCGGAGCAAACTGTCCAGTGTGTTCGCCGGCGAGAAAACCCTATTGAACAAAACCTTGTGTCAAAGGTTCGCAGGCTTCCGGTCTCGCACAGAACTCTGAGCGCAAAGCGGGGAAGAGTTCTGTGCCTACCGACGCCTGGCAATCCTGACCGGTCCCCAACATTTATTAGAGGCGGGGGGTTCCATTTCCAAAAGAAAACGAGGGCTCTAAGCTCCCCAAAAGCCCTTTTACTATGAAAAGAAGGGTTTTTTCCCCCGGGGTAGGGGGAAGAAAGACCGCATCAGAGATGCGAAGGCGGGAAGGTACTTTAGACCCGGACAGAGTCAGGGCAGACCGTTTTATTTATTCTTTCTGTACTCCGAGGGCTCGAGAGGAGGAGGAGGAGGAGCAGGAGGAAGGCGCCGGGTGGGACTTGGGAGGAGATGTGGGGAGTGGGAGAGAGGAGGGCGTATGAGTCAGCTTCCCTCCCTGTCAACTCGGCTCGGCTTTTGGGGGGCGGAGGGAAAACTGCGCCGGGGGAAGCTATAAAAGCGAAGGGGGTAGGAGGAGAGCTAGGCGAGTTGCCGGGGACCGGGCTGGAGCGCGGACCGACGGGACGGACAAGGCGCTTGAATCCGCTTCTGCCCAGCTAGGCGCGCTGGGTCCTTCTCCCCCAGCACCCACCCAGGACTTTCGCCTGGCCTTCCCTCGGGATGTCCGGGACCAGCTAACTACAAGCGCGAAGGAAGCGAGCGTGTGTCCCTTTTTCCCCGACGGAAGCGCGAGCGAGAGGGCGCTAAGCCCGCCCGCCCGGCCAGCCATCCAGCCTTGCCTCGACCGGGAGCGGGTCGCCTTGGAGTTCGCCCCGCGGGCTGCTCCGGCAGCAGCTAGAGGCGGAGCAGGCGGGCGGCGAGCAGGGACTGCCTTCCTTTCGCTCCCTCCTTCTCCAGAAGCGCAGCCGCTGCCGCAAGGACCGAGCCGCCCGCCAGCCCGCCCCCTCCAGGGAGCGCTTCTCGCGCCAGTCTCCTCGGAGTCTTTTCCAAAATGCCATCTGGGGGGCTTTGATGTGCATCGCCTGCGCTTCCGTGAATGAGAAGAACATCGCGATGCAATAGAAGCAGAAGGTGCTTTGAAATATCTATATAAAACGCACCAGTCAAGCCAAGAACAAGACCCACACCCCACCCCCAAACCCCGGAAAAGAAGCGTCAGCCTTCCTTTCTGGGGCGAGGGGAGATGATCATGCTGAGCTGGAATCAGTTCTCCACGTCGCGCCCTCTACTCTTCCTGGCTGCGCTCCTGGTGGTGGAGAGCTCCCAGCTAGACGGCACCAAGGTGAACTCTATCAAGTCCACCCTAATGGGCGAGACGCCGACGCAGGCGACCACCAACAGGTCGACCACCTTCCACCAAGGATTGGCTCTCGGGAGCAGCAAGAAGGGCAAAATCTTGGGCCAGGGGGGCAAGGGGCTGAAGCATTATCACCGGCAAGGCGAGGTAGGAAGCCATCCCTGCCTACTTCTTTCTTTCTTTCTTTCTTTCTTTCTTTCTTTCTTTCTTTCTTTCTCTCGGTAGGATACCATCCCTGCCTTCCTCCTTTCCCATCCGGTTCGCGCAGCCCGCTCCTCTGCTTGCAACCAAACTGCTCTGTATCAGCCCACATGATGCTTCAGGAACTTAGCTCTAACCCTCTTTTCTTAAAAACAAACAAACACCAGTTTCAGGACTAGGGGGAGCTCCTTCCCCTCTCAGGTCCGTCCACAGCATTCAGAGATAGACTGCTCCTGAACATGGAGGGTCTCTTGTCTAGGAATCTCTAGCTAACAGTGGGTTGTAGCCAAATGCTGGTCTTACTCAGAGTAGACCCACTGAAATTAATGGACTTAAGGTACTTGGCTGATTTGAATGGGCCTACTCTGCGTAGGACTTGCACTGCACGCAGCCCAAAGATAAAGAAATAAAAACATGGCAACAGAGTAATGATTGCTAGCCCTATCACAGTGTTTTCTCTCTGTTGTGTGTGTGCACACAACACTTCGCAGGGGTGTTGTGAAGATAAAATGGAGGCGAGTGGGACTTATGAATGTTGCCTTATTCTCCATGGAGGAAATGTGAGATGTATTACATTTTACACAGTAGTAGAAACAGTGGGCGCTACTAGGAAGAATGATAATTTTTCATTGTTTTGCTATTTGTTGTGTGACATTAGTGCGTCCAGTTGGCAGAGGTGCAAAATTGCAAAGTTGAGCATGAAATCAGAACATTGTAAGACAGTGATCCTAAGCCGGCTTGACTGAAATCAGTGGTACTGATTGCTAAGCGCTTAATGATCAGGATATAAATGTGTCTCCAATTACAGGGGAATAGTTGTTGCTCTCCTAAGTGAGGGTAAGGGCATCAATGCTCACTCTCATAATAGAGGTCAATAGCTGGAGAGCCCAGGAATCAAATTCAGCTCCCTGACAGAACAAATCTCCACCACATACACTCACAGTAAGAAAGACATTAGTGGCTGTGGAAAGAAAACTGGTTTCTAGTTTATTTGGGGGTGGGTGAGACAGGAGCTGCAACTCTAACCTCCATTCCACTACTGAAGTGTCCCCACACCACCAGATCAGTTGCTAGCCAGGGTTTGGGAGTCAAAACGAAGGTAACTCTGGAGATCTGTGATCATATCTACCGAAACTGCTCCCCTCCATAATAAGGTTTCTTTTCCTCCTGTCCCATCTTCCCAATACTCAGATTATTAGGGACATTGTACTCTTATTGAGTTATGGGATTTCTCTCCTTGCCTCCTGACTTGAATAACTTTGGTGTTCTGCATTCCACAAAAAAAGCAAAGGGCATAGAAATTTGTGTATTGGTGGTGATCTGCCCAGACATTATTTGGCTGCTAAGGTAAGACTGTTTGATATGAGCCACAAGGAGACAGACAGTGCAGCAACTGGACCGCTAAGATTCAGTCAACAATGAAAGGGGCACTGGGTACAGTCCCTCTTTATCCTTAACAGGCTTTTAAAAAGAAAAGTTTGCTAAGTCACTTCATTTGCTGATCAAGTGACCGGGTCTCCTAACATTTTAGCAGTACCTTCTGAATAATAGGATGTACGGTAACAGTTTATGATGGAATATGTGGTTACCAGGTAGGAAAATTTATAATATTTGGGGAGGGGGTGAATCACAGATTCATTGTCTGACTCTTGACCCCTTTCCTCCATTCTGTTAACTGCAAACCTGTTGGTTAAAGATGTTAACAAAAGATGTTACAGCAGATTACATTTTAATGGGATGGTATGAAACATGTGCTGCCGTTCACAACTGAGTGTAATTGACAAAGTGGCATCCTCAAGGAAGGAATCTTTCGCCAGCCTTGGATTTAAGATGGATAGTAAGTGGAGACAGGCAATTCTGCCATGAGGGATTGCAATGCCAGCTAATGGGAGAATTAACGAGCATTCTGGCTTGTTTGTTTGTTTTTACCCATTGAGAATGTCAGAAAACAATGCTGGAATTTAGCCCAGACTATAGACAGTTACACTAGATCAGTGAATGAAGTTGTCACCATGTATTTGTGATCATTTGCTTTGCAAGGGTTCTGCTTCATTGGTGGATAAGGTAGCAAACACAGGTAGTGCAAAAATAGTTTGATATTGTACCTAATAATATGCACTATATTGATAGGATTTTCTCCCAGTGGGGTTTCCAATAAAGTGTGTTTTTTAAAAATAAAAAACCCAATAAAATAAAGAGGGTCTTGCTTATTCCATCACAAAGTCATTGAGCCATCCCCTCCCTTTTCTTCTTCCATTTCCAACTCCATGCCTTATACCATGCTGCCCCATGTGGTTGGATCGATCTCCTTTACATTCAGCAAATGACTTATGAATATTGTAAGTGGTATTATACAGAGTCAGTCCATTGATCCAGCATGACTGCCCAGAATCTTCAGGGCCAGACAAAAGAAAATTCTACCTGAAAATCCTGCCATTCGAAGTCTACCTAAAATATCGCTCGTTCCCTTTAAGCTCTTCACTGATAATTAATTTTGAGCCAAGCCCTCTCTAAAGTTCCATCTTAGCCTTAGCCTCACTTAGAATCATAGAACTGTAAGGTTGGAAGGTACCATGAGGGTCCTCTATTCCAATCCTCTTCAATGAAGAAATGTTATGCACCCTGTCCATTATTTACAGTGTGCATAATAACAAATAAATACCCAGTACAGCACAGTAGTTGGGACAGAAGTAAGAGCTAAGGCCAAGGTTGCTTTTCATTCTGTTTATTCACTGACTTTTCATTCTCTGAAAGTCAGTGTCTGGGATGCCACTGAACACGATTTTAAAGGGTCAAATAAAAAGACCTAGAACGACATGACATGCAGTTTGATGAAGTTCCACAATAGTAGTGGAAAACTCATTTGCTACTAAAAATGAGGATGGCAAAAGCCTTGCCTTCAATGAACTCCTGTAAACCCTTTTCCATTTGCTTTTGCCTGGAATTTTATTTTGAAATAGTTATAAATGCAGACAATGGAAAGGAAGAACGCATTTAACAATGCAAGAGGTCCACTAAATTAAGGGAAATTGACTGATTGCACTCCTTAGTCTATCATGGGACGGTGAGTGTAAAACAGCCTGAGGAGAAGCTGATTAACTATCTAGAGAGTTTTAATGTGTAAGCTAAGTAGCTGAATCACAGGGTGGGGGAAATATACAAACATCCTTGATCTACTTGATAGATCCTTGAATATAGCTATCAACTTTCAGATCTGAAAATAAGGGATCAGCAGCCTCACCTGTCCCGGGGACAGTCTACGGGATATCTAACAATCTGGGATAGCAGCAGGAAGCAGCAGGAAACGACGCTGGAATAAGGGAATTTCCCACAAAAAAAGGGAAGGTTGACAGCTATGTCTTTGAAGGGCTTCCATTTAGATGATAAGTGAAAACCGTGGTACTGTAGCATCTTTTCCTTTCAAGTTGAGATTCCTTGCTTGTTGCAGTTGCTGATATTTTTATCATCGCACAACTTCACCGCTGTGTACAATTGCCTAAGAAGGTTTTTATGCAGCTGTTCTGGAACTGGGGTTTCACACAGTGAACAAAGATTCTAGCAAATGGTATTGAATCTCCCTATCATTGATATAAACTGGGGTCAGTTCACCCAACAAAAGCAAGTGGCAAAGTCTGGACTCTTCCACAAAAGGCTTCAGGTGGGGTAGGATTTATTTCATTTTTTAATTTATTTTATATCTGTATTGCCTATTTCTCAAGGGAGACTCAGTGAGGTTAGGAAAGAGTAATAGAAACAGATATAATCACTAAAATGTATACATTCAATTTTTTTAAAAAATGAATAGTATCCAATCCCAGCACAGCCCACATGCAACAGAACTGAGCCAGCACAATTAGGCAGTTATGCTGCCTGAAGCGATAGGGTGATGGAGACTGATAAGCCTCATTTGGCAAGGCATTCCAAAGATCAGTGGTTCTCAGAGGGTGTGGCAGATGCAGATTTGGGGAGCACGACTGGAACGCTTGCATTGGGCGCTGAGGCGAGAGGGTGCTGCAGGAGGCACTGCAACAATGACTTAGAATGGAAGGCAAGAGGGCACCAAATTTTGACACCTCCAAGGGCGCTGCTGAAATTTGAAAGCCCAACATCTGCTGCTGGGTGTGGCGCATCACTCTGGTGTGGCAGGAGAGGATGGCAAGCATGGCGGGAAGATTCAAGGACAGTCAAACACATTGAGTTCTTATATACTTACGGTACATATCTAAGTGGCTCGTTTATATTTTGGGAATGATTCGTGTTCTTATATAGCTGCATTTTTTTATCCTTCCTGGATGTCCCATGATCTTATTCTAAAGTAGTTGTGTTCTGTGTTGTAAATCAAGCATGGCTAGGAGCTGTTTCTTTTGGTTTTCCTGTGTATTTCTTATCAATGAAAAAGTTGGTGTAGCACAAGCAAAGTTTTATTCTCTGAAGGCACAATGGAAAAGCTTGAAAGCTTCTCCTCCAATGAATACTCCCCCCCCGTACCTACAAACCTAGCATGCCAGTAGAAAAGCTCATTCCACTTTCTCCTTGCTTTCCTGTCTTTCTGTGTGCAGGGAATTTTTTCCTTGATATGCTGCTTTTCAGTGTGCAGAGAGAGCATTTAGACATTATCCTGAAGCCTGAAACCACACAGTCCGGAAAGAACATAACCATTTCTTTCTGCTAAATATGTAAGCTATCCCTTTATCTCTGCTACGAAGCAACTTATAGCAACAGAGTGGAAAGCAGTAGGGGCCTAGAATGATTATACAATGCATCAGTTTTATTATGCCTTGTTAACATAACTTGCCTAATCACACAGACCACTTACTTGAAAGTAAGTTCTGCTGAAATCAGTTGGGTTTATTTCCTCGACGTCATAGTTCTGAAGCCTGGAAGGTTCAGAAAAAGGCGGACAAAACTGTCAATGGGATGGAGCAACTCTATGAAGAAAGGCTGCACCATTTGGGATTTCTTTTAGTTAGGAGGTGACGTGATGGAAGTTTTTAAAATTCTGCATGGCATGAAGAAAGTGAGTAGAGAAGAGTTTTTCTTCCTCTCTCATAACACTAGAAATCATGGGCATTCAAAGTAGTTGAATGTTGGAAGATTCAGGGTCAGGCCCATGCAGTGTGTGTGCCAGGGGCAGCCAGGTACACTTGCCCCCAGGCCTTGGAGAGTTAAACTGGGTGGGGGCTCCTGCCAGGAGCCTTTTGGACTTACACCATCATGCCAAGAGTTTATAACCTTATTCTAACAAGACTCCTGCCCCGGGTCTCAGGCAAACTCTGCTTGGGCCTGTTCAGAACAGTGAAAAGAAAATATGTCTTTACACATCGCATAGTTAAAACTATGAACTTGCTCCCGCAGAGGGAGTGATGCACACAAACCTAGAGGGATTTAAACAAGGATTAGAGAAATTGGTGGAGAGGGCTATCAAAGGCTATTAGCCATGATGGTTATGCTCTGTCTCCACAGTTGGGGCAGCAATACGTCTGAATACCAGTTGCTGGAAACCACAGGAGCATGAAGTTTTCTTGTGCTGAAATCTTGCATGTGGGTTTCTCACAGCTACTGTGAGAACAGGATGCTAGACTAGGTGAGCCATCCAGCAGGCTCTTATGCAAATGACATTTCCAGAGTTGCCCATGGCAAGAGGGAGAGCCTGTGGTGGGACACAGGAAATTCATTGTCACCTACAGAGTTATGGGAAGTAAGTTTTATAGACAGACTAAAAAGACTAGTTTGGAGGAGCCAAGCAGTAGCGAAAGTGTTTATTATACGAGCAACTATTTAATCTCTGCTATAAAGACCAGATCTTAATATACTGTGGCTGGGATCTGTGTTTTGGGGGTGCAGCCTTAAGTATTCCTGGGTGCCATCCTTGTATGGCTTGACAATCCTTCAAATTGTGGCCAGTATGTTTAGCCCTGCAAGTATCTGCAGTCATTATCCTTTTATGAACTGATAATGGTTTTCTTCTTCAGCTGATCATTTGCTTTGATGGCATTAACGATTTCAAAGCTAGAAGTATTGCCTTTAAGAAGAGTGGTTTCATATATCCTAAATAATTAGCACATAACAGTCAAATATTTTTTGTTTTAAATGAACCTTTATTAGATTAGTACTTCTCCCTGACTTGTTTAGACTACAAAATATTGTTTGGAGGAACACAAAACTCTGTTTGTTAAAAGAACAAGGCTTCCTTTTTTTCCCATTCTCTCTCTCTGCCCGCTTTCTTTTCCTTTTCCTTCATGACATTTTATTTCTTTGATATGATTAGTTTCTAAGATGGTTGCCTCATTTCATAAAGAGAGAGAGAGAGAGAGACTTGGGAAAAAGAGGCAAATGCACAAAATGAATGAGATAAAGTGGCTTTGTTTGCTACTTGTAGCTATTAGAAAGCTACCAAAAGCGATCCCATTGTAAATTAATGGAGTGCAGTTGAAATGATTCTGCCCTGCACATTAAAAATGATTCTAGGCTACACAAAAGAACAGTGTTCAATGTGTGTTGGGCTAAGCCGATTAATCAATTTGCCTTCAAAATACCTCATAAATAAATAAAGGATTCAATCTTATGTGCACACTTCTTGGAAGTAAGCCCCATTGAACTCAATGGGGCTTCCTTCTGAGTAGACGTGGAAAGAGTGTGTCCAGAACAGCAGTTTTTCCATGTGATTTGCTGCTGCTAATCCACATCAGAGGAGGCCAAAGTCTGTAGTGCATTCCATTACCGTTTGCATTCCTCTTGCACACAAACGTGTGGGGGCCATTTCATACCGTGTGCAATGAAACAAATGGGTTTCCCACCAAGTGTATACACAACCGGGAGCTGCACTCAACTGTGGCTTTCTAGAAGGTGTATCTGTATGATGCAAGAGTTTTCAAACTCCTGCTTGTCATATCCATACGTTACATTTTTAGGTGTAAACTTTGCAATCCAGGCATACACCTTGAAAAATAACATGTGCTTCGGCCATGCCTATTTTTTTTGGGGGGGGGAAGGCCTGAGGTTTTGCACAGCTGGTCTAGAGACTGGACTTGTGGTTCTTCTTTTTCCTGGCAAGCGGTGTGCTCCATTACACAGTGCTTTGAATTTTTTGCCAGAATCCGGTTAAGGTTTTCAAAGCGTACCCCTCCTGATTCCTGACAACAGAGAACCATCAGGTTGTCCTGAAGGAAGTGCCAGCCTGGGCACTGATTCCTTAGTCACAAAACTTAGAATCATAGAGTTGAAAGGGACTCAAAGGGTCATCTATTCCAACCCCCTGCAATGCCTGAAACTTGTGTGTCAGCAGGATAGCATAATGTGTTCCAGTGTAACTCTGTCCCAGTCACTCTGGGGAATGGCCATTGCTCAGTGGTACGAGGTCCCAGGAGAGAGACTCCTTTCTGAAATCCTGCAGAGCCAAAGCTGGTTAGAGTAAGCTGGACCAATGGACTGATGTGGCTTGGGGCAACTTCCTGTGTCCTTCCACAACCAGAGTGTGCAGGATACGATTAATATGCCCAAAGGGTGGGGAGTGTTGCACCCCCTGGTTTGCTTCTGTTACCTCTGCCACCTGTCCTCAAAAGTTCCTTTTCATGCTACCAAGTTTGATAGTGGACGCTACCCAAGCTGGGAGAGAAATGCTGGTACCACCATTGGGCAAATGAGGCATTTGCTTCAGGTCGTTGAGAGTGTGTGCATGCCACCTGCCATGCCCTTCACTCTCGAAGCTTGGATACAGTTGAGGACACTGTCTCATTGCAACCGAAGCATAATTGAGCTTCCAATCTGGTCAGCTTCTATAGGTGGAAGTGTGAAGGCTTCACCTCAGGCAGTCCTGGTGGGAAGGGACCAGAACTTCTGCTTGTACATTCATTATGTGCATTAAATCACATCCCCATCTTCTGATATTATGGAGGACTGCATTTGAAGTCAGGTACCTGTTTTTCTTTACAGACAACAGTCTGATTTAGGCCTGGTTTAATAATACAGAACCAGAAGATGGGAGAGCAGCGGTCTTAAGATCAGCACCTGGACAGCAGACTGAACAGGCTCACAGATCACCTGATCACAGTATCCCTCACTAGAGTGATACACATCGTATTTCTATTTAAATTATAGCAATCAATTCTAAATTTGAGGTCTGGGCTGAACGCAGCTATTTCACTCTTCAATGGTGGGACATTTATTGAGACGCTCCACCCCGGGAGAATGACGGAATCCAACGGATTCCTGAATGCTCTGGAGGTATTTCCTCTGGAGGTATGACCTGCCTGGTGTTCCCATTGAGCCTCTTCTCTCACTCTGGAAGGGTGAGATGGGAAGAGCCATTGACATAATTGGTCCTGAGTGCCCTTGTCATTGCTTTGGAGCATGTAAGTCACCTTGGTACTCTAGTGTCCTATGTGAGATAAGACAGTAGGATCAGCAGTTAGAGCACAGGTGGTGTAAATCTTGGTCCAAAAACTGACCAAACATGGATGAGATTGCACCAGTGTGCCTACCATGTGTTGGTGGCAGAGAAAACTAACTTCTTCACAGCCGTTATATCTGCAAGTAGTTGTCCAGAAGAGCATTTCTGAGTGGTGAATGGGCTTTTGTCTCCTGGCGAAGAGAACATTGCTCTGACACCCTTGGAGGTCAGATTTGGACAGCTTTGGAGGCAACCAGCAGAACCATCCAAAGTATTGTCTGTTCCATCTGTACTGGATCACTTTCAATGATTGTGGCATGAGGAGGCAGACAAGCTCCTTGAAGAAATGAAACCACTCACCTGTCCCTTGCCCATCTTGGCTTCTTAGAGCTAGTTCTCTGTAGACATTGACAGTGTTAGGTAAAAACCAAGAAAATATGTGATGCAGTTTTTTGATGGGGTATAATCTGAGATCTTCTTTTACATTTATCAGTCACTTGATTATCGTTGCAATTATTATTTATTCACTCGGATTTCTAAGGAAGCTCCGTGGGTGAAGAATTTAAATCCAAACCAGAACATTTCTGTTTGGGTCCTTTGTGTACAATTTCCCCCCTGGGCTGGAGCATACCATTAAAACTGAGCTTGTCACATCCCGAGAAGAATCCCTAGCTGAAGTTTCATACCGGTGGTCAAATAAAACTGTACAACACTGAATAATTGACCACAGTATCCTGAAGGCACAGCCATAATAGGCCCTCTTGAACACCAAACATGTAACCACAGTATCTTAAATAATTAGTAACCCAGAGAATTCCAAATCCTTAACCATGGGACCTCAGCAAAATTTCACTATGCAAACCAGAAGCAATTGCAGTTCTGGACGAGCAGTGAGAGCTGTTTGCCATTGTGCTTTGCTTTATAAAGTCTTAAGTGTTTATTACGATGAAGCTTCCTTGCTTACTGTTGGTGTTCCTATTCGCTTTTCCTTCCAGGGATTTCATCTTGTCATGTGGAGGCTCCTTTGATTTACTGCATTTTTAATATGGCAACTTGAAAGAGGGGAAAATACCATAATGTATTTTATTATCTCTACTATAATAAGCCCCAGCCTGTAGTCGAGATCAGAGTCCTACTTGGCTGAGCCATTTACAAAAACCCACCAGGATAAGAGCATCCTTGATTGGATGATCTTGTAATTCAAACCAGTAATACAGAGAAGCTAGGAAAGCATTGGTATGAAAATGATTTTCCCTGTATAATGGCCCTTCGTATTTAGAATGCAATTCCACAATGGGATGGGTGGGCGGGTGATGGGACAGGCATAGACAACCACAGCCTTCAAGCTTTGATTGCATAGATTAGTTTTGTGACTGTTCCTCATATCTTATATTGCTGAGTGAGAGAGGGGGAGCTACAGACAAGGAAAGAGGGAGAGATAGATAGCAGAGGGAGGGGGAGAGAGAGAGCCCTATAGAATCCTGCCATGGTGCAAACCCCACCCACTTTGCCCACCCATTGGCTGTGGCACTGATTGACTTTTCCCATGGGTCAATAGTGTTTTGTAGGGGGAAAGTTCCCTGTACATCTCTCTCTAGTAGACTGTTGCTTCCAGAATTGACACCTGATTGAGGGACCACAGCTCCATGGTAGAGCATCTGCTTTGCAGGTAAAAGGTCCATTCCTCAGCATCTCCGAGTATGACTGGGAGAGATCCTTTTTTGAAAGATGCTGTGCAGCATCTACAATACTTAGTCTAGGCAATATTGAGCTAGATGGGCCAATGGTCTGACCCAATATAAGGCAGCTTCCTCTGTTCACTATGATGAGGGCACTGGGCAAGGTGTCCTATGGTGAGCCTGCTCCTCTGATGTTCTTATGTGGCTGTGGTGGGAGCATTCCAGGCAACATGCCTCTGAATACTAGTTTAGGGAGAACAGGCCAGAGCCATCTGGCTGGCCATTCAGCAAAACAGGATGATGGAGTAAGTCAGCTCTTAGCTGGGTCTCTGGCTACCCTTTCTAATTTCCCACAATGCCCCAGAAATATTGCTAGGCTAGGAACATTGCATACATTAAAAGGGTGTCTAGGTCCAGCTGTCTTTGCTGTTTTGAGTTCCAGGCAGGAAAAAGAAATCAAAGGGCAGCAATGACAACTGCCCTATGATGTCAGATATGGATGCTGGTCTTGCTGGTAAGCATTGTTGCAGCACCTCCTAAGGTGCACCTCTTGACTTGCACATGCAAATGCCTCCTAATGCTGGAGGCTGATGGGTCAACATGTATTTGGTTGGAGTTTCCCACCCCCTCCCGGGAGCTGAAAGTGCTTTGGCAGCACCACCATTATGGATCATATAAACCAGGGATGGGGCATCTCAGGTCTAAGAGCCAAATGTGGCCCCCTAGGCCTCTCTATCTGACATCTAGGATTCTCCTTAGCTCGCAGCCTATCTTCAGCCATACCCCTGACCTGCCTTGCTTTGCATCCAGTGTTTTGGCTAAAATGTGTCTTTGAACTCCGATAATGCCTCTTGCCTGAGAGGGAGAGAGATGTGCCAGCAAATAAACATTGGTTTCTCAACCAACTTTTGATTCTAACTCCACCCACCACCAGCATATGGCCCCTGGAAGGGAGTATGGCCCTCAGCACAAACAGCGTTCCCCAGTTGTGATGTAAGCACTCATTTGCACTGTCCATAGTGTTCCAGAACTGGCAACATCTAGAACTTGCAACACTGAGTAGATGCATGGTGACCAAAGTATAGATAGCCATGTTGTTGTTGTTGTTTAGTCGTTTAGTTGTGACCGACTCTTCGTGACCCCATGGACCAGAGCACGCCAGGCACTCCTGTCTTCTACTGCCTCCTGCAGTTTGGTCAAAATCATGCTGGTAGCTTCGAGAACACTGTCCAACCATCTCGTCCTCTGTCATCCCCTTCTCCTTGTGCCCTCAATCTTTCCCAACAATCTGTTGTCCTGTCTCTAGCTCTTTTGCAAACAGTTATCCATCCAGAAAATACTTTGTTCTTGCTAAAGGTTCTCCAGAAAATTATTATGACAAAACTGATTTGAGAATTCCCATCTAAGAAGAAGACAACATGTTAAAGAAACTGCTCAGCTCCTGCTATTTCTTTTAGAGAATTAGTACCCAGCTGAGGAAATGAGGGTTTATGGAGTACTGAATAAAGAGATCTTGCAAAAAGAGGGAAAATGTATATTTTGTGGTGGTGGTGGAGGAGAAAGTGTATAAATGAGATGAGGGTTTTGTATGGGACATTAAGCAGGCATGGCAGGCAGATGACTCTCCTAGGAAACAAAGCAACTCTGCAAGCCCTGAGAAATCATTTCATAAATATATGCACTGTACCATTATTGTAGGATAATATTATTAGTTATGTGTGAACATATGGAAGGAGGCCTTCAGGTGTACAGAAATCCCAGATGTCTTGCAAAAGAAGAAGAAGAAGCTCTCTCCCACCACACGCACACATTTTGGCATGAGTATTTATTTAGTGTGCTGGAAGTTCTTCAGCCAGTCTGGGAGCAGATGTTACACCACATGACTGCAGTAACCAATGGGAAGCCCCCAGATGCTGAGCCTCAAGTAGATGACATACAACAGTTTACTATTCACTCATGGGCTGAATGCTTTTTCATCCAAGGTTTTTGGGGGATGCGTGCCAATAACAAATGAAACAGTAGAGATCAGGATCTGGTCACGAAGGATCTGGGGACTCCATTTGTAACAAGCATTATTTACAAAGAAACAGTTCAATTAGCATAGCACTGTTCAGAGAGAGCTTGTGCTGGGCTATGTATAGGGTGTGCATTTGTAGGGAAACCATGGGTTGTCCCCCACCCCCCACTGAAGTGGCTTCCAGACAGCTACAAAGCAAAACTGGCCACCAGCCTTCCTTTCTATGGTTCCCAGAGCAAATCCGAGTGATACATTTTACCTCATGTGCGTTTTGTTAAGGGTAAAGTGTTCACTGAAGCAGAACAGCTGTCTGTCAAAAGCTAAGTTAAAAATTCACTCAATATTAAAAGTTTCATTGGAAGGGCTCCTTAACTCAGTAAAAATGTTTTTTTGGGTGTGTGTTTTTTTGCAATTGTTTGAATTAATATAATGCTTCCAAAATGCTTTTTAGGAGTGCTTGTAAAATTCTGGGCTTGTTTCCCCCCCACCTTTGCTATCTTCCAGAACTTCCCTTGTAAGGAAATGGCTTTTTAACCAGAAGAATCCTCTTGAAATTATAATATTTTTTCTTCCAAAGGGGTCCTCACCACAGCAGCTGCAACAAATTGAAAGTGAACTTTAGTCTCAATTGGTGTTTCAGATTTAAAAGTATGAGTGACCAAGTAATTATGATTATTATAACCTGCAAGACAACTTATTGGGAACTGGATCTTTTTTAAAAAAAACAAAAAAACACCCCAGATTCTATCAAAATAAAGCAGGTAATACAAACAAAACAAAAAGCAGCAAGCATACATAAAAAGCAGAGTAGGGGTTTTGAGAAAAGTTTCCTTCTGAGACATGCCCCTGCCACTTGGGGTGCTTTCACAAGCTCTTTTGACTCCATTAGGAACATAGAAACCTGCTTTACATTCAGCTAGACCCATTGATCCATCTAGCTCCATATTGTCTACTCAATACTGGCAGAGGCTCTCTAGGTGAGGGCCATTCCCAGCCCTACCTGGAGATGCCGGGGCTTGAACCTGGAACCTTCTGCATAAAATGTAGAGGCTTTACCACTGACCTATGGCATTTCCCCCATTGCAATGTGCTGTTACTGTTCCAGCGCTGCGCTATGAGAAGGGATTGCTACTTACAACCTGTCTGTCTCTGTGCCGTGCTTTCCTTAAGCTCTCCATTCTGTGTCACTTTATGCAGAATCATTCATACATTCCCAGGAATTTTTATATAGATTACTGTGATGCTTTATACGTGTATTCTAGACGATTGCCAGTCTGAGGCCTGTCGCCATCATTCAGTAGCAATGAGATCAGCACTGCACTGACAATCTGAGAGACAACTGCTGGGCAGGAAGCATTTCATCTGCATGAAACAACCCTTTCACCAGCAACCCATAATCCTTTATTCCTACACTGATCTAATGCTTTCTATATAAAACTGGACAGGGATGCAAGGATGTTACAAGCAGAATTGTGCCTTTTTCTTTTCTTTAATGAATCCCTTCCTGGCCTCGCCGACGTTTAGAAGACAAACTGGTGCCCCATGTGTTCTGCAGCTGGGAGAGCCGTGCCAATTCAGACCGGCAGCTCTGCGTGTCTGTTTTGATTTTGCCCTTCCAGAAGCTCAGGCACCGCGTTGTTCCCCAGAAAAGCATCTAAGCGATTTCCCATTGACCAGGAATATGGTGCTAGTGGTAGTTGCAGTGTGTGAGGTGAGACTCCCTAAATTCAGAATGAGAAGAGCTCTCTCTCTCTCTCTCTCTGTGTGTGTGTGTTTGTGTGTTAGATGCAGACTTAACTAGGGCCAAAATTCTGGTTTTGATTTTCCCTCTTTTGTTGCGCGGCATTTCTGCCGCTCACCTTTCAGCAATCAGCATTTTGGCTGCCTGATAGGAAGGGCAGAAGGTCAGCAGTAAAATACAGAGGGATCCTCTCTATAGAAAACAACGGCTGTCAGATGAACCTGGTATATCATGTATTATTAAGACATTTGAGCCTCACTCACTTACTGACCCAGAGGGTATCAGTAAATTGCTGGAGCATTTCCCCATCAGACAGAAAGCTGTAATTTGGCACACATGCACTCCGAAACACTGCTGCTTTGATGCAAAAGTCTAAAAATGGAACATTTTTACATCCTCTGTTGAATATCTGCAATGTGAGGCTTTCTCCATAATAACGGGCAAAATTCTAAGTGTATTCCCAATTCTCTCCTTCTTTCTTTACAGCCCTGACTTTAGCTGGGGCAGCCGAGGAAGGTTCCTGGCGGCCATGGATTGAATTCAAGACGCAGATTCTTGCCCCAAATGGGGCTTGCAGTCTGCATTGAATTTAATGTGCAAATCTACTTTGGCAGAGAGCAACTCTACTCAGGGGTTCCATTCAGAAGTTCCAGAGTAGAACAAATCCAGTGGGGTTAGTATGAGGTGCCAGAGATGCTGGATCCACAATTGTGAGCACACTTGTTCCTCCCCTACATTTTTTGGTTTTTTTTGGGGGGGGGGGTGTTGAAACCAAAATCTTGCTTTAGGCCACTGGGAGTCATTGGTCTCAGTACATGCATTAATAATGTCATTCATTCATTCATTTTTGCATGTACGCCTGGGCTTGCTGCTGAATGGAACCCAGAAACAAAACAAATAGGATAAAAAAAAATTGAGATAAAAAGCAGAACTTAGCAATTCACCAAGCAGTGGACTGAATCTACAAGTCAAACTAAACATTGGAAAATAAAACGAAAAGCAAATAATAATAATAATAATAATAATAATAATAATAATAATAATAATTTATTTCTACCCTGCCCATCTGGCTGGGTTTCCCCAAACAATACAATACATCAGGGGTTTCCAACCTTCTTATGCCACATCTGGAATACCCAGTAACTGTCATGGGCATCACAACATGGGCAACACTTGATGCAGGACACCCATGTTATCCAGATCAACTCTGGTAGAGAGAGAACCAGTTCACTCAACATCTACATGGATATGAATGAAAGGAATCTCTATCCCCAACCTTCACAGGTGGATTGGAAGTTCTGAACAGAGCCTATATGTAGACAAGTTATAGAAGCATTTTACATGGAGCTCAGTTGGGCAAATATTATGTGCAAAAGCTACAGCGTGTGTGCATCAGGCTAGGGGTGTGGAACCGTTTCTCTGTCAAGGGCTGCGTTCCTCAGCCCAGGAATAAATTCTGAGGGCCAGTAGTGGGTAGGGTCGAAGCCAGTGCCATTCTCTTTTCTCTCTCTCTTTCTTCTTCTCCAACCAAGTAGGCTTGTTTGGAAGGAACAAGTTGCTCTTGTTATAGACCTGGACTGCCCACTAACAGAGAACTTTTCCCCTTCCATGCTTCATATCTTCATCCAGATTGGCTCCTGCCAATCTATGCTTCCATATACAAAAGGAGTGGCTCACCTGGTGGGACTGAGCCACAGCCAGAGCTTCTGGCAGCAGTGTCATGGTCACTTCCCAAGACAGGTGAGGAGGCAAAGTGAGGGCTCGCACCAGTGGAACCAATCTGGCACTCCAACAACATTTCTGCACAGCTGTAAATGCACCACCAGGCCGCAATTTGTCCTCCTGGTAAGCAGCAGTCGTGTTGCTATCATGAAAGGCTGTTGCTGCAGCTCTGACCCACTGGAACCTTGTAGGGTAGGAGTGGCAGCAAGGCAAATGGCTGACAAGGGCATTGGCCGGTGAGTTGGGGTGTGTAGGGTGCTAACTGGCTGCCTTCTGTCTCCACTGTTTGAGGAAATTGCCTCAGTTTGCCTCACAGTAGCACTGGCCTTGCGTATGAATGGGGCTATTGAGGTTTCAGTGCATGAGGACAGCTCTCACATTATTGAGGGATTTGGGAATTATCTTCCATGCATAAGGAATGATATGTGGGAGGAATGGGGTGTGAAGGAAGCATGCAGGCCTAAGTATTGTTCCCAATCTCAACTCATGTGGAAGTATGTCTGCTTCATGGGGAATGTTGCCCAAAATGATCCCCAGAGCCAAAAAGTTAGGTGGGGAGGGCCTCTCCTCTATTTTTAATACATTCTTAGGGAGCCTTGAAGAGATTAGAGCCTGAGTAATATGTTTATTTTGTGCTGGGTAGTCTCTTAACAACACATCTGTGGGGACAGAGTTCTTTGTTTAAAGAGACTCTTGACGGGGATACAGCAATTTCAACCACACCAATGAAACACGCTCGAAATCAGAAAGGCATAGCTGACCTCATCACGACTGCCTTGGGAGCAGACTCAGGATTCAGCTTCATTGAATGACCCTGCATATTCTCCCTCTCTCATATAATACTCCAGTATTATATAACCCAGGGTTATCCAGTGATGAGAAATTCAGGACAGACGAGAAGAAGTACTTTTTCAGACAGTTAAACTATTGGGTCTGCTGCCACGAGATGTGGCGGTGCCCACCATCTTGATTGGCTTTATAAAAGAGGGATCAGACAACTTCATAGAGGATCAATGGCTAATTTATTTATTTGTAGCAATATTTATATATCAATTCATAAAACAATATCAAAGTGGTGCATAAAACCATACAATAGGAACCATACATATATATGAAAATGAGAAATCAGATAACTCCACAGCTCTGTGATTCTATGATTGTGAAGGTTTTTAGCAAATGTTGAAAATGTGACAACATTGGGGCTTGCTTCAATAGTAAGGGAAGTGAATTCCGGAGAACTGGTGGCACAGCAATAAAAGCATGAGCTTGAGTCGCCGCATGCTTTACCGCAGAGGCATGTGGCATTGCCAACAGATCTATAGCCACATATCTGAAGAACCAAGATGGGATGTAGGGAGAGAGGCCACTTCTCAGATACCTTGCAAGCTGTAGCTCAGTGGGGAAGCCACATGCATTGCATGATGAAGGTCCCATGTTCCATTCCCTACATCTCCAGGTCAGACTGGGAATGTGCTCTGTCCAAAATCCTGGAGAGCCTCTCCCAGTCAGCACAGACAGTGGTAAGCTGGGGCGACTAATGGTCTTACTTTGATAAGGACTTACGGTATTTTTCATAAGACGCACCAGACCACAAGATGCACCTAGTTTTTGGAGGAGGAAAACAAGAAAAAAAATATTCTGAATCCCAGAAGCCAGAACAGCAAGAGGGATTGCTGCTTTCACTGCGCAGCGATCCCTCTTGCTGTTCTGGCTTCTGGGATAGCTGCACAGCCTGCATTCGCTCCATAAGACGCACACACATTTCCCCTTACTTTTTAGGAGGGAAAAAGTGAGTCTTATAGAGCAAAAAATACAGTACTTTGCAAGTTCTAAGTTCCTATGCAAGTCCTGCTTGCAAGCTTCGCATAGGCATCTGTGGGAAGAAGGATGTTGGGGTCACTGGACCTTTGGTCCAATTCATCAGGGATCCTCTATGTTGTGTGCACCAAGTTTATCCCTGTTCTCTGCTTACGGTTCATTATGGCCTGGATTACATGGGTTCCTTGTGGGAGACAAGGGGATTCTGGGGGAGGAGGCGTTGCTGTCTTGAGCCAGGACTAAATGGTCCGAGTTCCCTTTCAGGCCTATTATTCCATGTTTTTTTACTTAAAGCTGCTAGAGCAAGCATGCAGGAAGTTTAAGAATGCTAATAAAAGGTTACTATAGATTTGAAGTAGACCTTTTGTCCACTTTGATGTTGAATCAGAAAGGTCTGGCTTCCTATGCCGGGTGAAAGCAAATGCTTGCATATGGTCTGAAGAAGAAGGAAAAAACCCATTCTTTTCATTCCCTCCCACAGCTGCAGTTTCCTGTTACAAGTTGTGATTTAATAAATATATTTAATAATGATTTTTCTTTTTAAAAAATCATTTTCTACAATGCCCTTCCCTTCCAGCTGGAGTCACGATAAATACATATGTTAATTTCTTCTTCTCCCCCTCCCAAAAGAAACTAATAATCGCCATTCCACCCTAGAATCCCTCTCCCCCTCCCCCCGCCAACATCCCAGCTGCAGATTTCCAGCCCCATGGCATTTTTCCTTCCAGCTTTTATTTACAGAAATACTTCATTGAAAAAAAGGAAAAACCCAAACTCTCCAAGCATCTCTCCCAAGGCTTCCTCTGTTGCTTTCTTACACTGCTTCTAACTGCTTCCAAAACAGGGCAGAACAGTCGGGGGAGTCAAAAAAATCCCCTAAGGGGACCTTCTTGGATGGTAGAAACAGTCCCCTGGTGAGATAGACAATAATAGTGTTGCAAATTGTAACAAATGTGGCAAGACCCACAGCCTTTGACTGCGTTTGATGATTGTAGCTCATGGTTTCTATCACACACATACAATACACCATGCCTCCTACGTTGCTTTGAAGGTTCCTGCTGGGCTTTGGGTTCCTCTGTCCCAGAGTACAAAAAGAACTTCTCATCTTAGGCTGACCTCTCTGTGTGTCTGTACAAGCAGGGAGTTCCGCAACGCTGCCTGGGGTATAGCCAAGGATTTGATCACTAGCCTCCTTCTGCCTGTTAAAATGTGTTCAATGGCTGATCTCTGAGGGTTGCTTCGTTTTCCGAGCCAGAAATAAATATTCATGTGGAAGTATGGGAAATACATTTGAATTCATAACCCAAGAGCCTTATGGTAACAACGGATTAAGGAACAAACAGAAAATACCCATTAAAATGCAGTTATTATTCAATTAAATGCTTTAAACCATAACAAATGTTCTGGCTTAAGACCAGCATCCCAAAGACAGGCCTAGACACCATTCAGTGGGAACACCTTCAGTAGTTATTTAAATTATTGTTTTGTTTTTACTCACCTGGTTGGGCACTGTTGGGATTGCTAGTTTTATTAATGACCTGTGCTGGTTTTGCTCATAGATACCCAAAGGGAAATGTGTTGCAGAAGTTCTTACACGCAATAGGCTTTTCCCACAGAGGTGCAGTTCCATTAGGGTGGCAACGAATACATCATCTGAGTGGACAATACTGGGTCCAATGCAGTATAAGTCAGAACTATATTCAGGCTAGATAACTGCTTATATCAAGAAAGAAAATGCACCATTAAAAAGAGGATGCCAATTTGCATAAAATTTGCATGTGCTGATTTATACCCATAGATGCAAATTTAGAAATAATGGTTTAAATAGAAATGCAAAGCCAATGCATCACATCATAGTGGGGAAGGACTTAAGTTCCTTCTGGGTCTGCCTCCTCCAACCCAGTTCATATGCAGGCATGATGCAAAGATGTACAAAAATGAACAATCTGCTCTTCTCTTGATGTACACAATGTATTCCTGCTTTCTGTTGATGGTCACATTTCTTAAGGGATCATCTGATGGAGGCTGAATTCAACAATGGGAGGGGCCCGACAGATCCACCTTTTTTGCTTCCTCTCTGCTGCATGAAGTTAAGCCAATAGTTGCCAGCAATCCTAGGGCCACAGCTTGTCCACTCCTGATGTAGATCATAGTGGAGTGTTGCTGGCCTGCTTCTGGCTGCGGAAATAGAAAAAAATATTAGCAGAGAACTGGGAAGAAGGTAAGATCATCTCAGGGTTGAGGAAGAGGAATGTACTGGCGTCACTTGGTCTGTTTAAAAATCAAGGGAAACTAATCACGACAAATTGTTCCATCAGTGAAAATGTTAGCAGTGCTCTTTGTGGATTTTAATAGTGTCCTATAAAAATGAGCAGGCAGTCTTATTTTTCTAAATTTCAATCATGTCCACTAACAAATCGCTGCATGGAAGAGGCGTGTTTTCTAATATCCCCTTGACTGAATGTACAGAAGAAGCTAGTCTTGTTTTTGTTTTAATGACAGTGACCAGCGTGGTTCAAATCCTTGTGGGATTTAAAATTCTTGTCTAGTACTTGCACATTTTTACTATGTCAGCTAGGGGGCACACATGCTGAAAATAACAGGGAAACAAACACCAGCTAGAACACACACAGTGAGCAAAAAGGCTTTTCATTTTTCTAAAGAGAATAAGGCTTCTGTCCCTACCTTCTGTAGAAAGGTAGTATTCAGCCAACACAGTTTTGTTTCATTTTATTATTATGGAAACCTGTATCAGGAAACTCCTGATACATGGACTTTTATCTGAGACCAGCATAAATTGTGTATTGGAATTTCGGTGGGGTGGAACTTGCCTGGAACATCTGAATCGATGTGTTCTCCTTAAAATGTTATCCATCTGCTTGGGTCAGAACAAGGAACTGTCATTCCAGATAGTATCTCTGTGAACAGAAGATTAGTTTTTCCTGAATTGATTGCTTTCTTTGTCTTACAAATAAGACAGCTTATAAATCAGACCCCAAACATTTTCCATCACCAGCTTAGAACTAAAACCAACATCAAAATAAATAACAATGGCCGAAGCTGAAAAAAGGCTTCTACCCCAACGTCAGCAAAGGCATTCTAAAGTTGTTTGTTTGTTTGTTTGTTTGTTGTTGTTTTGTTGTCTGAAGTGCCTAATTAAGTGGTCTTGCATTTGAAAATTGAATCCAGGTTTTTGTCTGCCAAGTGGACTAAAAGTTCCATGTCAGATTCAGGGACAGCCTTTGCAAAAAGCAATAACCTCAAGCTAGTACTACTTACTAACTGTGTTTTAAATTTTAGATCTTATTCGTCTTGTATTTGAATAGTGTTATTTTTGCCTTGAGATCCAAAAGTCAGATAAAGTAATTACTAAGTCTAATAAATTAATAGTAATTGGTGCAATGCATTTGAACTCCAAAATAGCAATAACACTATTTGTGTATGTCTATTGGAACCTCAACAAAATTGTGGATTGGGAGAGGCTAATTTCTTCCACCTAGTTTATCTATTTATCAGTTAAATTTGTATCCTGCCTTTCCACCAAATGCTGCTGCTGAGGATAGTTAACAGTAATAATGTTGTTGGTGTTAATCTATCAAGAGGCAATGGATGAAGTCTAACTGCTATGTTAGCAGCACTAAAGTGACCTCCTTGGGGTACAAGCCTGGGCAAAGTGTATTGAGGTCCTGGGCTGCCTAGACAACAAGACCCCAGTAATGGTTTCACTGATGTGGTCCAAAGGAAATAATAATAATAATAATAATAATAATAATAATAATAATAATAATTTATTATTTATACCCCACCCATCTGGCTGAGTTTCCCCAGCCACTCTGGGCGGCTCCCAATCCAGTATTAAAAACAATACAGCGTTAAATATTAAAAACTTCCCTGAGCAGGGCTGCCTTCAGATGTCTTTTAAAGATAGGATAGCTACTTATTTCCTTCACATCTGAAGGGAGGGTGTTCCACAGGGTGGGCGCCACTACCGAGAAGGCCCTCTGCCTGGTTCCCTGTAACCTCACTTCTCGCAATGAGGTAACCGCCAGAAGGCCCTCGGCGCTGGATCTCAGTGTCCGGGCTGAACGATGGGGGTGGAGACGCTCCTTCAGGTATACTGGACCAAGGCCGTTTAGGGCTTTAAAGGTCAGCACTAACACTTTGAATTGTGCTCGGAAACGTACTGGGAGCAGAGCAATACATTTGGCACCAGCTTGGCTGCATGAGTTGCTGGAAGGAGGCATACAAGGCACATCCAACTGTCTTAGGGACTCTAGCTTTGTGTAGGGTTTACTCCTTAGCCTTTTCTTCTCCCAAAGATATCCCGCCAGGCAGCTGAGGTTTAGGATCAGAGTTTTCCTTCTCATAGATGGGCTACCTTCCCAGGTTGATGACCCCCATATGCCTCTCATAATCTTCTACAGCACATGCAGAAACCACCGTTGACCATGCTGAAATGTTTGGTAGTCCAGGTAGTAACTTATCTCAAAGGTTGGTAAATAACTCATACAGAGTGCGTGTCACTCTGAGTAGTATCATTGTGGTTAGCCTTATAAGATGGTGCAAGCAGGCCCAGATGATGGACTTGGGTTTTCAGGTGATGCTTTTGCATTTAGTGATTGCCTCCTCTTGCAATAAGACAATATCTACAGTTTCTGTTAAGTATTCCATGTTCAGTCTCAACAGAATATGAGCTGGGTTTTCCATATCTTTTCGTCTATGTCCTTTGCTATAAACTCTCTGCTGGCTCTAAACATGGTAGCTCTCACACTGAATGGCACCAGTCATAGAAATGTTAATCACCTCTCTTAACTCGGTAAGCTGACAGCTTCTAGACCAGGTCACTTTGGAATCAAATTCTTTTCTAGGATTGTTCTGATTTGACTTCCTGTTCTCATTTCTGCTGGGATACATCCTGTTGTTATCAGTGGTGTTGGCCCGTAGCTTAGAAGACCAATATGTAGCTCATTCTGCCTCGGGATTTTCTTTGCAGTCTGTACTGCCTTCTCTGCCGCAGCAGTAATATGGCAAAAGTGGTAAAATGGTTGCAGTTACTGGAAATCTGTTAGTCATTAATTCATCTAGATGGCCAAAGAGAAGAAAGGTTGTGCTGCAGCAGGTAATGTCAGAGAAGGTTAATGCCAGCATCTTAATATAGACACAACTCCATGGCGTTTTCTTGCACATATTGACATGGACCACATTCCCTTCTGGGCCTCTTTCTAGGGAATGCATGCCAGTGGTGGGCAGCGATAGAGGCAAAAGTGGCAGCTCAATGGATTGAAATTTTACTGTTGTACAGAAGGCTAGTCCCCGCCCCCCGCACTCAACCTGCCATTTAGACAAGCTAGAGTCACTACCAGGATTCCAGGGTAAATACCATCCATGCAAAGCCACCCAAGGAGGGTGTGAAGCAAGGCCCGTGAGATATGCAGTCTAGGGGAGGTAGAGTGGCTGGGGAAGGGGTATGGCAAGGGCAGACTTTGGTCCTTCAAATTTCAGGCACACCCTGTGCAAGGACAGAATTTGGCACCCTACCCCTCCCGCCTCTCACCTTCTGTTCTGTTCAGTTCTCTATGTCCAGTGGTGTAGGAAGTGTGGTGTAGTGGGTGCAGGCTGCCCTGGGTGTCATCACTGAGGGGGGTGACAAAATGACAATATGTGTTTTTAAAATAAGAAATTCCCATCACAAAATGTTAAGTAAATAAACCAGAAAACAACACTTGCAACTGTAAGTATCTTATTTTTCCTTCTTTTAATACAGTGGTACCGTGGGTTACAAACACCTCGGGTTACAAAAACTTCGGGTTACGGACTCCGCTAATCTGGAAGTAATACCTCGGGTTAAGAACTTTACCTCAGGATGAGAACAGAAATTGTGTGCCAGTGGCACCAGGAGACCCTATTATCTAAATTGGTACCTCAGGTTAAGAACAGTTTCAGGTTAAGAACGGACCTCTGGAATGAATTAAGTTCGTAACCTGAGGTACCACTGTAATTTCAATGTGTGTGGGGGGGTGGCAAGAAATTTTCTGCACCGGATACCACCTGACCTTGCTATGCCACTGCTAACGTCATAGTTGTGATGCTTCGTGGCACCCCCTAGACTTGGCACTCAATGTGGTGGAACTGGTTGCACTGCCCTAAATCCACCTCTGGATATGACCTGGGGAAAGTACCAAGGGCCAGATAGAGAACTATGTTTCCCCCCTGGGCCTGATGCTCATCATCCTTTACCTAGATAGTTCACCTTGTCCAGAAAGCGTTTTAGTTCTGTTGTGTTAAGTGGTGCTATCAGCTTTGTTATGGCATCGACCTTCTCTAGCCATGGCTTTGTCCCATGTTGTGCGATTAACTATCACAAGAACTCTATTTTGCCTTGGCAAAGTTGACCTTTTTTCTGTGATGCAGTATTGTTCACACGGGGCATTCTGTTCCAGGTATGCTGCTGGATTGCTGGAGGCAGCTGAGTTGCTGCTTCCAGCTAAAATAAAATAAAATAAAATAAAATGGGAGAGTAAAGCACATGTATGCCATTGAAGGTGACTGGGCTTGCAACCATAGAATTGTTGGAGTTGTAGGGAGCTTTGAAGAATATCTAGGATGCTCTCTGCAGGAAACCCAGGGCTACAGCCTCCCACAAAATATGGATGGTGCCCAGCCTCTCACAGTTTTCAAGCAATGGCGGAAAATGCTACCCAGGTATAAACATAATTAGAATTGTAATTATTTATATCCCACCCTTTTCACTGTCAGGGTGAACTGTCAGGGTGCACTGTCATGCAGCTTATAACTAAAATAGAAACAGGTAAAGGTAATCAATAGCACAATTCTATACCCCATTACTTGAGAGTAAGTCCCATTGAACACAGTAGGACTTCTCTACTCATAGACCTTCCATGTAAAAGGTTAACATTGGCTGGACTGTGGTCTTAGCATTTAATATTGGCATTCCTGCCATTAGTAATTCTGCTTGATTAAAAGGAAATGTGGTGAGACTAGCATTGTTCTAAAATTGCCTTTGTGAAAGCACTCATGAGAAGTTGTGGAATAATAATCAGTGCACCGGTGGAAGCAATTGCTAAAGTTGGTCTCCCTGAGTAAGTGAAGCAAGCTTTTGCATGCAACTTCCATGCTGGGTTGGTAACTGATCACACAGAACAGTGCTGTGCATATGTTTCAGATGATTCAGTTGCTTGCACCCAACATCTGGATATTGTTCATGCAGTCCCTCGATCATCAGGGCTAGCCTGAGACTTTTTACTCCCTGAGGCAAAGGATAAGATGGTGTTCCCTTCCCAGTCCACATACAGAAGCTGACCAGATGGGGAGTCTAATCATATGACACTGGCAGCATCCTTCACAACACCTGGGGCAGCAGGCTAGCTTTTGGAGGGCAGAGGGACAGGACACTTCTGTCCTCCAACAGAGAGGATTAGGGAGAACAGCTTGGTTGTGGCTTCCACTGCCCTTGAAATCTGTCTCCCGAAGTCGTCACCTCACTTTGTTTAATGGCAGGCCAGTGCCTCATAAATGGATGCACATACATACACGAACCTGGTGGTCAGTGCTGTCAACTTCTGTAGCATCAATACCATCTTTAGAGGGTGGAAAGACTGAATTCAGCCCTCTTTCTTCTCACCCCTCTTTAAGAGCTGATGGGCTACAACCCATCTGGTAGCACCAACCATTTCTGAGGTTATCACATGCACTAATGCACACAGCAGGCTTGTTTGTGTAGGGATCTTTGAATTACAGCCTGCAAGTGTTGAGGATGGGGTGGTATAAGCTAACAAGATGCCTCTGGGAAGTCTTGCAAGCAGAACACAAGGGCAAAACAGCTCTCCTGAACTTGTTCTCCACAACTGGTATTCAGAGACATGCTATTTCCAATCCTTGAGGTAGTATATAGCCTTTATCTTCCTCAAACATGCCTCATTCTCTTCAAACGCCATCTAATCTGGTGGCTATCACCACATGTCATGGTAGCCAACTCCACAGGTTCACTATGCATTATATGAAAAACTGTACTTCCCATTAATTGTCTTGAATCTCCCACCATTCAGTCTTTCTTGGATGGCCTGAGGTTCTTGTATTGTGAGGGAGGGAACTAAATGTCTCCTAGTCTAATTCCTCACTACCATACATACTTTTATATACCTGTATTATGTCTGTCCCTCCACTTAACCTTTATTTTCTGAACTGAAAAGCCCCAAGCATTCTAAACCATTTCCTCATATATGGGTATTTGGTGCAACGCCTTGATCATTTTGGTTGACCTTTTCTGAAGCTTTTCAGCAACCAGAACTTGACTGTTACAGAGTATCAGGGCACCAGGGCTGCATCACCAGTTCCTCCTTGGAATTTCCCGTCTTGCCCATGAGAAAGGGCATGCAGGGCATCAGTTGTGCAGGAGATCTCCCTACTCCAAGGAGCAGAAAGTGGTGGGCATATTTAACATGGTAATTAAAAGTACCTAAAGCACATTTCAGTCCCTCTTATGGCTAGAGTGCCCCAGCACACAGGGAATCACTGGTTTATAGATTTCACAAGACATTTTGCCTAATATTTAACTCCCACCTCCATTTTCATGCTGACTTTTCATCAAATAATGGTAGCAACCAAGTATTTTTAATTTTTTCTTTAGCTCTGTGTAGGATCCTCACATGCTAGGCTGCTGGCAACATGGAGGAAAGGAAGTTGCATGTGCATATTTTGCTTTTTTATGATTAATCGTATGACACGTTGAACAAAACCAGCTGAACTAAATCTTTATGCAGTGGTACCTCAGGTTACATACGCTTCAGGTTACATACGCTTCAGGTTACAGACTCTGCTAATTCAGAAATAGTACCCCAGGTTAAGAACTTTGCTTCAGGATGAGAACAGAAATCGTGTGGTGGCAGCGTGACAGCAGCAGGAGGCCCCATTAGCTAAAGTGGTGCTTCAGGTTAAGAACAGTTTCAGGTTAAGAACAGACCTCCAGAACGAATTGAGTTCTTAACCTGAGGTACCACTTTACAGTATTGAGGCTAAAGAGATATAATCATGCCTATGCATTGTATATATATTGATGGCCCACTTTTCATGATGGATGATCTGTAGATTAAACATCAGGGTTGTAATTTTCCATAGCCTCATGTTCTACCAACACTCAAAATATTTGTCACAACTGCAGCTTTGCAGTTTACAACACTGACACAGAAAAAATCTTTTTAAAAAGACATCGTGGTATAGCTTGAAAAGTAATGGTCCTAAAGTTGTTGTTTTCAGAAATAATTCCCAGAAACACCAGGAAAGTCAGACGGACTTTCAGGTTTTTTGGAGATCAGTCATAAAATACATGTCTTGTATGGCAAAAACCCTAGATTCAACGCCTGGCATCTCCAGTGAAGAGGATCAAGTAGCAGCTGATGAGAAAGGTTTCAACCCAAGTCTCTGCAGATCCACCGTCAGTCAGGGTGGCAACACTGGGCTCCATTCAGAAATGGGCTGCTCTGGAATAAGGCAGTTTCCAATCTTCTTAGCACAATGCATTTTTAGGCAAGCAGGTTAAATAGTACGTTGAGCCAGCATAGAAGCATTTCCGATGGGGTGTAACTATTCCAGCACCAGCACAACACTTTAATATATGGAATTGCTTGGGCTCTGCAAACTGACTAGTATCCCGGGTCCTATCAGCTGTGCCATTCAGATCTTAGCAGCAAGGAGTCAGCAGCAAATGGCTACAAGCCACCTTCTTATTCCTCACAGTGCCTTGGAGTTATGCTACACTGGGGGAATTGTGGAAAAAATTAAAACATGGCTCAAAGACCTGGCCATCTTATGGTGAGTGGGTGGGATCTAGGGCAGGTGTTAGCCCTGGTGGGTGGTGTCTCCCCCTACATATTTTATGTATTGTGACTTGTTTTTTTAAATGGTTATAGTTTAGTAATGATTTATTGAAGTGGCTGAGAATGAATTTCTGTTTAATTTGTATTTGCTGATATTTTGAGGGTTATTTTTTATTGTGTACTATTATAGTCCATTGGGTTGTTGAATACTACTCTGTTCAATATAAGTTGCTTATTTTCAATTCATATTTTTTATTATGACTTATTTGTATTTGATCAGATTGTTATAAGGTGTGCGATCTTTGTTGCATACCGTATTTTTCGCCCCATAGGGCGCACCGGCCCATAGGACGCACCTAGTTTTTTTTTTGGGGGGGGGAATAAAGAAAAAAAATTATCCCCCCCCCCAGGCGCAGGGCTGGGGTGGGGGAAGCCCGAGCTTCCCCCGACCCCAGCCCCCAGAATAGGCAGCTCTCCGCAAGCCTTGGGAGACCGGCGTGACTTCCCGCCGGGCTCCCACACCTTGCGGATATCTGCCTGAAGCCCAAACCAGGTCAGGGAACAGCGGGATGGCGGCGAGATGCAGGCTGCTATCCGCAAGCCTAGGGAGCCCGACGGGAACTCCCGCGGGCTCCCAAGGCTTGCGGAGAGCTTCCTGAAGCCTGGAGAGCGAGAGGGGTCGGGGCCCTCCCGACCCCTCTCGCTCTCCAGGCTTCAGCGAAAGCCTGCATTCACCCCATAGGACGCACACACATTTCCCCTTCATTTTTGGAGGGGAAAAAGTGCGTCCTATAGGGCGAAAAATACGGTACCTCCCACTTGTAAACTGTCTTGTGTATAGCAATACAGAAAGACAGTAAGTATATAAGTTAAAAGTGAAATGAAAAATGGGTTATGCTGGACAATTACTTGAAGCTGCCAAAAGCTGACAGCAAGGAATACTAGCAGCATAGTGAAAACAAAGATGCCATTGATGGCTGAAATGGCACACACACTTCTCCCTGGGCTTGATGGATTAGTCTTCTTAAAGCATTCAAGGAGATGATTTTATTTGCAGTCACCTTTTTCAAATGATCTTCCTCTTCGGAGACCATCAATCTAGCTACATTCACATTGGTAGCATGGATATTGCTCACGTTTCTAAATTCTAAATTCAAGGCTGCAAAAGATGAAGTGATCTATTTTAGTTACATCTCTGAAAGGATGTTGAGATGCTTCTGCAGAACTGGCGACCAGTTTAAGTACAGAAGGAAGGTCTGACCTTGACCAAGGACACTTTAAAATCCTTTCGCCAACCAGCTAGTTTTCTCCTGTCTCACCTACTTAAATTTTCAAAAAGGCTTTTTATGTATGGAATGTGCTCTGGATCATACTTGTTCTCGAGCAGCCCTGACAGCTTTCAGAGATTGCCGGTGACTCCCAGATGATATGTAATACTAGAAACAGCAGCCTGATGCTAAACATCCCCACCTGTTCTCCATTATCTTCCTTCAAAAGAAAACAATGTTTGGCTAAAGTTACAAACTAATGGAAACCATTTTCACTAAATAGGTACATTTGGTCTTATGTAATTTGGTAGCTCATAAAAGGGAAAAAATACATAGAAAATGGCTTCGAACAGAGAGAAGGAAATGAAATGGGGGGAAAAATCCTACGGCTGTGATCCTCATCCCACTTACTTGGAAGTAAATCCTATTCAAGTCAATGGGGATTATTTCCAAGCACATGTGGTTGGGGCGATGATGAAATAAAATGTGCATTTAATATGAAGGGCATGGATGGAAGAATGTATTGCCAATTTGACATGGTGCACATAAGGTTGAGATTCTGCCCTACTCAGCTTCCCCACCTACATTCAGCACAAGCTCTTTTGGGATATGTGCTAAACAGCAGGGGTGTGCACAGACCACAAAATTCAGTTCAGACCCTGATTTGGCACCAGTCACAAAAGAGCTCCCTGTTCTTTCTCTCCTAACCCTGCCATTTTTCTTATATGGCATCCTTGGGGAGAAAGATTTCTGTTCTGGCAGCAGTCTTTTCGATGTCTAATCCTCTGAAGCATCCCAAATTGCTTCGCAGACCCCTGCAGGGTGCTTGGGAAAAGCCTGCTTTGGTTTGGACCAGCCCTGAATCTGTCTGAAGATTCAAGATTTGTCCAAATCTGATGTGCACCCCTAGTGAACAAACCCAGAAAGGAAGCTGTTATGGCAAATAGAAGAAGGGTATTTTCCTTCACTTCATGTGCAATATGTACATTATATATTTCCTGGGGAAACCCCCTAAGCTTTTACACCTCCTGGATAACAAGGACATAGAAGTTGTCCCACACCAAAATTTAGAGCTGCCAGAAGGTTAAATGAAAGTATAAATTTTTAAATTTTTCTGTTTCTCTTTCTTCTCTCTTATTTCCTTCTTTTTTATGGTTATTGTTATATTTTTTGTTTTCCTTTTGCCACTGTTATTGTTGTTTTTTGTCTTTGGAATTTTTGTATTTTTGTATGTTTTGGAATTTTTGTAAAACCAATAAATATTATACAAAATTTAGAGCTGCCATTACAACATATCTGGCAACAACAACGTTGTTAATCCATTCAAGCCAAGCTGTGGAGAACATGCAAGAGAATAGTTTTCAATGGCTCATGGATTCCATTTTCCCTGTGGATCAAGTCACAGTATTAGTCTGTGGTGTCCTCACCTACAAAGTATCAGGGCTTGAAAAGACACTAGTAGGGTTGCCATACGTCTAGAATTCCCTGGACATAGCTGTTATTTGACCCTTGTAAACAGTTTCCGGGCGAAAATTGCTTAAAAGTCTGGGAAAATTTGGACGTATGGCCACCCATGTCGGAAGTGTAGAGTTTGGCAAATTTCATTAAAAATAGTGTAACAACTTTGAGCAAAACTAGAGAGATAGCAAAGTAGATCTGATCAAGCAGAGCCATAGGAGACTGGCCTGGATTTGCAGGTATTTATATCCAGATTAGGTGACCACTTACTCACCAAAGAAGAAATGCATCATCCAAAATGAGGGGGACCAAAGGACACATATTTGCATAATAATTTGCATATGTTAATTTGTGTATATATAGATGCAAATGTAGAAATGATTACTATACTTTAATCAGAAATACAATGGTGTTCTGGTATCCTGTCCATCAGCTTAGTCTGCTGCCAAGTTGATAGGCAACTTCAGTGCCCCTGCTCTCCATTCATTGGGTTCTTAGGGATCTTTATTTGGAAACCAGGCTTGGACTGGAAATCCCTTCAGTGAGAGAGAGAGGTGTCCTCTGTAAAGTTGGACCCATGCCAGCTGTCATCTAGGCTGGAATACAATTGCCACCTATCCATTTCCACAGGTCAAGCAGAAGCTTGGATCTATGATGAGAGCTGTTGCTTCAATAATGATGCAGCTCACCCTTATATTGGTGGAGCCTCCACCTGCTTCCCTGCTCTCTCTCAGGCTCTTATCTATGCAGGTGTTTCCATGTGTTTCCATTTCCTCCTGAGTAGCCTGAGGAGCAGCTAAGGCACTTCGGTGGCAGCTCTGGCATTCCTACCTGGCTTGTCATTTCCTCTTGCTCCTGCAGCCTGGGGTTGGTCTAAGAACCCAAGAACCCAGGAACCCAAGACCTCCAGACCTGGGACCAAAATATTCAGATCTATTGGATTGTCCGAGTAACTAGCAATGTGGAGCTCTGTGGCAGGGTGCATCTACGCTTGCTTCTCATCTCAGGAGACTTCGGGTTCAGGATCTGAGCATAGCTGAACCTTAAACACTATCTCTTTTCCTTTCATATATATCTAACACCATCACAACATGAGGGGAGTGAATAAGCATATAAAGGAGTGTGAGATCATGAAGTATCATAAAAATATATAATTGTTACTGCTTTATTCTCTATCAGAACTGCTCTATGTAACAGGACAGAGCAAGAGATACTTTATTCTGGAAGATTTAATCACTGACCATTGTCCCCCCCCACCCCTTAGATGTAATTCACTGCCCATTTTTGTTAATTAAAAAGACTCCCAATGATTCTAAGCCCCCAAATGACTATGCTTGCTTTTGAACTGAACATTTCCAAGTCTATCCCTTTCTAGCAAATTAATGCTTCCAGGTTTGAAATATGGTTGGTGTTCTTTACATTTTTAGGGCTGTAAGCTGTTATCCACACGAATGGGCTTTGCTTGTATTGCTAGAACTCATTAACTTACCCTATGGAAGCCAATGCAACTGGCTATGTTAGGTCCAGACCATGACTCTTTTTCCAGGGCTAAGTCAGTTAATAACATAGTTTTGATTTTGGCAAGGTGAGGTCCTTTTGTTGGTCCACTACAACTTTTCCATTCATTTGTATCATTTCCCTCCCACCAGGATAGGCAATATAAGTGCTGGCCTGACTCTATAGAACAAATTATTTCCCAGAGTTTCTGCAAGTATCCAACAGCTGTGGATAGCCTCATCATTGTTTGGAAGCAAGATTTGAGTCTAATGGATTCTCATGAAAGCCATTGTTTGTTGCTTTTCTTTTGAGCTTTCCCAAAGCTCTTCTTAAACTGTATGCGATATAACAGATAAGGATACTACTGTGCATTCCTCAATGAATGTGTAACCAACGAACATTTTCAGTGTCTCTGTGTGCATAAAATATGAGGCCAAAGTGAAAATATCTTAGAGGAATGTTCTTTACACCAACTAGATTGTTGTAATGGGTCTCTAGATCTAAACAAAGAGATTCTGCATCAAGAAATGAGATATGGGACATGTCTTCACAGTACAGTGAAAAGAGTGACCAGAAACAATGACCAAACAGAGTAAAGGCAGCCCTTTTTAGGGAAGCTTTTAATGTCTAATAGACTATTGTATTTTAATATTTTGTTGGAAGCTGCCCAGAGTGCCTGGGTTATAAATAATAAATTATTATTATTATTATTATTATTATTATTATTATTATTACTCCCAATTCTGCAGAGGACTGTCCTCTATTCAAAGTGCCTTCTTTTTGAAAGGCTGCCTGTTCCAAATCTGATTTAAATATAATGAACCGTTAGAGGGAAGAGGATTTTAGTTTAAGTTTGTCCCTATACATATACATTAGCATATACAATTTTTCTACAATTTATCAGCCACCATTCTATGTCCACTGATCCTGTTCAGTTCTCACTGGTTTGTTATGGGTTCCCCCACTGTATCATGGATGTGGGGTGGGATAATTCTCTATCACTGCCAGGAATTGAACCTAAGACCTTCTGCATGCAAAGCAGATGTTCTACTACTGAGCTCTCTTCCTGTCCCATCCCTTTGGAACATCTAGCTTGCAAGCTGGTTGATGTATGAAAGCAGTGAAAGGTGACACTTAGACAAATGAGGGACACCTGGCTTGCTAGTAGTACATGCAAAAAGGACCTAGGGGTCTTTGTGGACCACAAGCTTAACACAAGTCAACAGCTATTCTAGGCTGCATCAACAGTAAGTGTCCTGTATAGTGTCCAGATCTAGAGAAGTGATGTTGTTGTTGTTTAGTTGTTTAGTCATGTCCGACTCTTTGTGACCCCATGGACCAGAGCACACCAGGCACTCCTGTCTTCCACTGCCTCCCGCAGTTTAGTCAAACTCATGCTGGTAGCTTCGAGAACACTATCCAACCATCTCATCCTTTGTTGTCCCCTTCTCCTTGTGCCCTCCATCTTTCCCAACATCAGGGTCTTTTCCAGGGAGTCTTCTCATCTCAAGATGTGGCCAAAGTATTGGAGTCTCAGCTTCAGGATCTGTCCTTCCAGTGAGCACTCAGGGCTGATTTCCTTCAGAATGGATAGGTTTAATCTTCAGAGAAGTGATAGTTCCACTCTATTCTGCCTTGGTCAGCCCACACCTGGAATACTGTGACCACAATTTAAGAAGGATATTGACAAGCTGGAGTGTGTGCAGAGAAGGGTGACCAAGATGATGGAGGGTCTTGAAACCAAGCCCTATGATGAATGCTTGAAGGAGTTGGCTTTGTCTAGCCTGGAAAAGACGAGACTGAGAGGAGAGTGATAGCCAAATATCTAAAGGGCTGCCATGTGGAAGAAGGAGCAAGACAGAGGTTTTTAAGCAGAGGTTTTATTTATGTTTATTGTTTTTATTGATTAGATTTATATACTACCCTTCATTGCAAGATCTCAGGGTAGTTCATATCATAAAAATACAAGGTAAAGGCACAAATAAATAGTCAAAACAAAAACAATAACTCCTCTCTCCCACAAACACATACCAAAGGCCATAGATTGTTAATCAGCTAAAGGTTGGATGGACATCAGTCATGGATACTTTAGTTGAGATTCTTGCTTTTCAGGGGGTTGGAAGAGGGGTCCCTTCTAAATGTACAGTTATAATGCTTCTATGCTTCTAAGCCTTTGTACCATGTGTTGCCGTAGCCTGTGGTTGTGTTAAGAGCGTTGAGTTTTGAGGACCTTCCCTGAATATCAAAGCGCAGAGACCTTCAGGTACTTTATCAATGAAGCGAATGTGAGTTCTGCCCCCCTGCCCCCAGAGCAATCAGTGTTTCACTCGCTTTGTTACACATACAAAGTGAGACGGATGTCTTACAATATAACAAATCATTACTAATGAATCGTGATATCTGACACTCAGTGCCGAAGAAGGATTTACAGACGTGCCTCTCAGCAGCAGCCGTTTCCTGTATTAGGAAGTCTGACTTTGTAGCAGGCATTCCCGTTCATTCAACTATCCCAAGAGTGTGAAATTTGGAATTAGCAGAGTTTGGAAGGAAGCTATCGGCTGCACTTGTGCCTTGGGCACTGAAAGCGAGAAGTCAATGTGTCTCTGGGGTTTGCGTTCCTTGACAATTTTCAGAACTGGCAAGAGAGTTCATAATCAGTTGCATCAACTTTTATGACCTTTTGCCCCTTTTGTAATGCAGAATTAATAGTCAGCAGAGGAAGGGTTGGAAAGAGACTGGAATTTGGTCACTGGCTTCTTCCCCCCCTCCATATGGTCAGGATTACATAAATAATAATAATACAATGAATATCTTCAATTCGCTTCTTACTGAAATTGTTGAAAACCACATGGGTTCCAGCTCAACTCTTCTGCTGATCCAAGCCATTTAGTCCATGATAATTATCATTTTTATATTCAGTAGATTTTCAGACCATGGGAATATAGACATTTGCACAAAAACCCATGAATAATGTAGAGGATGATGATGATTTAATTTATTACCTGCCTTTCACCCTGAGGTCCCAGGCAGGTTATGACATTAAAACACAACTTTGCAACACAATATTAAAAACAGTTTAAAACAACTTACAGAAATAAGGTGGTTTCTAAAAAAATATACATCTCAAGTGTCAAAAGCCAGGACAAAGAAGTGTATTAGATGTATATTATAGTGTACACTATCACAGATGTACAGCCTAGTCCCTTTCTATTAACAGATAATTTCATTGAACATCTACTGTTGGTGCAAATACTGCAATACAGTGTGGTCATTTATAGAATGTGCAATGCTGCATATAGTACGAAAAAGTACAATTTGTGTGAGCTGATGGTTCAGAGGAAAGGATATTAGGTTGGATCTTCTGAAAAGCTCCTCTAGAGTGTTGAGGAATCATCCAAAACAGATAGTTACGAGGGGCTTCAGGGCAAGGGGAAATTGATAAAAAATTCCTGCCTCTCCATACACGTCCACTCACAGGAGCCTCTGCAGGTGGCAGGATTCACAGTAAGCATTTTAAAATTGGTCTATTCAGTGATAAGAGGAGTAGAAATGGGGAAGCTCTGGTTGCCGACTAAACAGGATATTTAAAAGGCCTAACAGCCTACTTTCCTCATGCTATACTACTGCTTGCTTTTGTGATGTTAAAACTCAGCTGGGGTCTCTCTCTTGCTGGAAAGTGTGCTTAACCCTGCACTTTGGATCTAGGGATCCAGCCAAATCTTTTATTAATTACCTTACACAGGTGATCTATATACAGTGGTACCTCGGGTTACATACGCTTCAGGTTACATACGCTTCAGGTTACAGACTCCACTAACCCAGAAATAGTGCTTCAGTTTAAGAACTTTGCTTCAGGATAAGAACGGAAATCGGGCTCTGGCGGTGCAGCGGCAGCAGGAGGCCCCATTAGCTAAAGTGGTGCTTCAGGTTAAGAACAGTTTCAGGTTAAGAACGGACCTCCGGAATGAATTAAGTACTTAACCTGGGGGTACCACTGTACACTTTGCCTCACAAGAGATTGTTGTAAGAAATGGAGGGAGAAATATGGTTCACTCTGCATTTAAAAGCGAGTGACCAAATTCACAGGTTCTGGGCTTGTATGTGGATCAGAAGGCAGCTGTCAATTACTTTGTGAATTCTACAGGGCATTTTTAGTTTAAGGAAATGCACATAAAATTCTAGGGTTTTTACCCAACTAAGTCCAGTCCAAGTAAACCAACCAAAATGACCAAACCTAAGTAAGTCATTCATTTCAGTGGGTCTGTTCTGAGTATTACTGGCATTGGATACAACACATATATTTTACAGAAAAATGCATACAGTAAGACGTCTTTTATGGGCAAACTGAAAAGCATACAAAAATACATATTTAAGGAAAGAATGCAAAAATTAGGGAAAGGCAAATAAAATTTAAGGTGGTGTTGTGGGGTGGGTTTTTTAAACAATCAGAAAAAGAAGTAGATGGAATGGACTTATGGAGCTACATAAAACTGGCACAGAATGGAAAGAGGCTGATCTCGCCTTCTCTGATCTGTTGTTTCCTTGGGGATCCATAAAGCAGCACATTTGAATGAAATTGCATCACAATAACCTTTCCTTGGTTTGGAAAAATGCGGCAGTTGAGTTCTTTCAGGCAGTGTTGTCTGAGGGGTGGTAAATAAGCACAAAAGGATGAATGGACAACTGGGCCACCCACCGGACAATAAGAGTGACCAGTGTGAAAACAAAAAAACAACAACGGATATTTATTCTACAAAGGAACCACCCTTGGTCTGATGTTGTGCCAAACCCAGAGGATTTTGTGCTTTTTTAAAGAAGAAATGACTGAACGTTGACTAGTTTCAAAGACATCCAAGAGGGAAGACGAGGTTCCCAAACGGAACTTTCAAGGAATATTGTTTTGAGGAAGCCAGTAGGCTGAAGCAGATCAAAAGGCTATTGTAAAAGAGCAGAGGCTGAAGTGTACTGAAAAAAGAGCCATTGCAGTCGAGATCAGAATGCGACATCAGGCAGTATTTCCACATTTTAATTCATTGAATGTATTTGAAACACCCTGGCGCCTAAGGACAGGCAGTAATACTTAAAGCAACCCAGTAAAATTTTGCACTTAAAAACACTAATTAAAAAAAACCCAAGACAATATCTAATAAAACCATGGCAACTGAAATGCAAAAATAATTATTATAATTAGCATTATTAACATAAAATTAAAATGACCTGCTTTTAATTATTGCATTTATATCCCAATGTGGGCTACCTTGGGCTAAGAAGGGCTGTATCTCAGCAGCAGAACACATGTTCTGCAGACAGAATGTCCCCAACCTCTGCATGTAAGGCTTTGGAAAACTCATTTCTGAAACCCTAGATAAGCCACTTCTAGCCAGTAAAGAAACTGAGGCAGACAGACCAGTATTCCAACTTGTACAGACGTAAAATATATATTTATTGCTCCATTCACTTCTGTCTCTGGCCCCACCCAGCACTGGCCCCTGGTATGTCGTTCAGAAGGGAATGAGGCCCTTGGGGTGAAAAAGGTTTCCTACCCCTGGTCTAGTGTCCGACTCTCAGCCATGAAGCACAGTGAACTATGAGCCAGTCACCATCTCCCAGCCTAGCAGGGCTGCAATAGGAATCAATGGGTAGAATTGTGTAGTATGCTGCACAGAGCGCTGATAAACGTGTGTGTGTCAGTTTTGCTGCTCTTTAATTTCAGAGTTTCACTTATCTAGCTGTGATTTCTCCAAACTACTTTCTCATGTTCCCATTCCACCTTCATTACCTTGCCAAAAAGCTTCACCACCAGACTTGATTATGTGACAACAATCTCCCATGTGTACAACTAGCCTGGAATGCATTTTGTGAGTTCCTCTTGTTGAGAAGCAGGGACAAAGGCCGTTGTGGTTTCATTTAGATTTCTGTTTCTTCCATCTATCTATGCCTAGCTAAATAAAGGTGTCTGAGGAAAGATTTTGTAGTGTTGAAAAGTGAAATGCAGCGCTGCAGACTACAGAGTGGGAGAACATAAGCAGTGCCAGTATAGTGTAACATCAACATTGTGATCTTGCTATTCTTCATTTTGCTGTAGAAGATTGTTGAGCTTCACCTCTTCCTTAAAAGGGTTTAGGAAGGCTAGGGAACCTCAGGCCAGGGGTTGAGTGCGGCTCATGAAGCCTTTCTAGCTGCCCCTCGGAAATCTCATACCCCTCAACCTCCCTGATTTGAGCAGGACACCCCAGAATTACAGAAGCCATCCCGGCTTCTGATTGGATCCTGGAATGTCCTAATTTTGGTCTGCTGCTCTGTCGCAAGTCAGCTGGCTCACACCAGAGTGCCGGACCAAACAATGCTCATTTCTTGGTCTCATACTTTTGTGTGAATCAGCTGGCTCACACCAGAGCATTGGACCAAAATATGGTTGTTTTTTGTTCTTGCGTGCTCCCACAAGATCTAAGGAACACACAAAAACGAGCATCCCAATTTTGATCAGTGGGATGTTGGAGGGCATGAAATCTCCCCAGGCCACACCTCTCATTACTGCTGGTTTGCACCCCAAGAGTTTTTGCCTGACTGGAATATGCCCTTTGATCATGCTGCTTGCTTGTCTGGATGGTGGATGTAGATGGGTGTGTCCAGGCATGTACGATACTAGCTACTGCACACACACAGAAAATTCACATTTGTTGTTCCACCTGCTTTTGCCTCTGGTCCTGCCCACCACTACCATGCAACCCTGGGCCCAGTATACCTGAAGTAGTGTCTCCACCCCCATCTTTTTGCCCGGACATTGAGGTCCAGCGACGAGGGCCTTCTGGCAGTTCCATCACTGTGAGAAGCTAAGCCACAGGGAACCAGGCAGAGGGCCTTCTTGGTAGTGGCACCTGCCTTGTGGAACACCCTCCCATCAGATGTCAAAGAGATAAACAACTACCTGACATTTAGAAGACATCTGAAGGCAGCCCTATTCAGAGAAGTTTTTAATGTGTGACATTTTAATGTATTTTTAATCTTTGTTGGAAGCCGCCCAGAGTGTCTGGGGAAACCCAGCCAGATAGGTGGGGTACAAATAATAAATTACTATTACTATTACTATTATTACTATTACTATTACTGGGAGGTTGTCTAGAGAGAAATATGGGCCCCAGGCTGAAAAAGATTTCACATTATAAAAACTTTGAGCTGTCCAAGGCCTTTTAGGCAATCTTGTCCAAGAGTCCAGTAGAGGCTGGCCCATGAGGGGAAATGGGGCACTGCCCTACTGATTTCAGTCTGCCCTCAGCCAGTACCTACTTTCCTGCCTTCTTACAATCAGCCAAGGTGTGTGTGGGGGGGGGGGGAGGTGGCCATGCCTAGCAGCTTCCTTCCCTAAGTCTCAGTGTTGCTCCTTGTAGAATTCAGCAGGGAGGATGGTGGAAAAAAACTGAATTAGTGTTGCCCTCCTTGCCCTCCACCCCACCAGTCTCCATGGGCACCAGCCACCACTGCAGCAGTCTGCTCATTGCAGGAAATCCGGAACTAAAGCATCTCCAGCAGACTGTGGCCTTGCCTCTGCTTGAGAGCCTTGTGCAAGGGTGAGCCCATCACCCCTTTAGGTAATAGCTTCCACCACAGGTTCCATCCCCTCTTATTGTCAAGCCATTTCTCCAAATATTCAGCTGAAATTTACCCTTGTGTAACTTTAAGCCCATTACATATGATCATAAGAAGAGCCTGCTGGATGAAGGCATTGACCCATCTTGTCCAGCATTCTGTACGCATAGTGGCCACCCAGGACAGATCTATACACTGGGGGGGGGGACTACAAATATGTCATAAATTAAATCTTTATAACAAAAGAAAAAAAACCCTATGTGAAATTGCATAGAAAATTTTTGTGCTCTACAGCACCATCTGGTGTTGCATGTTTATAAAGCATTTAAAATGCTGTTTTTTGACTAATGTAGCTGAGTCCTCAGATACCTATGAGAAGCCTGTAAGCGGAACCTGAGCTCAACAGCAAACACTGAGTATTGCCTTCTGGAGGTAAATGAGGACAGGTCTTTGTGCTATCGTATCCTTTCTCTAGCTTCTCCTTTCCAGACTAAGGACACTGTGTTCCTTAAAAAACAAAAACCCCACATTTTTCCTCATAGGATTTGTTTTCAGTTCTGCTATCTTCATCGCCATCTTCAGGATCCATTCCATTTTGCTATATCCTTTTTAAAGTGAGGCACTCAGAACTGGATAAAGTAGCCAAATAACAAATTATGTCAAACATAGAATTGTAGAGTTAGAAGGGATGTGAGGGCCACCTAGTCCAATTCTCTGCAATGCAGGAATCTCATGCTCTACCAACTGAGCTGTCCCAGCTTTCATTGTAAAGACAGGTGGATGGGGGTATACAGGGCTTGAGCCCCATTGAGAGCATCTTGCCTAAGTACAGTGGTACCTCGGGCTAAGTACTTAATTCGTTCCGGAGGTCTGTTCTTAACCTGAAACTGTTCTTAACCTGAAGCACCACTTTAGCTAGTGGGGCCTCCCGCTGCCGCCGCTCTGCCGGAGCACAATTTCTGTTCTCACCCTGAAGCAAATTTCTTAACCCGAGATACTATTTCTGGGTTAGCGGAGTCTGTAACCTGAAGCATATGTAACCTGAAGCATATGTAACCCAAGGTACCACTGTATTCTGCAAAACCTGGAACTGATGCTGACTTGATGGCTTGACCTGATATTTCAGGGGAGTTCTACTGTTCCGTAGGGACGCGGGTGGTGTTGTGGGTTAAACCACAGAGCCTAGGACTTGCCGATCAGAAGGTCAGCGGTTCGAATCCCCGTGACGGGGTGAGCTCCCATTGTTCCTGCCCACCTAGCAGTTCGAAAGCATGTCAAAGTGCAAGTAGATAAATAGGTACCACTCCAGCGGGAAGGTAAACGGCGTTTCCGTGCGCTGCTCTGGTTCGCCAGAAGCGGCTTAGTCATGCTGGCCACATGACCCGGAAGCTGTACACCGGCTACCTCAGGCAGTAAAGCGAGATGAGCGCCGCAACCCCAGAGTCGGCCATGACTGGACCTAATGGTCAGGGGTCCCTTTACCTATACCTTACTACTGTTCCGTGACTATTAGTCCTCATTTTGTATACTTCTCCAACGCTAGTCACTGGGGAACAACATCAGGGCTACTGACTTTGAGCCCTGCTTATGGGTTCCCCAGAGGCATCTGGCTGACACTGTGGGAAACAGAATGCTGAACTAGGTAGGTCTTTGGTTTGATCCAGCAGAGCTGTCCTTTCATTCTTATGTTCTCCCAAAGCGGCATGCTGACTGTTCAAAATGCCAGATCTAACTCTAGGCCAGATGATAAATAACCACTCAGAGATTAAACTAAAAAGCTAACTAGCAGATGGGGGATGGGTGGGAGAGGGGGAAAGCAGAGATGAAAGACCAGTAAGATTATTAAAAGAAACAAAACCTGGATGGGGAACAAAGTGCACAGACAAGCTTCATCTTTCAGTGACTCTTTGGTGAAGCACTCAGACATGACATAAAATTAAGTGATAAAGTCTTCTTGTCACAGTGGGTATTAACAGAGCATTATGTGACTGTCGGTGACAATGATGGTGGTGGTAGTTGATGCTTCTAACAACATGCGCTGTACAGACATACTCTGAAAATGCATCCCAAAAATTGTGATCAGCTCTGCAGAATCTAAGGGACACATAATTTCGCTCCTGTTTGCTTTTCCTCTCGTTTTTCTCCTGGCCATGAATTATCTCCTGGGAGGATTTATTTAGGCAACCCACTGCAAGAGGAGCACTTCTCTTGATTGTCATCCTGATTGTCCTTTGGAATTAAGTCATAGTACTAGACATAGGCATTCAAGTAATTATCACGTACCGCTAATAAGAGTTAGACAAACCACAGTGGTTTCCAGTCAGTTCTTTTGTGGCTCAGTAACTATGTTATTTCCCTGTACAAAAACCAGGAAATAGCTGCGTTTTATCAGAAGCAATGTGGTCTTGTGAGAGGAATAAATGTCCACCACAGGCAAAACTGAGATCATCAGACTCATTTTCACTTGGTACTTTGTCAACATGTCACCTCCAGTCTCCAGAAACCATTAAGCACACTCCCTACTTTTTCCTATAATAAGAGGCAAATTCATTACTACTTTATATTCCTTTAAGAAAACTGATTGATAAGCTGCCAGATCTTCCAAGTGTCCCTATTTTCCAGGGGCATCCCTGATTTAGAGAAACCACCCCAGTTTCTGATTTGATCCCAGAATGTCCCACTTTTCCTTAGGATATCCCTATTTTCATTGGAGAAATGTTGGAGGGTATGGAGTTATCTGACCCCTGAGCCGTCTGAAGGCAATCCTGTACAGTGGTACCTCGGGTTACAGACGCTTCAGGTTACAGACTCCGCTAACCCAGAAATAGTACCTCGGGTTAAGAACTTTGCTTCAGGATGAGAACAGAAATTGTGCGGGAGGCCCCATTAGCTAAAGTTGTACCTCAGGTTAAGAACAGTTTCAGGTTAAGAACGGACCTCCAAAACGAATCTGTGTCCTCTTTCTTCTTATTGTTTTTGGTGACACATTTCCTCTTTTTTAGCGATGTGTACATGGCTGTCTTGGGGTAAGAGTGCAGTCCCATACAGTGGTATCTCGGAAGTCAAACGGAATCCATTCCAGAAGTCTGTTTGACTTCCAAAACATTCAGAAACCAAGGTGCGGCTTCTGATTGGCTGCAGGAAGCTCTTACAACCAATCGGAAGCTGCGGAAGCCGTGGCGGACGTTCGAGTTCCAGAGAACATTCGCAAATCAGAACACTCACTTCTGGGTTTGCGGCATTCGGGAACCAAAAAGTTCGACTCACAAGGCATTTGGGATCCAAGGTATGACTGTATGTCTACTCTGAAATAAATAGCATTGAATTCATTGGGACTTGTTGTTGTTTAGTCGTTTAGTCGTGTCCGACTCCTCGTGACCCCATGGACCAGAGCACGCCAGGCACTCCTGTCTTCTCATTGGGACTTACTCCATGAGTATAGGATGGTGAGCTAAGTGGGGATCAGAGGCGAATTTAGGGCAGTGTGACCAGTTCTGCTGCACTGGGCATTGCAACTATGATGTAGTGGATTGAGCAGAACAGAATGTAAGAGGCAGGGGGCGTCAAATTTTGGCCTCACACGGGGCACCGCTGAAATTTGAAAGACCAAAGTCTGCCCCTATGGGGATAACTTGTAATCTAATCCATGAGGAAGCCTTTACACAGCTCACATGATTCTGACTTTTTGGCTGGGTTATGGTGAATGGGTGGGTGGGGAGCTCTGTGACTTCACCCTGAATTCACTGTTCTTGCAAATACGCTTTCTTTCACTGCAAGCTCTTTATAATTGAAGTATGTCGCAAACACTCCTTGTGTTCTAGCAAGGGAGACAAGACTCCAACATCTGATTGTTTTAAAATACAGATACGAAGTAAAAGCTTTCCAGGGAGTCTTTGGGAGTTTTTCTCTCATTCTGTGCCATGGCATGTACTTTTTGGATCATTCCTCAAGGAATATTGTGTGCCAGCCAAGTCATGAAGAGACCTAGACATGAAATGAAGAAGGGGCCTCTAGCAATAGCATCTTAAGTTGTGCTTGCAATATCAAGGGCTTTGAATGAACCATAAGGATACCCCAGGGAAATTATAAAGTCATAAGGCAAAGCCAGAAGTCCTGGATGCAAGCAGCAGCCAGTCTGTGGTAAAATGAACCAATCTATTTTCCATTTCCAAATACTAGCAATAACAACAGTTGGATTTGTTGGAAAAGATCTCCACGAAGCTCAAAAGCTTATGTGTTCCCACTAGCAGAACTTGTAACCCACCACTTTAAGAGAGTTGATTTCCTAACACATCTCCCTCACAAATATTTATCTTTCTGCCTGGTGTCTTTATCCTTCCATAGATATTTTCAGAAGGTTTATGTCAAGTGACCTGAATGGGAAAGGTCTGCCACAGGGGATAGTCTTGCCATGTCAAGAACAGGCCTGCCATCTTTCTGATCTTTCTAATTCTGACTGCACAGCAGTGGTGGGAAACCTCTTTCTGCCCAAGGGCCATGCACTCTTCTGGGTAACCTTCTGGGGTCCCCATGACAGTGGTGGACAAGAGGAAAAATGGGTGGATAAATAAATGTGAATTTTACCCTTGTACAGAAGGCTAGTTCTTATCCACACTTACATCCTGTCTCTGTGCTCCATTCAGGCAATCAAGTGATGTGATCAGAATTCATCCAGCTAGTCAGAAACATTCAAGGAAGGTGCAACACAGGACCAGCATGGCCCTTCTTATGGTCTTATCTGGTTGCATGGCATACTGCTCAACTGTCCTAGGAAAACCGGGACACCCTCTCTCTTTTTCATGTGAGAGCATGGCAGCCATTTTGGGCACCACAAACTCACTCCAAAAAAGTGCTTTTGGGGGGGGCACAAACTATTATTATTATTATTATTATTATTATTATTATTATTTTATTTTATACAAAATTAAAATTATAATAATACCACAACACATCCACAATTAAAAGATCTCTCCGAATCTCTGGACTTCCCACCTTCCCCTCCATGGTTTCTGTTGTTAAACCTTTTCTACTGCATCTTTTTTCAATAATCCATACTCCTTTATAGTCCTTTACAGTACAACTGTTGTTGCAATACTGCTAGTGTTTTCAACTGCTTACAGCGGTCTCCAAGATAAATTATATCCCCCCCCCATTTCTTATTAAAGTTTTGGTCTTCCTGGTTCCTGAGCTTTCTGGTCAGTTTTGCCATTTCGGCATAGTCCAACAATTTAATTTGCCATTCTTCTCTGGTAGGGACTTTATCTTCTTTCCATCTTAGGGGCAGGGGTGGAGGAAGGGGGATGCGGTGGGTGCGGTCCACCCCATGGGTCACCACAGAGGGGGGTGACAAAATACTGGGCGGCAGTCACCGTGGGGCCTGCAGCGCACCCGAGCCACGCGTTTCTCTTGGGAGAGACATGGTGGCTTGGGCACGCGCAGGTTCCGCACTGCCCAAACGGTCCGCCCGCTGCCCAGCCGTAGGGCAACTGAGTGGGAGGAGGCAGGCAGACCCCTCGGAGGCCCCGCGGTGCACCCCGCCCCTATGGGCGGCTCACCCCACCCTTGCCCCACCCCAGACGCCCAAGCAGCTTCCTCCACAGCTGCTCAGCCCCCCCATCTCACCTGTTGATGGATCTCAACCAAAACTCCCTGCTACCTGCTGCTCAGTCTGTGTAGTCCAGGATGATGACTCAGAAACATAACTTGCTGACCGGTAACTTGATTTGTATTTGCTTTTATTAGATACAGAGTATAGCACAGCTTTGTACAAGTTACTATATACACAGACTCGATTCAAACTCGACACACCAACCTCTGAACTCCAACACCAAACTACTGTGTCATGCTGCTTATAAGGGAAAACTTTTAGCCAATCATCACCTGTTGCTAGGCTCCCCTATCTCCAAGCAGACTTTCTCACATAGCCTTGCTTAACTTGGCTTCTTGCCAACTCACTAACTGTCCACTTCAAAGCTGCAGTTTCTCACAAACCTGCTCAGGGGGCCCCCCACAATCTCACCCAGGTCATGTGGCTCACATGGGAGCACAGTCCCGGAAGACAGTGCCCTGGTTTGTCACCTCGTTGACACCTGTGTTGAAAGGTATGGCATGGGTGTCTTGTTTGTGTGGAGTCCCTATACAGGAGCAAGTGTGTGTTCATGTGTTGGCATTTCTCAGCAGACAAGCACACTCCACTGGCAGAAAGAAGTTTCTATATTGGGGACAGGGCTCAAAGTGCTGTCTTGCTCCATAGTCACCGTGGAAATGCCCTACATGTGAGTAATACAGGAATAGAGTTTAAAGAGCACGACAAAAACCCAAACAACAGGACGGTGCTAAATATTCGATAGAATTAAGTTTATATAGTCACAGAGAGCCCTTTCCCAATACTGCCACACAATTTGCAGTGCGATCCTAGTAAGAAGAAAATCTTCTCAAATTCAGTGGGGCTTTCTCTTTGGTACATTTCCAGCCATAAAGTTAGTTATGTGAACCCAGCAGACAATAACAGGGCAGAGCTTGCTCATTTATGGTTATTGGGGGATGGACAGACGGACAGAATTTTTCACAATTTATAGCTTTTGATGGCTGAGCTCTTGTATATGGACTGGTTTCTTTTGCTGCATGAGAATATCAAGATGCTTCTTGAGAAATTAATATATTCCCAGTAGTTTGAGACACCACCAAAGAACAGCTGGTTCTCTTAAATCCAGCATCTCCAGGCAGATTGTTGGAATATAGATCAAACTCCACCCTGTTAAGAGAGGGGGGGGGATCATAAAGTGACACAAACCAATGAAATCTGTAATGTAAAGTTAAGGCTCCCTCCCCGATATTTTTCTTTCATTCACACACACATTTTTTAAAAAAATCTATCCATCTAGTCTTTTCAGCTTCTTGAGTTAATGACAAGACTTTGCCAACAACCCAAGAAGTTACGGTAATTATCTTTTTAAAACACTCTATTTTTAATGTATATATTCTTAAAAATGAATCTTCTGGGTGTCTCTTACACTCTCCTCATAGTGTTTCCTGCTCTCTTCAAATTAAGAAGCACCCTGCTGGGATTCTCACAAGCCCACTGGTTCTCATTGCCAAATTTTCTAGATCAAAGACACTGTAATAAATTCAGATAAGTGTTTTAACTTTATAATGTTTTGCCAAAATGGGGCTCGTTGGTAGAGGAGGAGATTTATGTGAGAACATTAGGAGGCATTTCCATGTACAGAAACCGAAGAGGGTAAAACGCTGGAACTTAACTGATTAATAACATTTTCTATGCAACGTTAATAGCTTTTAAGTACTCATCTATGAATACAAAGCTTTTGTGGTTTGTCATTTGTTTCTAAACGTAGATCAGGGCCAGCTAGGATCAACCATGTCAAATACACGAAAGAGAAATCTGATTACTTATGGTCTTTTGAATGATAGGCATGCTGTATAATGGGAGCTCTGTTAATTTATCCAGATATTAAAGATTTGTGGGAAAACTGTAAGATGGCTTCTTGCTAACTTCCTGCTGGCAAATAAATAGTAAATTTCACATTCCATGCATGTGGATATTGCCATAAAATAGTTTAGTCACCAGTTGCTCTGTATTGCTTTATCTGAATACTCAGGTATTGTTATCTTAATCCTCTGTCTGAAAATGATGATGAATAGACGAGGCTAAATGATCTGAAGCTGAATCATGACACAAATGAAGCTGATGGGAAATTCTAAAGCCTGTGAATGTATTGTTGTTATGCTTCCACAGGGTGGGGTGCTCAGGGGCAGAGGAAGGGGGCGGTGGGGGCAGTCCACCCCGGGTGTCACCACTGAGGGGGGTGACAAAATGCCAGGTGGCACTCACCATAGGGCCTGCAACATGCCCAAGCCACATGTCTCTCCTGGGAGTGACGCGTGGCATGGGTGCCCGCAGATTCCGCGCTGCCCCAAACGGTCCACCCACTGCCTCCCTCCCAGCTGTAGGGTGGCTGAGTGGGAGGAGGCAGGCAGACTCCTTGGAGGCCCCATGGAGTGTCCTGCCCCAGCTCACCCCACCCCACGGGTGGCTGGCCCCGCCCCTGGATGCACACTGCCCCAGGCGCCCAATCGGCTTGCTCCACCGCTGGGGTTGCTCCCTCTGTCACAGCAGGTTCAAATCCTGAGGTTCTCCTGGATCCTGCTTTGTTCCTGGAAAGCTAGATAGCATAAGTGGCCAGGAGTCTTTGGGATAAAATTATTGCTGGAAGCCAAATGCTCTACAAGCTGAACAAAAGGCTGAAAATTCACAGACACTTTCCTTGGAGTAATCCTGGTTGAAGGCATTAGGACTTGCTTCTGAGGACTACATACAGTATAAGGCTTCATAGTTGCTAGGAAAGTGTGGCATATCATTCTAAAGTCCCTTGTCACCACAACTTAGTTTCAGTGGGACATGTACAATTAACTTTCTTTTTTCCTGCCTTTAGGGCCAATGTAGTGGGAATCACTTTGATCCTGCTGTGTATTGCACGTGCATGCCATGCCTTCATGCATACAAAGAAATCTGTTCAAATGTACTGTACATAGGGGTAATGTTTTATCTTTAAAATATAAGCAATATGAAATGACCAATACAACTTACATTTGCAACACCTGTCCATGTATGTAACCTGGAATGATTTTCTTCCTTATATGTCTTATTCTCTGAAAAACCACTTGACACTCTCTGTTTACCCTCCATGTACAAATTATCAAAGCAAGCCATGTGATTTGAGTTTGAATCAAATAGTTAGAAACATGTGAATTTTGCACTGTTTATTCAATTTGAAGAGCATGGTGTGTGTGTGTGTGTGTGTGTGTGTGTGTGTGTGTGTTTAAGGATTGGACTCTGAATTTCCTGCTGTCATGTTCTGGTTCATATGAATTTATTAACTGGTGACTAATTCTGAGAGCAAATGAGTCTTGCCACTTGACAAGATGCTTTCAGCCCAAGTTGTCTGCCTTCCATTGGTTGGAGAAACACAAAGGGGCACCAAAAATATTTGTGGGTACATATTTTCAGTAATACAGCAATCCATCTGACCCTGAATGGCTTTCTGATCCAATGCAACTTCCATATCTCTGATAGTCTTCTAATACATAGGAAACTTTTGGACTGCAAGTTTTTGTGCCATCAGTTATGACCAATAAAGATTACAGGGTCATAAATCGAGGACTTGGAGTGTCATTAAACTTTTACAGTTTGAATGCCATTCAAGTTTCACATCTGGAATTACCCTGGGTTGTACTCTAACTTGTTTCTTCATTTGTTCCATTTTATATTTGGCAAGGTATTCTTAATGAATCACTGCATTCTTTTCTTCCTACCACCCAGGCTTACCCTTGCACCAATGACAAGGAGTGTGAAGTTGGGAAATACTGCCACAGTCCCCATCAAGCGACGTCTGCCTGCATGATTTGTAGGAGGAAAAAGAAGCGTTGTCACAGAGACGGCATGTGCTGCCCTGGGAACCGCTGCAACAATGGTATCTACTATATGCACCACTTTGATGCCCTTTTAACAACATGAATGGCTCAATGTATTAACTCTCCGTCAACACTCAGCCCACATACTCTAGAACTGCGCAGTCAATAAGTAGGGAAGTCTAGAATCACAAAAACTGATGTCTACAGGATTGATTGGGCAGTCAGTGTTGATTATGGCAAACAGCCAGCATATTAAACCAGAATTTCTGCATAACTCTCTACATAAACAATAAAAACAATCAATATGGGGTTTTACAATCAATATACTAATTAAGTGTACTTGAAATACATGTGTCTACAGGATCTGTCTGTGGATTCATCTAACAATCGTAGATATAAGCCCTCTTCAGGTGCTCAACCTGCGCATGTGAGGGCTAAAGTGGGAAGGGATGGGGTGAATGCATCAAACCTGCCCCCAGTACTGACAGGTGAGTCTCCTTCATCCCTGACCTTCGCTTATTTAACATGAAGATCTGAAATGGACTTGGAAGCACATTTGGCTAATCTCCTCCATATTAGAAACCCCATTAAGGCAGGGTTCTCAGAGGCAAGGAGGCATAAAAGCATGTTCTCTCAAACTGGAGACAGACTTAGTGAAGGGACGAGCCCTGCTGATTTGCCAATGGTAAAACAAAGTAAAATTAACTTTTTAAAAAAATTAAAGAAAGGTTAGCTTGTCAAATTTGAAATACCAAATTTAAGTACCTATGTACTGATTGTTAGGTGAATCAATAGACAGATCCTGTAGACCTAACGTTTGTTGCTTTACTGTAGTTTTATAATTGTTAGAAGCCTCCCAGAGTGGCTGGGGAAACCCAGTCAGATGGGCAGCATTTAAATGAATTATTATTATTAACAATTATAATCTCATCTCAGTCACAAACTCATGAGGTTGACTTAGGCAAGCCTCTCAATACCCCCAACTGCCAGATGGGAAAATTTAATACTGGCCAGCGTTTACAAGACTGGGTGAAGCACTGCGGAGATACCGAATACAAAACAATCTACCATACCAAGGGTAGTCAAGGTGGTGCCCTCCAGGTGTTTCAGACCACATTAATACTAAAAAATGCTAAGTTGTCTGCCATGTTAAAGAGACCTGACTGGACTTAACTTAAACTGGACTTAACTTGGGGATTTAGTGCCACCTGTCTCATGCTGTGGAATACTCTTCCAGCAGAGATTCAATGGGCATCCTCACTTTTGACTTTCAGGCGTCTCTTGAGGACTTTTTTATGCCTTTGCAGCTAGCTAGCTATTTATTTATTTAGCCAGCCAGCCACTTTAATGGTTATCTGTAGGATTTTAATGGTGTAACCCTGATATTTCATGATTCCTATACTGTCATATAAACAAACAAACAAACAAACAAACAAACAAATGACAATATAGGAAAATAAATAAATGAATAAATAAGTAAGTAAGTGTACTTTCTTTCAGCAAAGAGGCTCTTCTCTGTGTCATTCTGTGAAAATTGCCCTCTGCCATACTATTCCCCCAAGAGCCCGTCCATTGTAACTCATTCTGTTCATCTTTCTAGGTATTTGTATACCAGTAACTGAGAGCATTCTTACTCCCCACATCCCAGCTTTGGAAGTACCTCGCAACAAGAAAAATAATCATTATCCCACTAAGGACTTGGGATGGCAAAATCTTGGGAAAGGGCAGACCAAGCTGACACACACAAAGGGTAAGGCCGTGTTGTCCATAAACTGCCTTGAGGAGATGGTCTTCTGAAAAGCTTTTTGCTGTGAAATGTTTAACATTGTCATTAGAGAGAGAGAGAGTGCAGTATGGCTGTACCTGGCTTCCCATTTTGTTTGCCCTCTTCCTCTGGGACTAATCCTCTGGGACTCATACCAAGTCAGATCACTGGTCCACTGAGCTCAGTGTTGTCCTATCTAGTAGCAGGCCTTTTCCAGCTCTACCACTGAGCTGCAGCCTCTTCCTCTGAAAGGAGAAAGGGAAGGCAAACATTGGCTGCCCCTCTTCTACCTTTCTCCTGCCACTGTTTACTCACTCAGAGACAGCAGGTAAACAAACAAGTAAACATGGAGGAGGAGCATCAGGGTGAGGGCATGACATCAGCTGGCAATGAGTTCCCTTGAGCAGGTGAACCAGCGTAGCTTTGAGTTCAAATCAAACTCCATGAATGGTCTTGGGCACATGCTCATATATTCTACTTAATTATTTGAAGCATTTCTATCATTTATCAAACAAATTCTAGCTGCTTACAAAATTATTAAAGACAATGAATGCAATGACAAGCAATAATTCAAAGATTAGTAAAAACTATATTGCATGGTAAGACCGAAAACAGGTTAGAAACAAATCAATTTAAAGAAGGGGATAAAAAAAAATGCCATTGGAAAAACACGAACAATGGTGAACTACTTTTTAGGGGTGGTTGTTGTTTAGTCGTTTAGTCGTGTCCGACTCTTTGTGACCCCATGGACCAGAGCATGCTAGGCACTTCTGTCTTCCACTGCCTCCCGCAGTTCGGTCAAACTCATGCTGGTAGCTTCGAGAACACTGTCCAGCCATCTTGTCCTCTGTCATCCCCTTCTCCTTGTGCCCTCCATCTTTCCCAACATCAGGGTCTTTTCCAGGGAGTCTTCTCTTCTCATGAGGTGGCCAAAGTACTGGAGCCTCAGCTTCAGGATCTGTCCTTCCAGTGAGCACTCAGGGCTGATTTCCTTCAGAATGGATAGGTTTGATCTTCTTGCAGTCCATGGGACTCTCAAGAGTCTCCTCCAGCACCATAATTCAAAAGCATTAATTCCTCAGTGATCAGCCTTCTTTATGGTCCAGCTCTCACTTCCAGACATCACTACTGGGAAAACCATAGCTTTAACTATACGGACCTTTGTTGGCAAGGTGATTTCTCTGCTTTTTAAGATGCTGTTTAGGGGTTAGCCAAGCCAAAAAGAGACACCTGCCCCCAAAGCCAGCTTAGTAACAGCTTGTGTTGTACTGATGTGAACCCTCTTAAGCATGCAACCTTTTGCGTATGAAAGCTCATACTATAATAAACTGGTTAGTGTCTAAGAGGAGCCAAGGAAGGGTGTGTGCACACCACAGAATTTGGGTGGTTGGAATTGTGTCCACAATGACCTAAAAGTGCAGTCCTGCAATGCAAGTGCATTTACTCAGAAGAAAGCCCTGCTGCATCCTACGGGGCTTATGCCCTGAAAAGTGAGCATATGATTGCAGTTATAGCCACCTATGTAACTATTTGCAGCCTTTTGTTTAGGCTAGGATTTCTCTCTCTCTCTCTCCCTTCCCATTTCCCCATGTTTTCGTTCTGTTCCTCTGTGTACTTTTAAGAATTAAAACAGCATGCTCCCACTCCCCCCTTTTCAGTAAACGGTATTTACTGTGGAAAAGTCGTGCAGCACATTGCTTGAAAGGATCAAATGACACATTTGTAATGCACCTCTTTGGTACATAAACAAGACGCCCACACCAAGCAAGCGAGCGATGACTTGGAACAGCCCAAGGAGTGCCGCTGCAGAGACATATCTTAACTTTGTGTGGCCACCTGATTTGAAAGAAGAATCATCCCCACTTTTATAATGTCTCGTGCCTTGGCAAGGGAAGCTTGTTTGTTTGTTTATGAGTGTTGCATCCAACGATAATCCAGTTCCAAGAAGATTCATTGAAATTAGTGAACCTCAGTCACGTCTAGTAGTTTCAATGCGTCATCTCTCAGTAGAACTAACTTTGGCTACAACTCTTTATATCCCATACTTCCATGGCAAAAACAATGTTCAGGGTGGGTTATAACATATTTCTCAAAACCCCAAAATGCCATGTGAGTGTTTTGCAATGTGCATTTCGTAATCTTTAGTTTCACAGGATGCAGAACTACTCCATTCTAGCGTACTGAATTAATCAGATGCTCATATACAGTGATAGCAATACATAGGTTCAGCAATGAGTTTCCTTCATAAATATGACTGGAAAGAATGAGGTCCTTTTTAATTGATCAAAGCTGCAGTCCTAAGCACACTTACCTGGATAGGCCCCACTGAAGAAAGTTCTACCTCTCTTTCGAATCAGAACCAGTGAAGGCAGTGAATGTCCTGTGTGAGTGTCTGGAGGCAGTTGGAGGATGCATGGCGGCTAACAGATTGAGGTTAAATCCTGACAAGACAGAAGTACTGTTTTGGGGGACAGGAGGTGGGTGGGTATGGAGGACTCCCTGGTCCTGAATGGGGTAACTGTGCCCCTAAGGACCAGGTGTGCAGCCTGGGAGTCATTTTGGACTCACAGCTGTCCATGGAGGTGCAGGTCAGTTCTGTATCCAGGGCAGCTGTCTACCAGCTCCATCTGGTACACAGGCTGAGACCCTACCTGCCCGCAGACTGTCTCACCAGCATGGTGCATGCTCTAGTTATCTCCCACTTGTACTACTGCAATGTGCTCTACATGGGGCTACCTTTGAAGGTGACCCGGAAACTACAACTAATCCAGAATGTGGCAGGTAGACTGGTGATTGGGGGCGGCCGCCGAGGCCATATAATACCGGTCCTGGAAGACCTACATTGGCTCCCAGTACGTTTCCGAGCACAATTCAAAGTATTGGTGTTGACCTTTAAAGCCCTAAACAGCTTCGGCCCAGTATACCTGAAAGAGCGTCTCCACCTCCATCGTTCTTCCTGGACACTGAGGTCCAGTGCCAAGGGCCTTCTGGCAGTTCCCTCACTGCGAGAAGTGAGGTTACAGGGAACCAGGCAGCGGGCCTTCTCGCTAATGGTACCCATCCTGTGGAACACCCTCCCACCAGATGTCAAGGAAATAAACAACTATCTGACTTTTAGAAGACATCTGAAGGCAGCCCTGTTTAGGGAAGTTTTTAATGTTTGATTCTATTTTTAATATTTGGTTGGTAGATGCCCAGAGTGGCTGGGGAAACCCAGCCAGATGGGTGGGGTATAAATAATAATAACAATAATAATAATAATTAATAATAATAATAATAATTAGCAACCTACATGCATAGGACTGGACTAGTAGGTTGCAGTCTTAGACACACTTACCAGCATTAAAGTCTGTGTCACCTTTGAGTAAAATTGCCTGGAAAAGGTGCTAAAGAACATAAAAAGAGGCTGCTGGATCAGGCCAATGGCCTATCTAGTCCAGCATCCTGTTCTCACAGTGGTCAAACAGATGCTTGTGGGAAACCTGCAAGCAGGATCTGAGCACAAGAGCACACTCTCACCGTAACCATAATGGCCAGGAGTCATGAATTTATCTAATCCTCTTTAAAGTCATCCAAACTGGATCCTTCCAGCTGGTGGGTAAGCCTATAGCACAAAATTTCATCGTAGGTCCCACTTCTGGCATTGTTTCTCCCTAAATTGTATTGTGTTGCGAGTTTTGTTTTTAGAAAGCCCATGTTTGATTCCTTTCCGTGCTCTTCTTCCCTGTATATTAACTATGCAGTTGCTTTCTTTAGGCCACGAAGGAGACTCCTGCTTAAGGTCTTCCGACTGCACTGAGGGCTTTTGTTGTGCTCGCCATTTCTGGACCAAAATTTGCAAGCCCGTCTTGCACCAGGGGGAGGTGTGCACCAAGCAACGCAAGAAGGGGTCCCACGGCTTGGAGATTTTCCAGCGATGTGACTGTGCCAAAGGGCTGTCATGCAAAATCTGGAAAGACGCCACTTACTCTTCCAAAGCGAGGCTTCACGTGTGCCAGAAGATCTGATGGTGGACTGGGAGACTGTCATTCACAGGCCGTGAAGAACTGGCAAAATGTACACATTGCAGCATCGTAGAATGCAAGGATTGTAAATAAGAAACAAATTGCCAAAGTGTCCATTGTCGTGGGAAGAAACAACACCCCAAACTGAATTATATTTCTGCCCTGGAGGTGAATACGGTGGCAGCTGGCCTTTGATTTGTGACGTGGTGCCTCTCTGCCAATGCTGCCAGACATTTGTGGAAAAGCGCCGCGCCAATGACATTTGACATTTAACTCATGTTTGACGTATGGCTTTGTGAATTCTCCACATTGGTTGTGGTTAGGTCCCCCCCCCCCATTATGATTGTAAAATATTGCTATATGACATATTTACAACACAAAGCAGTGCTTTGCCAAATGACTTTTCTATCGGCACCTTCTTGGGTACTGAACAAAAAACCATGTTAGTAAACTGAAGCTATCAGAGGCCAAGGGGAAAATTACCATACATGTCTTTATCTGTTAACATTACCCGTGAACAACCAAAGGCTGTCACCTGAATGAGAAATCTTTTCCTGCCAAACAAGGGCTACATATGGAAGACTGCAGTGCAAATGGAAAAATCTCACTCATTTCACAAACACACACAAACACACACAACACACGTGCCTGGCAAAATCTGCCTTGAACAGAGGTAATAAAGCAGGCATGATGTTTTTGATTTGCATTTGGACCACAACACCCAAATAATTTTATCTTCATAGCCAATGGCTTCTTTTTGTCTCAGTTTACTGCTAGCACACAGGGGGCTAACAAAGAAAAAAGCAAAGTGTCCATGAATGCATTCTGAGCAGAATTGTATGCTGAGCTGCTAGCTGTAAATAGTGGGGAATTGTGGGTTGTATTGTGAACTGTTTTTCAGCTTTGCCTCTGGCGGAGGCATCCAGCGTCCATTGACTGTGTGTACTACTAAATAACAGCATCAACAGGGCTTTCAGTACAGATCTTCTGTGGTTTGGAGAACTTAAAATGGAAGCATCCTATGCCAGCAGCAACAGGGGTGGAATGAAAAGAAAACAAGATGGACATGGAGGCCCAAAGTGTGATCAGCAAATGACATCACATGATACAATATAACAACTCAGACTTGCAAATATTTGGAATGTGGATATTATCACTAGATACTGGATTCCCATTGACTGTAGTGGATACCAGTGTTCACTATCACCGCCACAGTATTAATGGACTGACAAAGATGAATGGTGACCTGTTCAATCATTCTACCACCACCCTTCTAACATTCTTGCATTTTCGTTTACTATACTCACTTATTTTTCAAATGTGTTATTTGTGTAAGCATTGGAGCCTTGAAAAGGGGTAGGATCACTCTCCAGGAAATATTGTTGATTGGAGAAGAGAATGGTATTCCTTTTTTAAATGCTACTCAGAGGCGGGGTGTGTGTGTGTGTGTGTGTTAGACTGAGTTTTTTCCTGCTACCATGTGCCATTTGCAACAGCAGTGTGATCGTATCTATGTGAAAATGACGCATCTGAAGCAGTCTAATGAAAAAGGGGTTCCCTGGCTATCTCATTTTCCACAAGCCATATTTTCCCCGCTTCCCATAGCCACCTTATGACAATGTGCCATTAAAATTATGGTCTATTTGTAACCAGTATCGAAATTTCTCAGTAAACGCAAGCCTTATGCTACATTTTTTTTATCTCTATTTTTTTTAAAAGTAACTCTCATATATTTGTGAATAAGGAGAATGATTTATCATGTCATTATCAAACCACAGGGTTGGAAGGTACCTAAAATTATCTAGGAGCATGTGTCTACACTACAAATAGAAACTGGATTTGAACCAGTCCATTTGCCATGGCTTCTTTACTAACTGTCCTTTAGGGAGAGTGCTGAAAATTATTCTAAGATTCTACTTTGATGGACTTCAAAGAAAGCCATGACAATGAAATAGTTTTAAGAGCATAGTGCATATATATCCTGGGTCCAGCCCTTTGACCTCAGGCCTTAGTATCAACACCACTGAACAATATTCAGGATAGGGCATGGAACCTGTGGCCTGCCTAGTGCTACTGGACTACCAATGGCTATCCTCCTTGACCCTTGGCCATGCTGTCTGGGCTGATGGGTGTTGAAGTCCAGCAACATTTGGAGGACCAGCGGCTTGGGGAGCATATTGAGTGAGAAAACAGTGGTGGGAAAATGGCAGACTGACCTCTCTCTTTCCATGCACACCTTCATTCGAAAATTCAGCCTTCTGGTTCTGTTTTTCATTGAAAAACAGCTAGGTCTTCATTTCTAGCATTTGTGTACAACATGTAGTTTGCCTGTTGATAGCAACATATCAGTAGCTAAGAACAGAAGCAAACTAACTAAGATTAGGCCAGAGGGATTATGCCCATGGTTATATTTTTCTAAATAATAATATTATTTACAAAGGACTATGTAAACTCCAAAAAGCAAAGGCTTAATTCTGTATCTCACTGGGACTTATTTTAAGGCTGAGTACAGGAAACTGTAATTGGCTTACTTTAGTGGAGAGGTGGGAAACCTCTTCCGCCTCTCTTACCATTGTCTCTGTGCTGTCTAGGGGTAGAGAGCCCCAGTTTCCTCCCCACTGCATCACATGGAGAACTACAGGTTTCCGCCATGGCTCTACTGCAATGAAAACAAGACTAAGGCTGGAAAAATGTACAGTTTCAATAAGACATTTTCATTTCTGACCGCCCTTAAGGGATGGAAGTGCGTATCTGAAATCCTTTTGCCTCTGTGAGACTACAGGAAGGAGTTGGTGTCCCTCAGCGCAGCCAAAGTAAAGCTCCCACTCATTTAAGCGTTATCTGATGGCTTCTGCATGCCCTTCCCATAACTCTCCTGCAAGAACTAGCATTTGAAGTAATTTATTTACAGGAAATGTTTAATGAGATGTATTTTCTTATAGAAGATATTTCGTACAGAAAGCTTTTTGCAGCAAACTATACTTGCAACTTGTCGACTTTGTAATTTAGAAAGAAATGTATAAAAAGATTAAATATATTAAAATGTCCCTTTGCCCACATTTGTCTTTGTATTTTTTGCTCATTTCCTCATATTCGGGGCGTTGCCAATGCAGCACCTGAGGCCCTCCCTGTACCCACAGAGTCCTCTTCCACTGCTGAAACAATTAAAAAACAAAGATCACTTGAGCTGTCACCCTAAAATGGGGTTGCGTCCAGTATTGGACCACTTTGACCGGATTTCCCCAGCCGATGTAGACAGACTTCTCCGAGCTGGAAAGCCCACCACCTGTCCTCTCGACCTGTGCCCGTCTTGGCTGATTAGAGCGTGTCCAGACGAGGTGCGGGCCCCCCTGGGGGATATCATCAATTTGTCCCTTGGCACCGGGATATTCCCAGGGGAACTGAAGGAGGCAGTGGTGCGCCCGCTCTTAAAGAAAACATCATTAGATCCCTTAGATCTATCCAATTACCGCCCGGTTTCGAATCTTCCATTCCTGGGTAAGGTGATTGAGAGAGCGGTTGCTGAACAGCTTGGTAGGTTTCTGGATGAAACATCGACTCTGGATCCATTCCAGTCCGGCTTCCACGCTGGTCATGGGACTGAGACGGCTCTGGTCGCCCTAACAGATGATCTCCGCAGGCAGCTGGATCGAGGCGGGTCGGGGCTGCTGATTCTTCTAGACCTGTTGGATTATTTGATTGTTTGATTATTTGATTGTTGTTAGCCGCCCTGAGCCCGGCTTCGGCTGGGGAGGGCGGGATATAAATAAAATTTATTATTATTATTATTATTGCCGGTTGGGGAGGAAGAACCGAAAGTGGACAAATCCAGTGACTTACTGAGCTGGTTTTGGCAGGGTGGAAGTGAAATGATAGGAACAGCCTTCCTCTGCTCTGTCCTTTTCTGGTTTGCTTTTGTTTTAATCCAATTTCTCTCCCACTGAGGAGCAAATTATGCCAGTCAGCAGATTTTTAACATACTCTCTGCATGGAGGAGGAGTGAGGGCCTTTTCCTTTCTCTGATCTGGCCCTCACATCCTTCCCACCTCCCTCCCTCAAATGCCCCACCTAGAAATGTGGCCGCCCCATCTAAATAGGAAGTCTGAGCTGGAAGGCTGAAGCTTTCATTGCTTGTGAAATTCCTCTTGCCAACAGAGAAGAGTGGACAGGAGTAATACGCTTCCTACTGCTGTTGTTAATTCCCAAACAAACATGGACTTCCTTCAGATAACCCCAGTTGCACTGCAAATAAGAAAACATCATTTATTGTTCACCATCTTTTTAAGTGTACCCCTGGGCTCAGAATTTAAGCATGTTTTAACATCAAGGCCAGGGAAATATTTGTGCAAAATATTTGTACAAACAACCACCCTTATCTTTGCACCTCCCAGTATTGCCATATGGAATGCATCTGATTCTGAAGAAAAAGGGGCCTTATTTCTTTCTGACTTCAACCCACAAGAGCAAGACCCATCAGGATTTAGCCCACAGGCTGCACACTTCAAACAACTCACAATCAGATCATTGAGACTTATCTTCTCTCTATGTCAGGCATCATCCTCCCTCCCTCAAACTGAACCCCCAAGTTTCATAAAAGCTGTGTTTAACTTAACAAAAAAAATCCAAAATCCAAAACATATACTATTTGGTTTGGGAAGATCATCCCCGACACGGACTGATTTCTACAGTAACTAATTTGATGAAGATGAGACAAAGGGAAATATTACAAGACAGCTGTATGGTGAGCAATAGACTTTGCAAACAATATTCATCAAATTTATAAAACTAAATGCAGATACGTTTTGTCTGGGGCCTGTTTTTCAGAGCGTGTAACTGACACCATTCAAATTGCACTGGCATTTCCAATCACAATTCAGTGAATTGAGTCCCTAGCTATATAAAGTCATAAACTCTGGGAGTGGGCAACTTGGAAGAATTGCCTTCTCCCACGTAAGTTTGGTCAAAAAGTACAATCATTATCAGAGGCTTTGTCCTATTGCCATTTCTCAGATGGGTGGAAAGTGGGACAGGACCTTTTCAGTTTGGGCACCCAGATTGCGGAATTACGGTATGCTCCGCAAGAAGCCCAACCAACTCATTATTTACTGGCATTTTGCTGTGTTGACTCATTCAGTGTTCTTTGTTTCTTTCTCCCCTTCTGCAATCTTAACATTTGGTTGTTGGTTTTCATCTGGGTTCTTTGTTTTAATCGCTTTACCAATTGTATGTTGTTTTAACTGGCTTTTGTGAGCCATGTTGGAATGGGGCTGAAAATATAAATATTTTCATAAATAAATATGTTTCCAGCAATATGACTCTGCTCATTTTCAGCTCAGTGGCTGGGGGGTGGTAGGTGGGATTCAAATTTTGTCAGAGTTTTTTAAGCAGTTCAAATTATATCAATTGCAAGGAAGATTTAGAAGAGAGCAACACCTCCCCCCCAATATCTTGGTTCTGGTCCTGAAATGCAACCTATAAAACACATTTAAAATGAAAATATTTTGACTTGAACATTTGAACTTACAACCTTATTGCAGAGAAAACAGAAGCCTTGGGTTCCTTTAATCATTACAACAGACTGTTAGCCCTCAAGTGGTTAATATATTTTCTGTCCGAACACTAAGTGCTTTGTGAACAATAATTGCCCCACACATTATGAAAATCTTATGTGAAAAGTCAGTTCTGTGTAGGACATTTCACAACTGCCATATGTAAATCATCAAATGTGATAGTCATATTAATTACTACATGAGCACATAACACTTTATAAATATGGAAAACCTGATGATATATGTGTGGGGATTTCTGATTCTTGCTCTGTATGAACTGACCCCCAAACCGCTGTCCTTGTTTTAATGCTTTAAGCAACCCATCTTGCGCTCTATAATCTACATTACAACCAGATTATATGCATATTTACTCTGAGGTCCTGCTATGGTCAACAGGACTAAACTTAAGAACAGCATTGCAAAATCAGTTCTAAAATTGTGGCTTAGGCTGCAAACCTATAAACACTTAGTTGGGAATAAGCCTCAGTGAATTCAATGGGGTTAATTCTGAGTAGACATGAGCAGCATTGCACTGTAAGGCTGCAATTCTGTGCTTACTTATTGTGGTGTAAGTTCCAAATAATTCGAATAATAACAGCTTTGGCTAAGCATGAAAAGGATTGGACCACACAGCCCCATTCTGTTGCTTTTATCACCTTGGAATGCTGTGTATCCATTTCCTGTGGCTTGACCTCTGGAGAAGGCTAAGAAAATGGCACGAAATTGACATGAAATTGATATGTATTTTTAGACGCCGTGCTGGCACATATCTGTGAAACAATCGGAGGTAAAGATGATAATAGGAAATTGCTAACATTTAATACCAAATGACTTCTGAAACAGCCACGAACTTGCAGTTCTCCTTTGTTCCTTGGAGTGAGTAGCCACTGCATTTTCTATAAAGGGTTGAAGAAATTATGGCCTGCTCCCACCAGCCTCAGTCAGCATGGCTAATGCCCAATGATATCTGAGGGGCCACACATTCTCTATTCCTGCTATAAAAAGCTACCGGTACTTCTCAACATTTAGTCTGAGGAACCCAACATCCTACCACTTTCGACTGCAATCAGGGAACGGAATCCAAGGAGCAATACAGATGAATGGCCAAGCAGGAAATTTGATAAAAGCAGGAAATGTAGCTTTAAACCTGGCTCCCTTGCTGGTGGTATCTCACCCTCACACAGTCACACTCCTGTTACTAACCACCACTAGGTTTGAGCATGTCGCATATATGCAGAAAACCACATGGTGTTCCCAGAGGCAGATATGGGGGCAATGTGAGAGCCAGTGTGGTGTAGTGGTTAAGAGCGGTGGACTCGTAATCTGGTGAACCGGGTTCGCTTCCCCGCTCCACATGCAGCTGCTGGATGACCTTGGGCTAGTCACACTTCTTTGAAGACTCTCAGCCTCACTCAGCTCATAGAGTGTTTGTTGTGGGGGAGGAAGGGAAAGGAGAATGTTAGCCGCTTTGAGACTCCTTAGGGTAGTGATAAAGCGGGATATCAAATCCAAACGCTTCTTCTTCAATGGCAGAGGGGTCAGCAGCACTGGCTGCCTGAGGGACAGGTTGCAAAATTACTGCATCTGCCTGCACACCATGTTTGTTTATTTTGCTTCTGTTTGAAATATGGCAACCCCAGTTTCTGCAGCTGTTCCTTCTTCTCCTTAACCACCTAACCACTTTTGAAACCCAGGAGTAGTTTCTTGTGTGATATATGATTTATTAAATAGTGGGTGGACATAGCAGACGACACAGAGATTTCTCCAAGTAGTTCTTTATAAGTAAGTTGGAACTGAACTGAACAGCAAACAGCTCAGCCGGCCTGCTTTTATAGGCAGCCGGCTGTCAACATTGTAACAACAACAGCCCAGGGTTTCCTGCCTAAATTAACTGATGTGGACCTGAGTGAAAACTATATACATGATACCCCTGGTGGCCAGGGTGAGAACTTTAATACATAACATGATTCGAGGCTCAGGGCATTGTTGTGGGGTGGGGGAGCAGAAATCACAGGGGTATGAAGTACAGGTGGAATCTTTTGTGTGCCTGGCTAGTGGCCAAGCCCTCATATCTGCTTGAAAAAGAAGATAAGAGTGGTGGCCATCTATGGCCCTGACAGATTAACCCCAAAAGGAACGTGGCTATCAACAAAGAAAAGTTCCACCAGCCTTGCTTCACGAGTTAAACCAGCTGGTATAGAAACTTGGGACCAAACTATAAATGAAATGAGGGGAAAATACAGAATCTTAGCAGGGCAGTGGGGGCTGATTGGGAAAATATCAAAAAAAGGGGGGGATAAACAAATCTCTGGCAACATAGACTTTTACCAATTCAGCCTTTGCATCCCATCCCTGTTGCATAGCTATTTTTAAAGTATAAACAGCAGGAGCTATTCCATGTTGCATGCAGTTGGGCCTTCACGCAGGAGAAAGGTGCTGTTCAGTGATCATTTCCTTTAAGATACAAACCAAGGGATTCATATGCACACTCACACACCCTCACACACAC